CCCCCCCGCTGTTAGGACCTCCAGTGGGAAAGCTTCCACTGGGACTTTCTGTCTCTCTATTTTGTGTTTATCCACTTGTCTCCGCCCGGGCCGTAATTATGTCGACTGACAATCCTCGCTCTATTAATAATGCTTGGCGCTTTCTCGGCGGGATAATGTCAGGGGCGCCACCCCCCGCTGAGAGGTACGCTTTGTTCTCTTAGTACCTCGCCCCATATGGCGAGGCATTAAATATCTGTACATGTGCGCCGGAGAGAGCGGCAGCTTGTCAGAGAGAACACCGCTACGGTGTATTCGCAGCGTCTTTCACACAAGAGAGCCGGCGACAGATGATGTGGCATTTATACACTTGTGCCTTTTGCAGAATGTTCTGTACCGTTTGCACAATACGCACACATAAATATATCCGACCCTTTTTTTTGGGGGGGCGTCAACATGGCGACAAATTCACCATCAAGTGTGTGTGTATCCAGGTGCAAAAGGTACGCATTAAAGGGAACCCAACCTGACTCCACACAAAACGCCGCAGGTTTCCCGCCCATGCTCAGGAATGGAAAAAGAGGAAAAACAAGCCTAGCATCAGGAAAAACATTGAAGGTGTCAGTTCACAGCAGGCAAAATACGAATGGCCTAAAAGTGGAGCTGCATATTTTGCTTAAATTTGCCCTTGGGTAGGGGAGGCTTCGATCTTCCTAGAACTCCATGTACGTACGTGCCCTTCATCGCGCAGGAGAAAAGCTGTCGCGCCTAAATGTCCTCGTTAGCATCGCTCAGCGAATCCTTTTCACATCAGCGGCGTCCAGATGAAGTGCGCGAATGAAACACAATACATGCCAGCTTGCCATTTAGCTAAAGGTTGACAAAATGTTGCAGAACACTTAAGCACGTTGCCATGCAGACCAGAAAGGTCATTGTGATGACTTCTCTGGTAGACACGTTCGGACATGTTAGCAAGCGTATATACTGTACTGCAGCTGATGGAGCGAGAAATTAGTCGCTGGACAACAAACAGAAAAAAAAACATTGTTTCAGATTTTAAATACATAAATAAATTAAATCCAAATTTTAAAAAATAATTTAAAAAAAAAGGGGGTGGGGGGAATGCCCTACCTGTCCAACAAATGTATTCTCAAATTTTTTGATTAATATTTATTTGAAATAACCCATAACATACTTTCGATAAAACATTACATTTTATTTGTAAATTGTTTTGTTTAAATAGGTTTAGTGTGAGGTGACCTGCCTCCCAGGCACGCGTACTAATCCACCCGTGTCGCAAAACAGAAACTATTGCCCAAAAGACGACACACACGGACACTTTTTTTAAAACTCGCCCAAGGACACTTCAAAAGTAGACAGACTGAGCGTCAATTTCTCAAAAAAAAAAAAACAGCCTTATTTAGTAACACACATACTTTAAGTGCTACTCAGATGGAACGTGACAAACACACAAGAGCAGGTCGCACCTTCTCGTTGGCGCATCTGCAGCCAACGGGAGGCTTTGGGCGGCAAATCTCCGCTGGCAGACGTACAAAGATGCAGCACAGGTGACTGCCGGGACGCCATGACAGACGCGGCTGGCACAAAGTCGACTGGGACAAAAGTGTCTCCCACATGCACGCCGTCTGCATACAATGCGCGTACGGCCCACGATGCTACAATCGCAGCACGGCTGAGTCAGCACGAATGAATTCACCAGACAAAGGGGGACATTCTTTGGTCTTGACATTGTGACAAGAACGTTTCAGATCAAGGTGACAATTACATGGCAACCAATCAACAAAAAGCAGCGTGTCTAGCTCCACCCATTTTTGGGAGCCAACCACTTAGCCTTAAAAGGTGACCAAAAGTCATAGCGATTGTTATTTTCGGAAGCGAAAATGCTAAATAAATAAGATAGATCGATACATAAATAAGATGCGTGGCTGGGTTATAGTCAACAATGTGAATTCTCTTTCACTCTGCGTCCCACAATAAAGTCACAGGGAAAGGCATCAAAAGTGGAGTCAGCTGATGAAGCCAATTGTGGAGTTGTGTTGCGTCAGTCTTGGTACTGACAAGTTTGAGTCATCAGACTTGACTGCAACAAGGTTGGGTTGCCAAAAGAGAGCATTCTAGTAGTGCTGCGCAGTGTTGGAAAGGGGACTGCAATGTTCTTTTAATTAAAAACAACCCCCCCCCCCAAAAAAAAAATTTAATACAGGACCATTTTTTTTTGGAACACACCCAGTGTTTCTCAAACTCTGCAAAATTTAGGACAATTCGACAGGTTACAATTGGCAGAGTATTTCCATTCAAATAATTGAAACAAATTATGACTTAACTCCTGCGTTACAGTCGGTTAGTATTTACTAAGTACTTTCTGGTACTTTATTACGTAGTTACTATCGAACGTAGCGATTTACAGAGTACTACGCAAATCTCCCCTCAAAAACACACTTTCAGTAATTACATTCAGGCAGACACACAAAGTCAAGCCCTGCAGTGGTCAACAACTTCCGCTGCAGCACTAGCGCAAGGTGGCTAACCTATGGCCTGCATTTGACCCCCTCCGCCCACCCTCCCTCCACCCATGCAATTCTAAAACTGGAACAGTCATGAAAGCCAGATAAGAGAAGCCGCCAAGCGCTTATAGAACATAATAACTTAATCAGAACATTTCGGGAGAAACTGCAAGTGAATGGTGAAAAAGCTGAAACCCGACTGAAATGCAATGAAATGTAGAATGTGAGACTTGGAACGATTTTAATCGGTCAAGAAATGTGGAATGAGGTATTCAATTTCGCTTGCGTCAGTATGAAACCTTGTACCTCCAAAATAGTCACTTTTCTGGACACCCCAAAAATGGCTTGACGCCACCGATATGTATGTATGTGCTCAAAAGGTCACAACATGTCAGTGTAGAAATGTAGAAAAAAGGGGTAAATATATAAAATACCGCTTAGATGTGTCAAATACATTTGGGAATTGGTTCCCAAAATGTCCTTGGCTGGCTTGATATTTTCAAGGTGAATAAGTGGTGAAATTCAGAAGGGCACGGTCTCCATTCGTTTCGATGCAAACTATTTGAATGTAAAACGTGGACGGTGTTAAAGTACTAAAGAGTTTGAGATATTCTGAATGAGGAGAATAATTTAAAAGTTGGAATGGTGTGAATAAGTAGATTAATATGGACGTCGCAGAACTGCGAAAATGAGCTCGAGCATTCCCAACAAACGTTGGTCGGTTGCTCATCGACAGCCCATCGTGCAAAAGTGCACGTCCTCCTCTCAGCTCGCCACTAGAGAGCCCCCCACACAGCCTTCCTACTTATTGCCCCAACACACACACACACACACACACACACACACACACACACGCACGCACACACACACACACACACACACACACACACACACAAACCCCTGCCAAAGGTGCTACTTAATTCAAGTGGACAGTTTTGCCAAACATATGCATCGCCTGCAAAACAGGGGTTTTAAACACGTGGCGTCACCAACCTGTTGCTCATTATTCCAATCCGCAAGCGAGTCAAACCAGTCTTGGAGGCATAGCGAGCGCAATACCCGGAGGTGTTCAAAATAAATACGGTAAAAAAAAATAATTACAATACGACCGCTTTTTTCCCCCCAGTAAGCATGCAGATCACGTGACTCGGACAGACCACAAAACTAGAGTGAAAACGTGCATACGCGATATGTAAACAGCAAAACTATACCGCATTACTACACATGCTTCTGAAGATCATTGCCAATTTAAATCCTGCAGGATTTTTTTTTTTTTTTGGGGAGCCAAGCATCACGCGAGCGAGTGGCTTGAAAAGCTACCAGAGCGCGTTTCGTCCTTTCCTCACCTCCCCAGTTGCTGTCCAGGCGGGGCACGTCATCGCAGCTCGCCTTGTCCCGCTCGGGATCGAAAACCTCCCCGCCGCCGCAGGCCACGACGGGCGACTCCTGGATCTTCATCCTTAGCGTCTGCAGAACCATTAGAGAGGGGCGAAGAGACAAGAAGCGCTCGGTTTGAGCTCGGATTTCCGAGTGGACGCGCACACAGTGTTCTTAAAAGCTCGCTGCGGAAAAGGGGGGGCGGCGACGCGGCTCGCCATTGGCCGCCAGGGGGCCAGCCAAAACATACGCCCATCTGTTTGCTGCTGCGGTGGGAGAGAGTGGGAGGGTTCTTCCACACCCACGACTTGTTTGTCTCGCAACGGCAGCCGCGGGGAGGAGGGGTGCCGAAGGGAAGTCGGGGGGGGGGGAAGAAAAAAGGAGACAGCTTGTGAGCCAGCACACGTAGGCTGACGGGCGTTTTTTTTTTCAGGACAAACATTCGTCTCAGATAAGAAGCATTTACACTAGAGGTCCTCCATCTTGCCTCCCACGTTTTCATACCGACACTCCACTCGCAAAGTGCGGCCAATTCGTGCGCTGTATTCCAAATGCGCCGCTTGAGAGCAGATAAATCGCAATTGTGACAATAGTTCAAGGTGTAACCGACATGAAAACATACAAATATCTATGAGTGGAAAAACAAGCAATTGTGAAGATGGGGGATGATGGAACAGCACTCAAAGCCAGCGCACAAACATAAGCCAAAGTCAGTACAAGTATTCGCGATGGATCGAAGAAAAAAAAAAAGAACTATTGGTTTACTTACTAACGTCGATGTTGAATGGGTAGACCAACGAAAACAACACCCATTGACGACAGCGACATTTTCACAACTGCATGTAAAGACCCGATGACAACTCGTAAGCCTGCATCTCACTGAGCGGCAAATATTTGCAAAAGTAGCTCATTTTGGATCTGTCAATGAATTCATTTCCGTATTATTGAAACCCAACTTCAACGGTGGACAGACGGAAATGGATGCTGGGGAAGATTCGCGCATCTTTTCACCGGATTGGGCCCATAAATTCGCTTGCTACTCCAGGAGTTGGAAAAAGGTCTGAAAGTTTTCCAAACAGTGCGGTGGCAAATAGTTGCTAATCTTCGGAAAGCTGTCCCAACTAGTCACCATCTGTAGTCCGCAAACACTTTCCCAAACATTCACGCAATGTCTCCAAGCATTGCAAAATGTCGCTCATGACAGAGGTGACCTCCTAATTTTTGCTAACATTCGGCAGAGTTCAACATTTGCTAGCTTCGCAAACATTTGGCGCTCAGTGATATGCCATCTTCAGGGCCTGAATTACAAAAGGTTTGCAGGTGTCAAAACAGGTACAAACGCGACTGTTCACACAGATGTGGGAGCAGATCTACTCATGGGGGCGCAAGCGGGATTCTGAATGCCAAACACACACCAATGGCGGGTATAAATCCGCATTGCTGTGTGTAACCGTGACGACAAGGTGCAGGCAAATAAAGAGGCGACAGGGACAATGGTTCTTCTCCACTTGTGTAAACATACTTGAAATGCCACCAATATACATATATATATATATATTTCAACATATTGTAAAGTTGTTCATCTGTGGGAAGGAGTGGAAGGTTTTAGACTGGCCAAATAACTCTCCAGACTTAAACCCTGTCGAGTATGGTTTTTTTTTTTTTTTTTTTAACCAACTAAATAAGGGACTGAAAGAAATCTTGGAAAAACATCACAAGACTACAAAGGTTTGGTGGAGAAAAGCAACAGGAAAGAAATCGGCAATGCTGTTCCAATACTTGCGCAGGGGAGTGCAATTGGGAAAGCAACGCACGCAGTGAGCTAGACGTGCATTTAGAGCGTGTCCACGCCGTACTTAACTGATAGCGTCCCATTTCCTCTGTCTCTGGGTGTGGGACTGGCTATTTTTAGGGAAAAACAAGATGAGGACAACGCGACAGGAGCTCCCTAAATGTCACAGGCTACTTACTGGAAGGGTCGCAATTGGATCCCGTTACCCGTTGTCGTACTTGGGAAACACACACAAGCTGTTCTGGGATCCTGATTTGAATTCCCCACCATCGTATAAAATTAAATACAGGCCACATTGTCGGGCAGTGTTTGAAAGTCAAGGCTCATATTTTACATGGGGGGCGGGGGGGATACACAAGTTGAACTGCACGTTCTGCCACGCGGTGGCAAGTGTTTTATGCATAACATACGGTCTGTGATTACGCCTGTCATAATTAAAAAAAATGTGGATGTGCAGCAATTCCCAAAATAAATGCATTTAAATGAATATTTTATTAACTGACAAAGACGACAAATATGAAGGACATTTTCAGGAATTAAAATTAATTTTAGTTTGTGTTATGAACATAAGATGTTTGTTATTTATTTATTTTTTAAAGCATTTTCATTTTTTTATTTCTTGAACAAAAATTGTTTTTTTCCTTCAATTTTAGAACTGGATTAGTTATTTTGCTACTTCTCTCATACTATAATAACTGTAATCAGCCTACTTTACGTTGAACCAGCGAGCAATAACATAAACCACACAGTGGGCCACCTCCTCCATTTTTCTGTATGTGACTCTCAGTGGGGACATTTTTTTTTTGAAAGATTCCTATTTTACACACACGTCTCCCTGCCTCTGTGAGAACTCTGACACTACCCCAGCAGGCGGAGAATGGATGGTCGACTTTGCGCACCCGACATTACGTGTATGTTTCCACAGAAGAACGGCACTGGGGGGGGGGGGGTTGGAAAAATGCCAGCTTCGACAAGAGTGTCAAAGAGACTCGTGTTTAGCACTGTCCGTTTTACCCTGCTGTTGTACCAGCTGGGCTTCTCCCAATGATGTAATGCTGCTTTCGGGGCAAATGCGTTTGTGCGTGTGTGTATGTGTGTGTATGTGCGGCTACAACATCTGCGCTCACGTTAATCCCAGTTGATACTCCTCAGAGAATCCCGCATTTTGCACCTCTCTGTAATCCCATCATGATTATTCAACAAAGTCAATCATTTTCATCTGATAAAGCGTCCTGAATAGAAAGCAATGAGAAAAGGTTTCAAGAAAAAGGAGCAAACTGCCATTTATTGATGTCGCTCATGCTTTTTGACGTAACACTGCCTCCAAGCAGCAAGATGACGCGTTAAAGCCTCACGGGGGCTGTGCGGGTTTTAATTGCGCACAATCAAGGGAGCGAGGCGCCGTTCGCTTCATTAGTCGGCGCTAATGAAATTGTTGTTGTGTGGGAATCGTGTATCATACCCCAAAGCAAAGCCCCATGTTGCTGCTCAAGTTAATTTTGTCTGAGCAACTCAATGGTAAATAGTCATCGTTGGTCCGGTGAAAAAAAAAATACTGAAACTACTCCTCAAGAAAAAAAACCTTCCCACAGAATTGCCCATCTAATTGCTTTTGGAATAAATTTGTCAAGTTGTAAAAAGATTATTGGAATCCAGTATTTCATTCAGCACATGACAATTTGCCTCCTGGAAAGTATTTTCCAACCTAATTTCAATTCTAAAAATCCATTTACTGCTTTCTTATGTAATATCCACATTTTTGGCAATTGTGAATATGGGCATTTTGGTTGCTGTAATCCTCAAAATTATAATAATTATATATAAAGGAAAAAAATTATCCAAATCAGTTTTTAATTATTTAATTAAAAAATTTATGAACTCATTTGTACTTGTGTTTTAGATTTTTGAATATAATGGATGGATGGATGAAAAATAGTTAAAAACAAAACAAAAAGGGGAATTCTGGACGGGATGCATTATGGTTGTCCTGAACTTTAATTTGTTTAAAAAAATTATTTCATTATGTTTTTGTTGGTTTATAAAAATGACAGAAACAAATACCGGTACACCTTTTTTGTAACAAAAAAAAAATCGTAACAACTGACTATAGATGAAAATGAAAGCGATGCTTTAAAAAAGAAAAAATAAATTAAGTATTTTGAACATATTGATAATGCTATTTTTTTTAAATAGGACATTTCTAATTATATTGCCATACAGCGCCATAGCTGTATTGGTCTCAAAAGTTGTGCCGGTATAAAGCCAACAACAAAAAGTCAGTAAATTGCGTTCTAAAAAAAAATTATAAAAATAAGAAATGCTTCTCCACACCAGCGGGTGGTGTCAATCTGCATTCATTCAGATTTGAAAAAAACAGAAGAAGATTGGATTTACAAGACAAGTGGGAAAATGATGAGTTAAAAAAAATGGAACCTGATAAGATGTAACTTTCGATTGTAACCAAACTACCAAAAGTTAATATTCAAATAAAACGATGAACGACGACTGGCATCTAAATGGAATGTTTACCAACAACAGTTGGCCTCTCCATAAAGAGACAATGTTTATTGTGGTTTGTTGCTAGTTCCTGGTCCACTTTGACATGAATGATGAACGAGCAGGTGCAAAGCATTGTGGGAGTGCCTCTTTGATGAGAAGGGCCACTTAGACGCTTGTAATTGTTGTGTGATTCGGTGTAACCCTGTAACACGACACCAAACAGCTGCAGAGACTTGATAAGGTCGTCTGTTGGCCTCGTGCCCTCCCACGCCCCATAACAATTATGTCGTCGCCCGTAATCTCCCGTAAACCTGCTGCCTACAAAAACAACTTACTTTGACCGGAGGTGAGGTCGAACGCCGCACTGATTGTAGCATTCACAAACCATCAAACATCCATTTGTTCATTTTCTATCCCCAAGTTGGGCTTTCAGAATATGTGGTGAGCCAATTAAAAAAAAAAAAAAAAAAAAAAAAAAAAAAAGTGCACCAGGTTGGATACCCGGTTTTGAGAAGCGGCGATCGAATTATCGGATTGTGGATGCCGTGTTGCTGTGTAACTAGGTTTGGTGTAAAAGGCCTGATCTTTCGTGACGTCTTTGATGTGGCAATTTTGCAGTTTCCGTTCAAAAGAAGCTAAATAGAAGCCGCTATAATTCACACTGCCTGCGTGTTGCAGCACTATACTGCTTTGCAGGGCTCTGTGTGAAAGGAAAGCTGTTCAATCTCAGTTCTTCTATTACGACGATGATCATGCAAATTTGTGGAATCTAGGACTGTCAAGTGTACGTTAAAAAGCTGACAACATGAGGTCACAATGCACTTTTACACAGCCTGTGAAAGCTGGCATTTTCCCACCATTTTTCTTCGGGAAAAGGCTGTCATGCATTCATCTTCGTGGACCTTTGTGTCAATGAGGTTAAAAATGAGTCCCATTTGGAGCAAACATTTTTCCGTATTTTTTTTTCATGTTGCTGCTTGATATCCAACATCGAATGGTGGGGTCAGGGGGTGCGATTATTTAGCTCAGCAATTTTTCATCTTCAGAAGTAGTGTCGGTGTCGTAACAGAGGCAGGACACTACCTGTGTGGAGGCGAATACTGGAAAGGCAGGTCATGTTGTGGCAATGTCTCGCTCCGCAAGCCTTTATGCGTTTATTTTACTGGATCTGTGTGTGGATGAGGCTAAAAATACATTTCCACTGCCTGTAAATGCCAGGATTTTCCCTCCCTATTTACCGGTAACTTTGGCACATTCACACAAGTATTGTACCGGTGTTCATCAATGTGCATTGTCCTTTCCAAATAACAACAACATAAAAACATACAGTGTACGGGAATGCTCGAAAGGCGGAATGATGCTGATTGTAGGTCATGGTGCTGTAATATTCCACTTCACTGGGTTCTATGTCAAAGGCAAAAATGGATAAATATTGCTTTTCCAGTTATGGTTTGCCCTGTTCATTTTCCAATTTTAATTGTTGTTTTGTTTTGTTGTTGTTTTTTTTTTAAAAAACATTATCCCACCCCAGCATTGACACGGAATATGGGGCCAAAGTCGACCTGGCAATGCACCCCCCATAGAGAGTGTCAGAGACCTGCTAGGGCAAGGCTGCAAAGTTTTAACACGTGCGTTGAAAGCACTTTTTTTTTTTTTTAATTTTCATCAGCATGGCAGAAAGCGAGAGCACGTTCATACCTGTGAGGGAGAAGGAAGGTCATCTTTTCTTGAGGCGTCATTCCTGGAAAATGTGACGGAAAAAAAAATATGTTGATGTCAGATTCTGACCAGCGGATCAGTGTACTGTATAAACACAGCTCTGCCGAGAACTGCAGGTGGCAGCCACATGCTCATCAACCAAAAACAAGCTTCTACAGGATATTGACATGACATCACATTTTCAAAGAAAAATTGGAGGCGCTCACCTTTTCTTATAGGGCTCCATGCGGCTGGGCCTGGTTCTCTCAAAGGTTGCCGACATGCCAGCAGACTCCTTCGATGGGAAAACAAAATTCTCATTATGATTCTCGCTTCAGGACCGCTACTTCAAGCCATCATGACATCACTGCCCATGTGAACTGGACTGCTTGGAAAAACAAAAAAACAACAAAAAAAAAAAAAAAAAACAAATGGACACAAAAGTAAAAAAGTGCTTAGGGCACATTAATTAAATCATACGTAAATATATAGATAAATAAATATAAATATATCGTCCATAAATCATTGGCATGGAGTCAAGTCCCGGTAGATGCACGTGACTCAACCAAAACACTATATAAGGGAAGGAAAATAATAAATAAAATGACATATTTACACGGTCAAAATTATAACTTTAATTTTGTGAACCAACTGCAAGCTCAGATCTCCCAAATATATTGATAAGAGGAAAGTGTAGTACTAACAGTGGTGGATAATGATATTGTGATGACTTACAATACACCCACTTTGTACAGTATAGGAAGTGGTCGATGTGCATACAGAACTGTCAGGCTAAATCTTTTGGGCCTTTTTCCTTCCGGGGAAAAACGAATGTTGCTAACATTTGGATCACAGTTGTCGTTTTTGCTTGTCCCTTTATTGGAAAAATAATTGCTAGAGGGGTGAGAAAACGTTGCTAACTCGGCAAGAGTGGATACACAAGCTCTTGCTAGCTACCTTGCTTGTACTAGCATCAACACATAAAACACACAACTTTCAAAATAAAAGCACCGCATATTTGGCATTTTACTTTGAATTCAGGGTCACTGTGAGAGACTGGCAGAGAATGGGGGCGGGACAATTGTGGCCCCCGGGGCATACTTGGCCCACATCTATTCTAAATTGTCCATAGGTGTGTATGTGAGAGTTAATGCCTAGTTGTCTATGAGCTCTATTATTGGCTGGTGACCAGCTCAGTATGTACACCGCCTCCGGCCCAACGTCAGCTGGGAGCGGCACCAGTTCACCTGTAACCCTAATGAGGATAAGCACTACAAATAATGGATGGATGGATATTTAAGGCCTAATAATTTTCCTTCCCACCGTAGTGAGTTAGATCTATAGGCATACTCAAGACACTACAGGCTGTGCTGCTCATAAGTCTTCAAAAGGATTATTAATACTATTTGATTGATTTGCATTTTCGACCGAAGAGTTTTTTTCACGTGTTGACTTTACTACTATGTTATTGTATGTTAGAGACCAAAGATCAAATACCCACTGTGAAATGTTTTCAGTCAGATTTTGTGTCTTTGTATGAGCAGGGATGGTTAGACTCCTTATATAAGACCAAAAAAAAAAAAAAAAAAAAACTTCCTGTTTTTAATAGATTGTGTAACCTAAGAGAGGACAGTGACCAGTAAGTAAGGAAAACTCACTGCGTGTGCGTCCTGGTTGAGCTGCACCAGCGTCGGGTTGTGTTTCCACTTCCTGGATTTTGGTGCTCGCACCACCTGAGCACTCTGCCCACTGCGTGAGCCTACATAGACGCAACCTATGTCCTCTCTCAGGCTTCTAACGCGGCTGCTCCCACTTGCTAATGTTGGGATGTTCTCCTTGTTGGTGTCCGTTCTGTGAGGAGAATGACAGAGGTCTACATTGCGTGCGCTCTGTTATTTGTGAAGCTCAATGTGGAGTTGCTAGCACGCATTTTATAGCCTTTGTGTTGTTTAGCATTCCGGGCTAATTCTGTTTACCGTCCACACGTCGTATTGACATTTGGTGCAGTCGTTGCTTGACTAATGCACTCGTCTCCTCCCGGTCAACAGTATCTCCACCAGGTGTCCATCAACAAGGATTTATCTTATTAGAGCGGTGACTTCACTTGTCCCAATGGACGCAATGAGAAGAGACTAGTGAATGTGCCATTGTTGACCGTTAATTTGACTGAGGTGCGGTTAGTTTGACAGGAAAAATTTCTCGAAAACCCAGCTTTGGGCACTTGGTGACATTAGGTCACATGCTCAACATGTTTCTAGTTGCCTGGATAAGGATTCAAGCTTTATGAGCGCAATTATTTAAACTAGAGATAGACCGGCATGTTTTTTTTCAGGGCCGATGCCGATTATGAGCAGCCAAGGAGGCCGGTGACTGATATTTTTATTTATTGGTAGTAAAATGGAAAATATTGCACAGTAGGAACTATTTATGTGCAATTAAGTATGTGTTTGGTAAACAGCTTTTCAGGTTTACAAATTGTTTAATCTTTCACAATAAATAATGGACAGAAACAGCCACCTACGGTTGATTTTTATGCCGAAAGACAAGAATTTGTGAATGGATTGTGGATGCTTGGGCTAACGTGTCTGCTTGCACCGTTTTTCGAGCTTTTCAGAAGATGAGGACTTTGATGGATTTGTGGATGAGGACTGATCAAAAAAAATAATGTGAGTACATTGTTAAATACTTCAATAAAGCACAAATTCTGTTTTGCTCCTGCTGCCTTTTTAAAAACTATGCTGGCGTCCATGCATGCTACCGTATTTTATTTTTTTTAGGCCAGTAAGTAGTAAGTAAATAAAAGTGAACTTGTTGTCTTAGTTAATTATTAAAAAAAAAAAAAAAAAAAAAAAAGGTCCCACCATTTTGGCTCTGATTGAGTGCCTCAATTATAAAGTTTTAAAATCATCTGATATCGGATGTCGGAATTTAAAAAAAAATAATGCATATGCTGATATCCTTTAAAATGTCAAATATCTATCCCTAATCTATGTCTATCCATTTAAAAAAAGACAGTGTCGGTGCATCAAATTCTCGTTGCCGTACCGGCTTCTGTCTAGTTGTCTGGTGCTGTCGTCGTGCTGCTCTCTGCGGTGACGTCGTCGCTGCCTCGCCGTTAGAAGCTGCCGCGGGGTCAGCTCTCCGACATCTGACGCCCGATGGCCATCAAAGAGGTGCTGCTTGACTGTTGAACGGATGGTCTTGTCCAGGATTCTGTTCAGAGGGGAATCACCATACCGAGACCATACAAGACCGTTAAACGTCCCCCAGAGGAAAGTATAAAGTAATGCATGTGCTCGGACAAGATATGACTTACTTGACGGCATCAGGCGAGCGAACTACGGGAGAGCCGTGAGGACTAAAAGGAGGAAAAGAAGGAGCAAATGAAGCCGAGTTCATGCAGGACAAACTGAGAAATGCTCAACCTCCTCCACCGTGGCTCCTTATACATCCATTTCTGTCAGTACTGTAATGACGATTTGGATTTTGTGCTTTTTTTTTTTTTTTAATTTGATTCAGTATGATGAATGGATCTTGAATGCTATTGCTCACGTTGTACGCAGTCAGTCTGTTTACAAAAAATAAGCACTATAAGGCGCACCTAAAAGCATTCAATTTTCGTCAAAAGCCGACAGTGCGCCTTATATATGGATCAATGTTCTGATTTTTGGACGTAGCATTTTAAATGTTCTGTAAAGCACTTTGTTTCAGCTGCATCGGTTGCGAAAGCTTGATATAAATAAAGCCGTATTGTATGTTGTATTCCCATTAGTGTAGTGGCATCTAGTGGATGCACAATGTACCCGCAACCATTATTGAAGCTATACAGTATATGAAAACAGTTTTAATGTAATAAGTATGTATCGAGATAATGCTTGCAATATCTCTATGTTATGATGGATTACATATGACAATTTGAAATTTTGGTTCAGACATCAACAATCATCATGGAAAAGTTGACATGCTTGATTTGCTCTCGCGGGCCACACAAAATGATATGTCAGGCCAGATCTGGCCCCCGGGCCTTTACTTTGACACGTGGCGTAGGAGGTTCCAATTTAAGTTACAATCGGGGTTTTTTTCGGTTGCCGAAACATTAATAATGTTTCTCGGAACATGAGGGCACACAACACACCGACAAGTCTTAAATAACACGTCGGGTGACTTGTGAAAAATATTCCACAATCATCAGCATTTACAATAAAAAGCACAAGAAGGAAGCGACAGCACTCAATGTGACTGTGACAGATTCTGGCTATGTCTTACCAATATATAGCAGCAATCCAATAAACACTGACCCCTTAAAAAAATAATAATAATGATAAATCCATGATAACAGACATCAAAATGCTGGCTCGCTAAGAATAGTCCAGCCATTTACGACACTGGGTGAAAGCAACGTAAACAGGTTAATGGTTTACCAATGTTGACTTAACCTTTGACCCTTAATTGCTGTGAAGTGTCGAGATTAAACCCCCCGCCCCCTCACCCTTGCGTATGTAACCTTTAGGTAGTCTATCATGCACTGCAAACAATGCTTTGCTTTGCCCTTGAGTGAGAGCTAAAAATGCAAGTTGAATGAGAGCGTAGGAAAGTCGTTGTTTGATCAGGCTGGGTATTGTGTAACCCGGGCCATCCGCTCATTCTGCTTATCCCGCGTTACACCACGGTGGCTTATTAGCCAGGACCCTCACAGGTTGCGCTCAACCACTCGTTGCAGGAATAACACAATTAACTGGTGGGCAAAAGTTAAAGTAACTATTTGACTGTGGAAATGTGTGTGGAGATAAGTGCAAGGAGTCTTATTCGGGGACATTTTGCAAGTGAACGAGGGATGGAGTGAATGACGTGTCCGTTTGTATGTTAGCAGGCTCTGCTCTAGTTCATGTTGGGATTAGTGGGCCAGACCAGTTTGCATTCTTAAGGCCAAGGGAACCATTCCATCATGACTCAAACGTGGTGGGAAAAAAAAACATGAATGGAACAACAACAACAAAAAAAGTCAATTCAACCAACATGACTTAATCTATGTCTCGTAAAATCAGCGAGTATTTTTTTTCAAGGGGAGGTGGTGACCATTGGAGTCATGAGGGCATGTGGAATACCGCAGATAATTACAGGCAGTCAATAAACTGGAATTTGTGTCACTGATGAGATGAGATAATTTGTCAGGTCTGAACACAAAGCCCACGCAAAAATCAATATCGCAGATGCTAACAAGTTCAGCTGAAAGGATCGTCTTGACATCGACAAATCTGCTTTGAGGTCAGCATGTTGCCGTTTGGTGTTTTGCTGTTGTACTTGTGAAATTTGTGCTCTGGTGGGAACATGTTTTTTTTTTGGGGTGTGTGTGTATGTGCATGCGTTCCATGACGATGACACTGTTAATAAGTTTTCCGACAGGGCCTACCTCATGTAGAAAGGAGATATTGGCCTCTCATCTTCCTGGGCGCTAAAACATAAAAGACAAATAGAATCGGTTAGCTTTGCTGTGACTGGAAGCTGTCTGGGTTGATTACGGTGAGCCTACACAGTGCTGCTGGTGCCGGCTGGATTGAAGCCAGGCAAGCAGTGCATGGTTGAATTACACAACTACTTGAGCACCACGGCCAGGGAACGTCGAGCTTGTTGCTTAATATTTTCGTAGCCGATCACCGGCAGGAGGAAATGTCATAATCGCTCGCATTGTTTCTCCAAAAAGCTGACTTGAATGCTGTGTTTACTTCCTTGAAAAGTCACAAGGGGCAAAATAACACTGAACACAAACCAGTGCAGGACTCAACGGATCACCTTATCAAATTAGCCGATGGCATTGCCTTGTAATGCCAAAAGTGAGAAAAGTACCATGTAATCAATCAATCAATCAATCAATCAATAAAAGTCAAACTTTGGGTATTTTTATTTATTATTTTTTTTACTCTTCATCAATTTTGTAATATTATTTTTACATTCAGATTTTAAAAGTTTGAAAGATCCACAACATATTTGTCAAGTCATCAATAACCGTACCCCTTTTTTAAAATGTTATTTTCATATTTTACTTACTACTCAAACCCAAACAGCCCTGACTTCATGCACTGAAATAACGGCCAATACTGAGATCAATGGTGCTGCTGCCATGTATCGGGTTTAATTAGGAGCAGGAAACAGAAAATCAATGTTCAAATCAACATCAGCCTTATGGCGTCAAACCAAGTCTGGGAGAAAGAGATTTTTTTTTTTTTTCCTTGCAAGGGTTTTAATTTGAGTGTTACCCTGATGTGTTTTTGCTACGTGACTGGCCACCATGCGTCCTCCCGTAAGGGGCAGGCGGGCAGCACATAGAACATTCAAAACAAAGGATTTAGGTTTCTAGTTGGGCAGAGAGCAAAATGGGCCAAAGTTCAGTGAAGTTCAAAAGTCTTTGGGAACAACACAAAGCGTAAGAGACATGGCCCATTCCTTTAGGATTTTTTTTTTTTTTAAATTGTACTGCCGCTCCCGTGTTCCGCGCTGGTGTTTTCACAGTCTGGCAAGCGTATTAAAATATGAGCTGTCGTTGCTGTCGTGCATTGCAAAATAGCGGAAATCCAGCTTACCCACTACCTTACTGTCGGGATAACAACATACTTTGTGGGGCTGCACAGAAACAATTTGGTCATTCCAGCTGGACGGCAAATTACCCAGAACGAGCCAGGCCATCGAGAGTCGCTATTGTTTTGTACTTTGACTTTAGCTTCATGAAACATGCAAAATTCTTTGTTGTCTACAAAACATATATTGTCGGCTCATTAGCACAATTACCAAAGTCATTTTTCAATTTTTGGGGAAAACGAGAAATCATTGGGTCTTGTTCCTTTCACTTACTCGTTCACCCATCTGGTTACAATAAAAAAAAAAAAAAATAGCAGTGTGTTATAAAAATTGTGTTTTTTCTTGTCTTACCAAAATATTGAAAAATGACAAAGGCAATGATGCTACATGGCCAACGACTGGCTAAGATTGACATAGACACGAGTTTGTTAGGTTAACTGATGGCTAACGTTGTCATTCAGTGCTTCAAAGCACGGACATTAAAGTTCAACAGAGACCCAGTTGTTTACGAAAATATGTACGCTCACGTTTGTTCAAGAGCTTAAAATGTCTCTAGTGTTAACACAAACACATTCAGTTTGTTGAAGATTCAATTGTCCTGGATGTTTACAAAAACAACATTTAAATTAATAAATAATATAAATTAGGGTCTGACCGACTAATCGAGCGACATTGGCTCGTTTACAAACAGCCTTAGTAGTCGGATTTTCTTGATCAATTTTATTTTATTATTATTATTTTCACACAGTAGCATTACAACATAACACAAAGATCGTGAAATTGAATCATTGAAACACCGCACCCCCACCACCAAAAAGGCAGATTTTTTTGCCAATTTTTCTGTGTGTTGTAAAGTTAAATACTATCGGACAAAGTATTGTGAACAGTCAAATGTGCTGCCCACAGATGACTGGGATAGGATCCAGCATGCCTGCGATCCTTGTGAGGATAAATGGGTTAAAAAAAATGGATGGATAATAATAACTTATCTGCACTTTAATCAGTTATCGGAATTTTATCCTGCCAAATATCGGAATCGATATCGGCCTCAAAAAAATCCATACGTCAGGCCCTAAGCTACACGTTAGGTTTATTGATAACTGTTTTTCGTTGAAGAAAAACACATATGGTTGACACATTGAAGACTGTAAATCATCTTCAATGTTTCGCAAAACATTGACAATGCAGTCTTGTTATCAAAACGTATGTTCGGGTTTTTTTTCAAGAGTCCAATGTGTCTTCTGTTTCAAAAACATTTATTCGGTGTTGCGCAAAACGTACTCTAGAGGTTTGTGGCACTCACTAAATACATACGTTAAATTTGTGGAAGACTAAATTGTCTTTGGTGTTACATTAAGTTCACCGAAAAAAAAAGTGCACTTTAGGAAAGACGAGATTTTCCAACTCCGTCTTCAGTGCAGTCAGATGGCGGGGGGGAATAAGTCTTCCCCTGACAACCTCGCCAGCAACGCCATCGCCACTCACCCTCGCACCTCAGCGCGACTTTCCTCACTCCCACCCGGCTCCAAAGGCACTTCTGAGAACGCGTCAATTGCATAACGGCCATCCCGCGGACCACTGCAACCGCACACAAAAGCCAGCATGCATTGCCCTGCATGCGAGCGGGAGCGCGGTAGGTTCACATGACGCGGCTATGTTGGCTCACGTGCGGTCAGTGAGGGTGGTGTCATATTTCGGGTGGAGGTGAGACCGCCAAGCCATTTATTGGATACCAAGAATGCGTTCAGGCCCACAATACGCTAAATTTAAACACTAAACTTATGGGGCTTTGCATCCAGCAAGTTTTTGGACTTGATCTGCTCTGGTCATGAGCATTTTTCCGAGAAGATTCAACTTCCTGGATGTTATATGCTTGAGGAAGGAGGAAGTTACGCGGCCGTTGTAATTCCTGATCTTTCGGCGTGGACAGCACACAGCACTACTACTTCACTATCAATACCAGAACAGCATTTTCTGTGCAGTTTATGAAGAAAAGAACTTTTGCTTTTCCAAGACATTTACAATATGTTTAAAAAGTGTGTTTTGATATGTTTACAGGTCATTGGAGGGATAAAACTGTTTATCCATCCATCCATTTTCGGATCCGCTTTTCCTCACAAGGGTCGCGGGGAGTGCCGGAGCCTATCCCAGCTGTCTTCAGGCAGTCGGCGGGGGGCACCCTGAACCAATTGCCACCTAATCACAGAGTACAAATAGACGTACAACCATCGGGCTCACACTTACACCTATGGGACAATTTAGAGTTTTCAATCAGCCTGCCGTGCATGTTTTTGGAATGTGGGAGGAAACCGGAGTACCCGGAGAAAACCCACGCAGGCACGGGGAGAACATGCAAACTCCACACAGGAAGGCCGGAGCTGGAATCGAACCCATGACCTCTGTGAGGCCGACGCGCTAACCACTCGACACCGGGCCAGCCAAAACTGTTTATACATTCATGAATTAACCATAATCATATGAATATTGCAGATATTCACTTTATTGCAGATGGGTCTGAAATGTGTGCCCGGCATTGAATGGGGATCGCTGCACATACTTGAATGTGATCCTCAGTTTAGGTCTGCTGTGTTGATAAATATCAGCACAGACTGACGCACTTGACTGGAATCTCCCGGCCATAGTGTACGCTGGTCCCCAAATACGATCTGACAGGGGGAATGTCAGGATCCACCCTGAAGATTTACTGCTGCGCCTTCCACGTGGCGCTATTTTGACTCTTTACATGCTGCGTGTGCCTCGTATGAGGAGCGCTGGTGTACCAAGTGTACTGAAGAAGTTAGTATTCAAACAAAACGCTTCATGAGAGAAATAGCAGTATAAGTGTCCAATGGATCTCAAACAATGCTAATCGAGGTTACACTGTTAATTGGGACTGGTGGAGAAGCCCCAACTCCCACGCGGGCGTCATACAAAACTTTTATGTAACAAGTCGATAAATCTGATGCTGACACACTATTAAAATGTGATGTAAAGTGACGCTATGGGTCTCAGGGTTGGGGCTGAGCTGTAGTGGATGCCAAGATTTGGATGTCTCGCCCTACAGCTTCAGTATCATCACTCATAAAGAGTTTAATTGCTTTGCTCCATGTTGTACGCTCTAGATCTGCAGTGTTGTATTTGTGCCTGGACAGACAACATTTGGACCAAGGCCGATACAAAAGAGGTTTCTGTTCTTCAGGTTGTTTTTTTATAAACGTATAATTATAGGTGGCCCACGACCTACTCTGTGTCCCGACTTAAAGTCGAAGAAACCCTACTATTGATTTTAAGGGATATGCTGTCCGACTCGATACGCGTGATGTCGCCACGGTCAGCGGTCAGACTCTTTGGGAACGTGCTTGTTTTCTGCACTCCGCTTGGACCATTGTTCAATCAGTCTCAAGAGAGCTGAGGCTTTAAATGCTTGAGGGAAGTTGGTTTCAAATGTAATATTGATTATTGAGGCTGAGCGATGTCATGGCAAAGCGGAGACTTCTCAGAAGCCTCTTGCAGAGAGATCCAACTTCCTAATTGACACACTGTAGTTAAGTGTCAGGCGCATTTTATACAGAGCCACTCGAACGTAACAACTGGCGGACTGCGGGGGTGGCCCTCGATTAATTTTAATTAATCCACTATATAATTTGAAGATGTAATATCCCCTTTCATTACACAATGGAAGTCATGGCTTAGATGCGCTAGCAATCGAGCTTATCATGCCCAATACAATACATGGCTTATTTTTTTGGGGAGGGGAGGGGGGGCAGATTTGAAATTACATACAGGACTAATATAAGTACCTCAACAATATTAAAAATTTGAGTGAGTTGATTTTTGTAGGGAAAAAAATGAAACAAGTTCTTGCACTTTATGTTGGTTTGCTGTTCAGCAGTTTTCTGCCATCCTTGAATGGTCATTTTTATGCACACGAGTTAAAATGGCTTTTTTGCCATAGAGCTGGTTAGGAAGTGCATGATTGGTCTGATGTGGTCCCTCAATAGCACTGATGAAAAATTGTGGCCCCTTCCATTGTTTAAGTGGCCCATCCATGACATATAAAATAGTTGGCGGACTATGAGAACCACTTTGTACTTGATGTCATATTTGAGAGGGTCTGTCCTTTCAACACATCAGGGTGGGAGAAATGTGGGTCAAGTTTTAAATTTCACACCCTGGTTGCAGAATCTTTCCAATCACCTTACACACGAGTTTGGTCGCCACCTTAGAATGCAGTAAATTCACAGGTTGTCTTCGTCCCCATTAGGCGGTCCTGTCTCCATGTTTAAAAAGGGACTTTATGTGCCCAACTTCTGAAGACACTTCCACGCGTGTGTTTTTCAAAGACAGCTTTTTTTTTTCCCGCATCACGTTTGTGTCTAAAACGTATGGCCATAGCACGAGGAGATGAAGTCACCCAGTCTATTTGCCTGATTCTGAGGTAGTCCCAATGCAAGTAAATCAATAGCCCCTTTGACACAGCCCGTCAAAGCCGTCTCTTTTCCCCGCGTTGCAGTTCTGCGTGAAAGGCACTGACACGGTCTCAGTTTCAGATGCTTATAATAGGCTTGTGTGCATGCCTCAGGCTCAAGGCCGTGGGGCTCAGGCTTTAGATTCCTGATTACTGTCAAACACTCACCTTTCACCCCATGCCCCCTACAGTCAATATTAAAACAGCACAAGTTTGAAGAGGTGCTGCGAGGCCTTCTCAAACCGCACGACATTTCTGTCGATCACGCCGTTGCCGCTTGTCAGACTACCAGATAAATATTCGTTCTGTGTCTTGGACCGCGATGTCACACGACAATTCTCTCACAGACAAGACTCAAGACGTCACACTACAAGTCTGTCAGCGACAAGACTCATCACAAAAACCAGATGTGCTCAATTTAAAAAAAAAAAAAAACAACCAAAAAAAAAACTAAAGACAATTTGTAAATCTGCGTCAAAAATATGCTCAGGGACACATTCGGCCATCTTTGATTTAAACTTGCTGTTGACCAGTAACAATATATTTGTTACCCAGAACCAGGAAGCACTGATTTTGTGTTTCACAACACAAAATATCAATCATATAAAAAGTTTATAAAGTATATATGTTATATATTTTTTATGTTAAACATTATTTGTCGTGGGCGGCCGGTGTTACAGTGGTTAGCGCGTTGACCTCACAGTGCAGAGGTCGAGGGTTCGATCCCAGCTCCGGCCTCCCTGTGTGGAGTTTGCATGTTCTCCCCGGGCCTGTGTGGGTTTTCTCCGGGTACTCCGGTTTCCTCCGACAATCCAAAAACATGCGTGGCAGGCTGATTGAACACTCAAAATTGTCCCTAGGTGTGAGTATGGGCGTGGATGGTTGTTCGTCTCTGTGTGCCCTGCAATTGGCTGGCAACCGGTTCAGGGTGTGACAGGCTCCAGCACCCCCCGCGACCCTTGTGAGGATAACGCGGATCGGAAAATGGATGGATGGATGGGTTATTTGTAGTATTATTTGTATCTTACAGAAAACATGTTGTGTACCATCATCTTACCTAACATCCAGGTTGCCATGGAAACAGGCAGGGACTGGGGTATCTCCTCGAGTCATCGCCATGACCTCGGCGGGGCTGGCGCTCCTTAGAGGTACCACTATCGGCGCGCCGAGAGCCCCCCGGCCGTGGGGCATTGGCGCCGGGCGGCCGGCACAGGTGGGCGCTTGGAGGGCGTCCCCGTCAGTCTTGGCGTTCCTCACCTGTTTTATACGACCACAAGAGAAAAGTGACGGGAAAGGCGAGTCACTATGTGAGGCCAGTGATATGCCGTTGACATTTGTGTGCTGCCCATCTGATATCACACACGCAGGTTACAATAAAACGTACATTCAAGGATTGCCGCAGATGGCGGCAAGCAATTAAAGACGCAGGTGAAACCATGAAACAATTCAAGGGATTAAAAAAAAAGTCAGATTGATATTTAATTTACCGTGCCGACCCGGAGCGGGTAGAGTTGGAATGACCCGCCGATTGTGTTAGAGGCGAAGAATCGTAAACTGACTGCGGCCACGTTGCGACACCGACCCCTCTGCATCATCAAGCACGGCGAAATGTGCGTCCTAATGTGGGACTCGGACACGAGATGCTTCTGATGTCATGGCCAACGTCAGCCGTGGAAGCGCTTGATGCGGTGGGTTTAGTTAAAAGCCAATTATCAGCAGGACTTTTCATTTCAGGGCCTCGTTGAATGCCTCCCATCGACTCAATCCTAGTCACCCAATGGCTGAATTTTTGTAATTAGTGCCGCCGCTGCTGCTTCCTTCAGCTTGACCTGCTACCCGATTCCAATTCTTCCTTGCTGCGGGATTGATTCTTCTAAATATGTCATTCACAGAAAACCAGTGATTGACCACCCACCGGCACCCATTGTTATTTTGTGCTGCAACACAACACTCTCTATAGAAAGATTTTTTTTTTAACTAGTTTGAACCACTGCGGTACTAAACATATAGCCACATAAAGAGCTCACGACAATTGAGACAATTTGAATGCACTTTGTTGTTCTATCCTGAACTAAGAACACCCCCCCACCCCCAATATTTTTAGGATAATTTTTAAGGTCATAATTTGAACCTATCCGGTTACCCTTTTTTTCTAAAATAAATGGGATTATTTTTATCCTCAAAAAAAAAAAATGTATAAAATACAAAGGATGTCAAACTATGACAACCATATTTTTGTCACGGGGGCATCCCAGTTAGGGTTTCTTTCGGAAGGCCATTAGGACTACGAACCAAAATAAATATATGATCGCCTCATATTACACTTACACAACAAATTGTTGAATAACTAGTTTTCAGACATCCGTCAAAACTGTTTGTTCAAATATTATTACATTGATTATAAAAGAGGTATTGGGAACCCCAAAATGCTTGCATTATCTCAACATTTCCAATTTTGGAATTTTTGCAAGAAAAACATGAAGTCGATGCATATAATTTGCTTTGTCAGGCCACATAAAATGATGTTGCGGCCCTTCCTTGATTTTGACACCTGTGACCTAAGAGGTGCCCGATACACTCTTCCAGTTGAGTAAATAAACACTCCCCAGCCACTAGATGAGGAAGTAAAATACAATAGATCATAAACATGACTGCTTGTGTTTACTTAAAGAAATATGCTGTATATTCCCAACGACGATGTCAACTTAATGGTAGGGGCATCGCAACTCAGAGGATGTTCAGATCATTAGCACTGATATGTCTGTGTGTGTGTGTGTGTGTGTGTGTGTGTGTGTGTGTGTGTGTGTGTGTGTGTCAGTGCTGATCGCAAACAGCAATGATATGAAAAGATATTTTTTTATTGCCTGGAAATCACTCACGGGTATGTTTGGCCTTGAGTGCGAGACACAGCTTTTATGAAGTAAGTTAATAAGTGATGCTTAATGAGCTCATCAATCATTAAGGAGGTCAACCGGCAATTTCTGGGATTCAACTGTATCCGGTGTCATCTTTTTCCTCATTTTAACATATGCGTTCACCGTTATAGATTCACTTAATTGTCTATTTTCTTTATGAATAAGTGATTGATTCAGTCATTGGTTTATTAATACATACTGAGCCTGAAGTTGTCCAAGTCCTGACTTTTCTGTCTCTCAAAGTCACACCAGTGGGGTTTCGAACCATAGGAGGACTGACTGTGTTTTGCTTTTTCTTTGGCTTTTGGGGAGGGGTTGTACTTGGCAATGGAATCCGCCGCATTCGCCAATTTCAGATTATGTCGCTGCCAAAGGAGTGCAACCCCCAAAAGTCCATGAAGTGCTGCCTCAGCAAGGGAAAATGCTCGTATTGTCTTTTCAGGCTCTTGCTTTTATCCCTCCTCACTCTATGTGTTTTCTTAACAAATCCTGCATATCATGGTAATGATTCTGCAATAGTGCAGGCAAGGTCACTCATTGTCACGAGACAGGACCGCCCCCTCAAAACAGGCCAAGATTAATTTTTTTATTCTTGATTCTTGAGGTGACAAAAAACATGGGAACCATTCTGAATTGTGAAAAAAAAACCACCTGTCTCTTTTACAACATTCCCTTTTCAAAAAAGGTTTTACGGTGATCTTGAAATGGATGATTTCTCATTGTACATTGTAAAAATTTTTTCCCCCACGCAAAATGGAAGAATGTATCAAAGCTCCCTGCTCTCTTTCATGTGTCAGTTAAAGTGTTGTTTTGCTACCTACTGCCAAACACTTCCATCAATCATGTGACCATCATCCGATTAAGCCCGATACATAACGATAATGTGTTTATGGGCGGCAAGGCAGGGGAAAAAAAAGCTTCAGATAAGAAAGCAGGAAACACTGTAGCTCTTGGAAAGGAAAAGAAGCAGATGAGTGGTAAAGCCCTTAAATGAATGAGATGTATATTGTACCTTCCTCTTCTGTGTCTTCTCAGGTATGCTGCTGTTGGCTTGGCATGGAGGTTCTGCATCATTACCGATATGTGCAACCTGTGGGAAAAAAAAACCAGATTAAAGTTTAATACCAAAATGTGAAATGAATCAAAAATATTTTTCCCCACTTGTATGTTTATTTAAAGTTATGTTTTAAAAATTCATTTAATCAAAATGTATTGTAAGTATTCTAGGACTGAATTCTAAAATTAAAGCTAGACTTTACACCGATCTAATCGAGTGGATTGAAATCGATCGACATTGTGCATTTTATGCAAAATCACTGATCCACTGTAACGTCATATTGTCATTTGTCCGCTCTATAAATGACATCATCGATCTGATCCATGAAATAACCTCCTGATCGCCGATCAACCCACAAAACCCTGATTTCGAACCTAATTAACATATACATTGAAATATATTAAAATATTGAACTATATTTCTATGAAACACCATCAAGTCAGTCATTCAAATGTTTGAAACACCGTTTCGTGTGAGAATAACCTTCCCCTGCCGGAGTCAGCTGATAACATCTGCAAAGCCGCAAGCGCATGCAGTAAAACAGCTTTTCCATAAACAGGTCTGCCCGCGTCACTCTAATCGCGCCGCACGCGTCACATGGTCGGTGTTAAAAGGGCCTATGTGAGGGAATTTGAAGGGCGCACGGACCTGGAGATGTCGGCAGAAAACAACAATGCTAAAGCCTTCCGGATACTCTGGTGATGACGCATGCATTGTATGGAAAATCACTAATTAGACCACCCATTTCAGAATCTGTCTTGAAGAGGTCCACTGTCCTCCAAGAGAAAGCTTGAGGATCACGCATTTTGAGGTTTTCCACAGTATATATATTAAAATGGATGTTTTTAAGATGGGTGGTTTGTTCCGGTTGTTTCCTGCAGGCCAAACAAGGCGATCAATAGACATGTAAGACGCAGGCCTCCTGTGACAAGTCGTCCGCCACCCACAATCAATACAGCAATCGATTTTTCGCCCGCGGTTACGTAAGTGGCTGTCCATACGCCGCCTTGCTGGGTAATTAGTACGGGAGTGATGTCATAGGTCATATGCTTGAAGAGGCATCAGATGCTGTCAGCTGTACTGCTCTCAAAAGAAACACTAACAACAAATCAGCACGTACCTTCACCGGGATGACGTCGTCTTCTATTTCTTCGTCTTTTTTGTCCGCTTCAAATACGCTGCTGTAGTTCTGGATGAGCCGGACGAGGATCTTGTTGCAGACGTTCTGCTCGTTGAGGGCCTCGAACCCGGGAGCCACGCTGGATGTCAGGGAGGAAATAAATAAATAAATAAACATGGTCGGACATGGACACACGGCATTGTGGAGGGACCACGTGTCAGCGCCGATGTGGTCAGAACTTGTTACGTCGCTTGAATTCAGCTGATAAGACTTTTTGGGTGTTGCCGTTTGTCAAATGGGAAAGAGAATTTCAAATACATGCAGGAGTGAGGGGGGCAATGACCATTGATGACCCTGTAAAAATGAACTGAAAACAGGCAAATTTCAATAGTCTACAATTTTTGAAATGGAAAAATAATGAATAGTTTTAATAGTATATCTCTGTTATTTCTCAATTCTGTCCCCCCCAAAAATGATTTCCATCCATGATCGGTTCACACAAAAATAATCACTCACTGGAAGATACTCGGTCCAAATACCGTGGCGAGGTTGTGGGCGTTCATCCGGTTGTCCTGCTGGTTACTCTCCACCAGTGTGAGAAAGTGACACAGGTAACGCAGCAGACTCAGGTGGTCGCCCGGTAACTGCTTCAGATGCTCCCTCAGGCCTGAGCAGGAGGCCTCGTCGCCGCACTCTAAGGAAATGCAAATGACGTTAAGGTATGTGCTACTCATTACAATGTGGGACAAACTCAATTTTTATTGAAAATGTTAGAGTACTTCAACAGAATTTCGGACGCTGTAAAACTCAGAGAGTGGATTCTTGATCGTACTTTGTATTGTTTCCAATGTAAACCGACCACAGGGACCCTAGGCGGCTGCATGCCCGCCGTGGAGGTCTCTGGTTCCACTTGTTTATCTCCAATATGGAAGTCCAAATGTCACTTCATACATAAAGTATGTCAATGGGCCTAATCGGAATGGGGATCTGCAGGCCGTTTCAAACAGTGTGATCTGACCACTAATCTCCCTGGGGCCTTGACATGTGTGCCACAGAGGCTCACGTAACCTTAATCCAGGGAACAAGACTCATTGTGTGACATGGTTACTCTGCAGTCTTTTCTTCAGTCCCTTAAAAAAAATAAAATAAATAAAATAAAAATTGTTTTTCCCCCCAATTGCGCCAGGCATGGGAAGAAGGCTCTTGTCCATTCATGAGTTGTGCCGAGTCGCATAGGTGAGCATTCATGTGCTGCCAAGAGCCTGCAAATATGTTGATACTATTACTCGAGAAACACAATCATGTCAGAGTTGGATAAACATATGCATGGAGGTTCATACCCAACTTGTCCAATGACACACATACTGTATACTGTAGTCAGGTGCGCGTCTTCATGTGTGTGTGCGTGTGTGTGCGTGCGTGCATGTGTGTGTGTGTGTGTGTGTGTGAGAGACCGGGAAGCCCTATTGTTCATTCAGATGACTAAATTACTCGTACTTTAATTAAATAGATCATTATACAACAATAAACGATTTAGAATTAAGGGGTTGGGGCCTTGTAATGTAGACATACTTTTTAATATTCCGAATGAAAAAAAAAGGGTTGTGTGAAAAAAAAAAAGTATTCTAGTCATAAAGTGTTATTATCCAATCTTACTGCTAATCCAAGTTTACTGCTAAAAAACAGTAAAATGCAAATATATATATATATATACCTGTGTGTGTGTGTGTGTGTGTGTATATATATATATATATATATATATGCGTGTGTGTAAACATGGTAACATTTTCTAATACATATTTTTTAACAACTTTCTCGAATTTTAACCTATAGAACCGAGACCCAAAAAAACAAAACAAAAAAAAAAAAACAACTCACAACTAAAAATATACAGACTGAAATCAAATAAACGTACAAAAATATTTAAACTGACAATTTTTAGCTTTAATACATTCAACAAATGTTTGGTTATATTTTGTTGTTCTACTTCTTCCTTTCATAACTTTGCTGCTGTGAATTGGGAATTTCTCCATTGCGAGACTAATAAAGGTTTTCTTATCTTATCTTATCTTATCTTAGAAGTTATAGAAGACCACAATGTAGTCTTCTCTCGTCTTGTTGTGTCTGATATGTCCGTAATGAATTGAAGCCCACCAAACAAACCAAGCACATCTTCCCCTCACCTTGGTAGTAATGCACCAGCGCTTTTTGCACGGCAGGCTCCACCAGGCCTTGGGGGAGGTCCCTCAGGTACCTTTTGAGCAGGCTCGCCACCGTGCACGTGTCCGCATCGCTGCCGATGTCAGCGTCCTCATCGCTCTCCAGGTGCTGCCGCAGGGCCTCCACTGCACGCACGTTGCCATTCACCCGGAACAAGCCCTCCTGCTGCAGTGCTGCGGGGAGGTCACAGCCATGACTGTTTTCTCTTACTGACATCTAGTGGTCAAACATAAACAGTAGACTACAACTTTGCCTTAAAAAAATGGTTGCTTCCGTCTGCAGTGTGCCTCGGGTCATTGTCCATCTGCACTGTGAAGCACCAAATAAAAGCTTCTGAAGCGTTTGGCTGAACATGAGCAGAGAATTTCCAGAAAGACTTCAGAATTGATCCTGCTGCTTTTCTCAGCAGTTACATCATAAATAAATATCGGAAAGGGAACCTGTTCCAATGGCAGCCGATTCTCCGATTGCTTTTGGCCCTTTAAAAAGTGGGAAGCTCACGTACAAACTGCTTCAAGTGTTTCGAGGTTCACCCAATTTGGATGCAAACACGAGCCTCAAATGAAAGCGGAAAGTTTGCATTTAAGCCCATCATGTTCAAATCCATCATGGTGGTGTTTAGAGCCAAAAAGACGAGGATTCTTCACATACAAGTGCAACTACCAGTACCGCCATCATAATTTGAGAAATGTACCGCAACTCACCCGGACATTCAAAATTTAGTTCAACGCAAGTGCGCACGACAAGAAAGCCGCAGGTCCGCCTGGGCAGGAATGCTGATTTAAAATTAATTCACCTTGCTCCTCTTCATTTATTTAATTATTTACACTCATTTCAATTGACTCCTCTTTACTTTTGACTTGAGACGAAGACTCATGAGTAAGAATGTGTTTGCGAGGGGGTGACTTTTCAGGTGATTTTTGGCGCCCCCTGGAGTCCACTGCGCCCTTTGCATTCGCCTATTTCACCTAATGGGAGAGCAGGCCCCGTAGAGAACGCACAACAAAAGATTGACGGTCAAACGGTTTCATACGGTAACAACTCAAATTGAAGTAAATCAACAAACTGCCTTTCATATTAAATCCTGGTTCATTTGCTTTTATTTTAGAGTAAATTTCCCATCGTTGTGATTGTGAATGGTTGTCTGTCTATAATTGAATGACGACCGGTCCAGGGTGTACCGCTCAAAGTCAACTGGCATAGACTCCAGCATCCCGCCACCCTCGTGAGGACAGGTCACACTGAAACTAGATGAATGGATAGTTTTTGAGCCTCACCGTGCTCGCATAGGTGCTCCACCATCCTGCGCACGACCAGGGGCACGCCGTCCTCCGTCAAGCCCCTCTCCACCAGCTCGGGCAGGGGTGCCCCGAACAACCGATTGTGCTTGGCCGCCACCGAGCGTGGTCTCATCACGGGCATCTGCACCATCTTCTTTATGTCCTCCTTGACCTGCACCGCCGCCTCGTTGTGCTGCGCAGAGAACAGCGGTTAATCAAGACGAAGCTAGTCGTCGCCATGTTGCACCCGCATGCCGGTAAGAGGAGACCAGGGAGAAGCGTTGCTACGACACATCTCGGATCACCATGCAACACCTCAAATGTGCTGCACACACAGACACCAAAAGAGAAGTCCTCGAGGGAGGTGAAAGATGTTGAAAGCACGCAGAAGTGGCTGAATGTCTCATTAGGGGTTCGTTTCGCTTGCAAGATTTGCTTTGTTTGGAATGACAGGTCCTTAACAACAAATTTCATTTCATGTATCCAAGGCTAAAAAGAAAGGTTGTGATCTAGATTTATGTGTAATGAATCAACACCAATGTTACTTGTGTACAACTGCTGTAAATGGTTAGAGTACATCAAGGTCAAAACAATTGTTAAAATATCAGCCATTTTGATTATTTTCACCCTGATTTCCGCGCCAAATAAATGTGCAGAAATTTCAAATCAGCTTTTTCATGCTGTAATGATGGGTACACTGTATATATGGGTAGAATTTTGTCGGGAAAATTGAATTTATTCCCTCCTGAAATCGTCTGCAGGCTAACAAAACGTGAACATACTCTCCGGATGCACTGCACAATATAAAGACGCCATGAAACAGGCATCGCTGAGCACGTTAGCTTCCACAGGTAAACATTCAGCAGCTGCTATGATGTCCATCTTGCCTCATATCATGTCTGTGCGCAAACACACTTTACAAGCACACCGCTCAGGTTTGTTTGCATTAGCACAGCAAGGAGCAAACTCTTGGCCAATTTATTTATTTTACGCTACGCATGTTGTTCGCGGCTACATGGAACTGATGTGCGATTTGTTAAACTACAGACTTTGATGTTAAGATTCAAGAGTATACATGTGTGAAATACTTGAGAGCAGTTATTGTGCTAATTACGTTTTCTTAAATGCAGTTATTGCTGACTCTCAAGATGATTATTTTGATTTTTAAAGATACTGACTGCTTACTCCTAATATGATTATTTTATTTGTAATGCTATTTTTTTATATGTGCTGTTATCGTTGACTCCCAATATGATGATTTGACTTCTATTTAGACCTTTGGGTGCGGTGATCGAAATGTTATGAATTCATTTCAATTTTACAATATTATTTCACATTATTTCAGTGTGTATATGGCAATAAAGAATAGAAACAATGGGAAGACAGAATAATCTGTTTCAGTGTCAAACATTGCTAAAAATCCTTATTTGCTGTACACACATTACTTCAAGTGTAAAAATAAGTATCCAAAGAAATATCCATCCATCCATTTTCTGATCCGTTTATCCTCACAAGGGTCATGGGGGGGGTGCTGGAGTCTATCCAAGCTGTCTTCGAGCAATAGGCGGGGGACACCCTGATCAGGTTGCCAGCCAATCGCAGGGCACACAGAGACGAACAATCATCCACGCTAACACTCATACCTAGGGACAATTTAGAGTGTTCAATCAGCCTGCCATGCATGTTTTTGGAATGTGGGAGGAAACCGGAGTACCCGGAGAAAACCCACGCAGACCCGGGGAGAACATGCTGGAAACAGGCCAGAGCTGGAATTGAACCCGGTACCTCTGCACTGTGAGGTTGACACGCTAACCACTGGACCACCGGGCCACCCACTACTATAATATGAAACTGTAAAAACAACAAAACCTGTAAGGCGTTGTCTATACAGATACTTAAATGAACAAAATGAAAATGCCAAAGGTATAATCCTATTTATTTATTTTTTGCGTGTAAAAATAGGTCAACCACTGTAAAAACAACCAAAAGTCCCCCTTAACATAAATAAATCGATGCGGAGACATTAAAGTTGACCAGACTACTTTAGAGTCTGTCAGACTTGGTTTCCATGGCAGCGGTAGGACAAACCACATACCAGTTAGTGAACCCTTGCTGTGGATTACAACAGTGGCTTGTAGCCCACCCAGGGGTCAGCTGCTTAAGCCCGCTCCCATGCCCGCCGACCCCACACCTCCTCACATATGTTGCAAAGCAGATTCTGACGGTGGCAGATGCTACGCTGACACGACATGTTTTCCGCAATCAACCCCAGTATCACAGAGGAGTTTCCAAGCACGTTTTGTGGTGACATTATTAACGAGAGCACAAAACAGAGGAGGGGAAACATCTGTGGGTTGTCAGCATAAATCTTCCTTACCGACAAAGTGACACAGTTATAGATGTTTAAACAACATCTTGGTATTTTCTTTCCCAATATAGTGACACAGTTATTGGTTTTTAAACATACTGGCTGTTTGTTGGCATTTCCTATACCAATAAAGTGACAAGTGATTGTATTAACCTTTTCAAATAACGTGAGCTGTTGCCAGTTTTAGATTTTTTTTTTTCACCCTGTGAGGAAAGCAATTGCAACGACTAGCCTGCTTGTGGCTCTTCAGGGTGTGAAATGCATGGGTTGAAATCAGATGATTTGAATGGTCATTCAAGAATAATCAATTTATTTTCCTTGAAGAATTTATTTCGCAATCTTTACCAACTTACTTCTCTTCATTTCAATACCCTCAGTATTTACATTTTTTTAGGTCTTTAAAATGGAAGCAGCATACTGGATTAAAGTACTGTTTGCGTGCAAATAGTGAAAAAGTGGAATATATATATATATATATATTCTACCGAAACATCTGTGCGGAGTATGGACTAGAAACCCCAAGGTCAAAATGGGAAACACCTCCGAAGGTGGTGGAGAATGACAGAGCGAAGATCCTGTGGGACTTCCAGATCCAGACTGACAAGATGGTAATGGCGAACCAACCAGATATCGTGATCATAGATAAAGGGCAGAGGAAAGCCGTTGTAGTGGATGTAGCGGTCCCAAGTGATGGAAACATCAGAAAGAAGGAACACGAGAAACTCGAGAAATACCAAGGGCTCAGAAAGGAGCTGGAGAGAGCCTGGAAGGTAAAGGTGACAGTCGTGCCTGTGGTGGTCGGAGCACTCGGGGCAGTGACCCCCAAACTAGATGAGTGGTTGCAACAGATCCCGGGGACAACATCGGACATCTCAGTCCAGAAATGTGCAGTGCTGGGAACAGCAAGGATACTGCGCAGAACCCTCAAGCTTCCTGGCCTCTGGTAGAGGACCCGAGCTGAATGAGGGATGGACACCACCCGAGGGGGGTGAGACGAGGATTTTTTTTAAAATATATATATATATACACTCCATGTTTTGTTAGGTGTTATATTTGATTTTTTCATTTTTAACTTATAAGAGGATCTCAAAACAGCATTCGAATAATTATAAATTACATTTAGCCACGTGGTCATGCCTGTCTGCATGTTGTTATTGCACCTTTTGCCCAAATTTACTTTTTTCTGGTTTCTGATTGACTAAAATGGCCACTATCTTTGTCATGCACATGACGTACCAATGCGTCCTGATGACTGCATACTTTTCTCAGGACTTAGTGCTCATGAGTTGTTGTCCTGTTCCTCCTTTACGGTGATGTCACAGAGTGAATGCTAAGGGAAAAAACATCGATGCTTAATGCCCATTTTCTGGTCCCTGGTTGATGACGTCACGTCTCACCAGTGACATATAGAAGTGCATTTTCGGGAGGAAAAAAAATATTTATATATTTTTGTATAGTTTTTTTGTACGCAAAAGCTATTTGGAACATCATTACACGTCATTCGAAGACCACAACGACAGTGTACGAAAGTACCGCCACGCAAAATAACGCAAGACTTCATTTAGGACGTTAAAAATTGGATAATTTACTCACACAGATGGTTAAAGCTCCGGCCCCCATTCTTCGACGCAAGGTGAGGATGGGGGGCGAAGAAATACGTCCCTCAAAGTCGTCCGGAGTAAACTTCCTGACAAACAATTGTGTGTGAAAATGTCATTTTCGCCCCAAACTGCGCTATTCAGTTACCCCATAGCGACACGAAACAGCAGAGGAGTGTGTCAAAGATGCCGGCAAAGTTTTGTCGCTAGTTTTATCATGATTGTCATTGTATCGCTTCCTCCCTCTCGTCTTCGGCTTCTTGGACTGGAATCTAATTCGGGCTCTCCCATTGGCTGAGAGGCGTGGTCACGTGAGCCGGTCCCAACTTCAAACGGCCTTTCGGCTGTCCTGTGGAATCCCAACCTTAGACGCATGCGCAATTGCAGTAATAGAACAAAGTGGAGGGTTTTGTCATGTTGAATTTCAAACATGAACTCGTGAAAATGTGCCTAAAAACTTACTAAATCAAAAATAAAAAAATTAAAATAATGTTCATTTTAATATGTACAGTTTAATTAAATACGTTTAGAAAATAAAGTGTCACAAAATAAATACAGTGGCTTTAGAAAGTGAACATACACTGTTAAAATGTCATAAGAATGTTTAATTTGTACTATGATTTATATTCGTATATTGATAATATAACCAGATTTTTGATGGGGCTCTATGGTTGTGTTTTGAACTTGCATTTTGTGTTTTTTGTACTGCATTTATGTACTGTATGCTTGTATTATACTGCCCCGTGGTGGTGAAGGTCCCAGAACAACGTCCATTGAATTAAAGCATGAAATCATGACGCCCCAAAAAATAAATTCTTTACATTTTGTTCGATTACTTTATTAATGTATGTTTTTATACACTACAAGACTCTAGAGTGCTCTCTTTCATTTTTGATACAACTGATTGAAGTTGCATGCTTGTTCACGGAACAAATTAAACTTGTAAGTCAAGGTACCACCGTATCTTAATTGTCCCGTTCGTACATGAACTTCCTGATGTTGTCATGGATCCAGTGGCTAAAGGCAGAAACGCGCGTGAACACTGATGGCTTCTTGTCCCTGATGCATCCCTGGGGTCCGAAACTGACCACGCCGTGCACCTCCCAGGTGGCATTGGCCCCGCCGCCGGCCCTGCATGCAAAGGGGCCCCCAGAGTCGCCCTGCGGGGTGAAAAGAGAGACTTGGATGGAGCTGAAGCCAAGAATATTACAATGCCCCTATTTTGGTCTTTGTGTGCGATTCAGCACACACACGGAGGTATTTTGGATGAATGATCACAAACAAAACAAGACATTACATAAACACCAGTTGTGAGAGGACAGCACACAAGTCCAGAAATATACCGATTAATGTTCCAAAATGTATACTAAATAGCTCATCTGAGCCTCTTTCCCACAGTGACCCATCAGTAAGTCCACTTAATGCCCCCATTCCCATCTGTGCCATTTGTACAAAACAGTGAGACGTAAAAATGCCGACAGCCATGTCCTCTCACCTGGCATGCCGACTTGAGCTCATCCGGGGACTCGTATCCGGCGCAGATCATCGAGGGCCGCAACGTGTCCCACCAGTAGGCAGGCTTGCTGCAGGTCTCGAAATCCACCACAGGTAGTGCAGCCTGGTTGAGTTTTTCAGACACTTTGGGGACGATGTTCCCTACAAATCAATAAAGAAGGTAAAAATTCCACGTTGGGCTGCATGCATTGTTCCGCTGTGCTGTGAGTTGGGTTTCTGTTCGCGTCCTGAGTTCCTACACGGTCTGATGAGCTGTACTCTCATTTTTTTCACACGATGCTGGGAGTTTGAAATTATATTGAAGCGTTTTGGGAATCATAATTTGTGTTACAAAAACTATTTGTCTTGTCAATTAAAAATATTTAGGGGGCAGGAGGGTCTGCTCATGTTGAAACTATGTCTGAAACTATTGCTGAAAATTGCCCCATCAACTGTGTCGGTACCTGTCACACAGAAAAAGAATAAATCACCTTTCTCATCCCCCCAACCAGTGACAAAGCAGCGGGTCCCTGCCTCCACCACCACGCCGGGCCGAGGGAGACAAACAGGGCTGATCTCCCGTGTTATGTTGACGGGTGTGGCCAGATGCACCAGGGCGATGTCATGGGTGATGTCACTCGGGTCCTCCTCGTAGATGAAGTCCTCGTGGCGGATGATGCCGTCCACCTTGTAGCACGCCTCCGCCGACGGGACGTCTCTGGAGGAGTTCATGTGATGCTTCCCCAGGCACATGCGCCAGAGCGAGATTTGGTTGAGGGGGCTGGAAGGTGAGAGAGAACATTTGAGAGTGATACTGTACTTTTGCGAGGACAAAAAAAAAGTCATCATGTCTTGTAGTCATTTTACGCCATGAAACAGTGGGCAGCTGTTAGGATCCATTCCTCGTGGATCAATGAACCTCCACAGCCGTGCATGTAAGGGATGGGAGACATCGGCGAAGCCTGCGGAGGAAACAATATATGTCCATACAGGTATTTTAATTGTATTTTTTGTCGCAAATTTGCAGGGAATAGAAACCCAGGCCTGCTGCAAATAACAAAAATCTGTGAATAAATGACACACCCCAAAAATAGTTTATAATTGCATGTAAATGCCACACGATGGTGACAAAGCATTATTTTGTCTCCCCCCCCAAAAAATGTATTTGTTTTTTTTTTTATATCATACAATACATCTTTATTTATATCGCGCAGACACAACATTTGCAGTTGTAAGGAAAATAGCCCTCTACAATAATATACTTTACAAAAACAGAGTAATAACATCATGAAATATAATCAAAAATAATTAAACTGTTTGCGCATCATGATTTAATGCTTCACTTCTATACATTCCGCAGCTGGACCTTGTTACCTGCATGGAGACTTGCCAAGGCCAGGAGTGAGGTACTGCTTCTTCTCCATTTACAACCTTTGCCGCGCCCGTATTGGGGGCCACTGCCGGATTCCCGCAATCCTCTGGCCAGCCTGGTGCGAGATAGCTCACGTATTAAATATGCAATGTTTGCTTTTACTTTGCTACATTCATGTGCTACCACATATTTCCCGTAAGCATCTTGGGTGATCGTCACTACAAAATAAAATCACCAAGAAATTGCTCGCTGACGTAATGACTCAATTGCAAAGGATAGAGCGGAAGAATGTACTTTAAGTTAGCATGAGCTCATTTAGGCATGTGGCAGCAATGCTAACTTGTGATAGCCAACTTTGCTCATTCGCCAACACGTAGATATTTAACTAAAACGAAGTAAATTAAATGAATGAAAAGAAAATGAAAACAAAAGAAAGAGATAAAATAATTCAAATCACTCACGTTTTAAAAATACTTTTCCTTTTACTTGCAATACTCATTTAATGTCAGAAAATTACTTTATGTAAAGCAAGTCTTTTCAAACTTTTACTCTGGTAACTTTAACTTCTACCAAATTTATTTTCTGTCAAGACATGGGTAGTTTCACTCAAGTCTCACTTCCAGGTACTTAACTAATCTTAACTTTAAATGAGGCACGTTACGTTTCCCAACTCACTGATGGTGATGTTGTCCCACGGGTTGGGTGTGGGCGGGGGTAGAGTCGGGACGACGCCGGCGTCAGTGGTCCAATAGCCGCGGAAACCCTGCTGCCGGTTGGCGCTGTTGCTCAAGAAGCGGATGACCGCCGTGTCGCCCGGCACGTTCAGTTTGGGCGGCGGAGCAAAGCCGCAGAAACGACCTGTGGAAAACACACATCTCCTAGTTTTATGTTTCCTTTGACAGTGATCTGCAACTGGGAATCATTTTAAAATACGAATGAACTTTTCAGTACTGTAAATGTGGCAGTTCCTTCAAAAAGATTTCTCAAAGACTATAAAAGTGTAGTCGTGGCGTTTGTCTTATGTATATCAACATGTAACCCACCTTGTGACGTCATATTCCCACCGCTGAAGACCTCCACATAGTCCACACAGTTGCCCAGCAGGTTGACGGCCTGCAGCTCAAAGTGCGTGAAGACCACATGGATGCTTTTGGCGGTGGGGACCCGGATCCTCCATGTGCACACTGCCTGGGCGGGATAGTCTTTTGGCCAGTCAGGACTGGTGAGTTCACCCTGCGGACTGATGAACGTTCCCCCGCAAGGAGCTGTAATGTAATCAAGTCATAGTTGAGAGGAAATCCTTAGACCTCGGGTTCTCAAATTTTTTTTAGTCCAAGGGGGCATTTTCCCCAATGCCTCCTCTAATAATCCGAATCACATTTAAACATCACTACCGCATGTATGTACCCCAGTAAATGTTTTACTGTAGATATTCTCAAACGTTTTACTTTGTACAACAAGTACCACCTCAAAAGTTGCTTATGGTAGCTGAAGTCCCAGCATAATGACCAACATTAAAATAAGATCTGTAGTAGGCCTAAGTCTTCATTATTAGAAATGATGCAAAAGGGTTTATTCTAAAATTATATTTATCATTGCAAGCCACTGTAACATGACGCAGTTTGGACATTTACACTGTACTTGACTATTCAGCGTGTGATGAGAAAAGACGTAGTGAAATAATGATTCTATTAACATGTATTGTAGATGACACAGGTTAAATAAAACATGTTAAAAGATAAATGGTTCTAAAAACAAAGTTCTCCAAGATTGAATGCGTGTTTTGCACTGTATTTAAAAGTTAAATCAAACTGCAATTGACAAACATATACTAGAGGGACAAAATAAATGAAACAATTTAAGGTGGCTAAATTTAATTCAGTGATTCTTTTATGTACCACTAGAGGGAGCCTGCATACCACTATTGGTACTCTGACCACACTTCAGAGAATCTGAATGGATGGTTTACAATGTTTGTTTTATTGGTACACCAATCGTCATATGTTATGATGCTGATCTGCAGTTTAAGTCAAAGGAAAGGTTTTACCTTCCAAAGGGTCGACCGCCTTCCAGGTGGCCGCAAAGCCGGTGTCCACCACTTTGTCGTTAGACGAGAAGCTGATGTGAAGTGAGTTCCCGTCGCTCACCAGGTCCATGGGTGGCTTGTGACTACAGTAGGTGCCTGACAGGGAAGAAAAGGAAGGGACATGCACAAGCTGTCATTAAACAAATACTGTAGCATAAAAAAGACATTTGTGAAAACACATCAAAATAGTAAATACATTGAAAAATTAAATAAATAAAAATCACATTTCCATACCCAGACTTCCTGTTCCGTCCAAAATGCTGACTTTGTCGCTCAAGCACATTGGACTCTCCTCCAAAGAGAAGTTGCTGAAGTGAAGGTGCACCAGTTTGCCAGCTGGCACATGGATGTTCCATTGGCATCGGGCCTTGTTGCTGTAGCTGCCTGGGAAGCCCATGGATGACAACGTGCCGCCTGTGCCCGTCAAGTCCTTTGCTCCGCCGCAGCCGGATGCTACATGGGGAGGATGGATGGTGAAAATCAAGCAGAAGGGAAGTCATCTGTACTCAAGTACATTTTCCAGGTAGCTGTACTTTACTTGATGGCCTTATTTAGGAGATTGGTTGCTGTTGCTAGCTACAAGACTGATTTGTTTGGCTGTAATCAGGTGGAAATATAAAAAAATATATATATATTAAAATGAGAGTGGAATGAAAAGTTACAGACGGCACCTTTCTCAATTCAACCAGGATATAAGAAGGAATTAAAGACAATTTTTCATGGTGTTCAATTTGGCCAAAAGTGGCAACAAAAGAAGCAAAAGATACAATTTGATGTAAACGGTACAAACAAATCATTGATGTATGAAAAATAAAAACAAAACAGCAAAATGGCACAAAAAGGAAGTGGTGTGGGCTCAAATGTCCAGCACACAGCCTGCAGGGTTAAGAAGAATGTGTATACTTCCGCCCTCTTCGCTAAACAAGAAGCTCAAGGATGAAGCCTACTGTGTTGCTCGTAGATGTCCCTGCGTATAACATTGCTGATCCAGGGAAGGTAGGCAGATGAACGGGTGAACACCGAGGGCTTCTTGTTCATGATGCACCCGATGGGACCGAAGCTGGTGATTCCATGCACTTCCCAGGGACTGTCAGGATGATCCTGGCACACCAGAGGACCGCCGGAGTCTCCCTGTGTCGGTAAAATCCAAGAAATGTCACAGCGGGGAAACACTTGGCCATCCATCGCTTGTTCGTTGTTTTTACCTGACAGACGGACTTGAGCTCGTCGGGCAACGTGTAACCGCAGCAGATCATGGAAGGCTTCACTTGGAACCACCAGTAGTCCATCCGCTTGCATGTGTTGTACGGTACCACTGGTAGGGCCACCTGGTTGAGAGCCTCTGCCACTTTGGCATTCATGGAATCCCCTAAAGACGACAGAAGAGGGAAAAGTTCGTTCATCTGCCAATAACCATCCAGCATCATCCAGCAGTTTTCTCAACCATTATCGAAGACGTTGCGGAACGGAAGCCTACTGGGCAATAGTCAAGTCAGAACAGATGCCAACGGACCTGTCTCATCCCCCCAGCCGGTGGCGTAGCAGTTCTTTCCCTCGGGTAGCACCTCCTCTGGGTCGGGGAGGCAGGCATAAGAGACCTCGTCCCCAATTTCAGCTTCTCCGTCCAGCCTGACCAGGGCGATGTCGAACTCTACGGTTGGCACGGTGGGGTACCTGAAGCCCTCGTGCCGGTAGATGCCCCTCACACCCAAGCAGCGCTCGCTGGGCTCTGTGAAGGTCAAGTTGTGCTTGCCCAGGCACATTTGCCAGCGGTGCAGCTCGTTCGCGTAGCTGGACAGGAGGAAAAATTCAATTTAAAATGGAAAGGGAGGGAAAATTGTGATTGAAAAATGTTGATGTAATTATGTCTTCTATTCATTGTGGCTTTTTTTTTTCCAGACCTCACGCTGTGCCCCCTACTAATAGGAGCACAGTTTGGGTCTTGTTTTCTTCCCCTTCCTCCTCTTTTTTGTTTGTCCCTTTCATCTAAGAAAATTGGGGCGCCACCTGGTGACCGACCAGTCAGGCCTTTCGCTCTGTCTCCCTCTGTTGATCATTGTTTTTTTTTTTTTTAATGTCTCTTGGTTAAAACTGTGAAATCAATTGACAAAATTCGATTTGTATTTCCATTCCAAATACAAGACGTATACTTCTCTGTGCTCCTTTTCATTCAAATGTAGAGGTTTCATGTAAACGTCGGCCTTTTTATGTCATCAATTGCATTTTTAAAATAGTAATAAAAATAATAAGTGACACCCCACCAAAAAAGGTTTGCCTCCAGATGAGGGCAAGCACAACCTTTGCTGAAATGAAGCTCCTCAACTCGCGTTAAAAATAGTTCTTTGTCAGTAAGATGCCACAAGTGTCACGTTGCGAGGTAGTGGTGCAGCCCAAAAAGCAGGCAGTGGGGAGGAGCAGGGTGAACTTGACATATTGTATTTAATAAAACACAGAGTAAACTAAATCCAAAACAAAGTCCGAACAACTAAACGAATCCAAAGTATCAAACAAAACCATAACTGAAGCTCAAAAACTAGAACTGCAACATGACCGGAACAAACATGACAGTAACAAACGAACAGCAACAATGACCCGATAATGAGTGCTCGAGCTGGGAGTCCTTTTAAAGCACTAATTACATAACGACCAACAGGTGTGCAGCTGCAGGGAGAGCCCTACAGTGCCACCTGTTGGTCCCAAACTGAATCATGACAACAAGATGGCCGATCACTTTACGCATGATTTTTTTCCCCAAATGAATGAATGGATGAGTCACGTATGACTTGCCGTACAGCGGGAAAAATTCTTAACGGGACTTATTATCAGAGCTATTACTCAATAATACTGACAGACTTACTTGATGAAGCAGTGAGCAGCCGTGAGTACCCAATTCTTATGAATAAGAGTGCCGCCACACGTGTGGAAGAAAGTTGGTTCCGGTTGACTGGATGGCCATACCTGACAGTAAAGACCACCATATGTCAGAGACAAATACTGGTAAAGGGGTTGGGGGTTAAGGGGGTCATCTCCCACCTGCATAGACACCTGCCAGGGCCACGAGTGCGGCCTGGCTGGTTCTCCGTTCACAATGCGGGACATAATAGCGGGAGGGATGGCTGGTTTGCCGCATGTGCTGGGCCAGTCTGCAAGAGGACCAGAAACACAGTATTAGTCCATTTGTTGGAACAAAGGTGACCTGCTCCAGCGAGCCTTTCCTGGAGCAAGCACAGCGCACAGGCTGGAGAGTCATTCATGCCCCAGAGATGGCGATTGGCTGGGCTGGGTAGGACGTCACAGACAGCTTGAACCATGAACTTAATGCGCCGAGGTTCTGCCTGCCTGATCTCAGACCAGGTCACCTTCCTTTCCAGTGCACCCTTGCACCTTGTCTCTGCTCCCTGCTGCTGCATGCTCACCATCCTGCTGGTCCGTTCCTCCTCAACCCCATGCGCTCACTTCCTTTAGGAACTAGCTGGCATTTGTTCTTGCCACGTGCCTTCTCGTAGCAGGGCTGGGAAAAGGCTCCCAACCCAACGGGACTTGTTGCCACCGTGCCCACCAGGGCCCTATGTCTCAGCCGAGACTCAGCTCGTAATAGTTAATTATTATGTGTGTTGTGCAATATTGGCTCATTCGGTTATGCAAGGTCGATCAACATACATATAAAAAAAATCCCACTTTCTCCGACGCCAAACCCCCTCAAGTTCAAACTTTCATTGCAATACTTCACCTATGTTGATGCCGTCCCAAGGATTCGGTGGAACAGGTGGCTCGGTCGGTGCAGGCAGGCTGGGATTTGTAGTCCAGTAGGCTCTGAAACCTTTGGCCTCTGCGAACAAGTCTGAATGGAAGCGCACCACCAGCCTATTTCCTTTGGTCTGGATGGTTCGAGGGATCTTGGTGCCACAAAATGGTCCTAAGATGGATTCCGAGAGTAATTTCAATTGTTCGTGAGATGGTGGCTGCGTGTCGCAAGTACCCACCATGCTTCTGATTCAAAGCGTTGGTCAAGCCGTTAATGTCGTACACCACAACGTTGTCGAAGCACTTGAACGACAGCAAGTCTCTGGGCTCGAGGTCAAAGTGAGTGAAGGTCAGGGTGATTTTCTTGCCAAGTGGCGCCGCGATGCTCCACATGCACTCGGCGTTGGCCTTGTAGTTCATTGGCCAGTTGGGAGACTTCATCACCCCAGTGTCTTCCTTTGATGATAAGCCGCATCCCTGGATTTCTGAAGAAAAAAAATCAAGGTCACATACTCAAACGCGGTACATACAAAATACACTGCTAAAAGATTTTTATTTTTTATTTTATTCTATTCATGTGTAGTAAAATATATAAATATATTATAAATATTTGATCACATTTTATTTAAAGTAATTATGTTTATGTGATTATATTATTTGTTTATAATTCTATGCATAGATACACACACACATATTATATATATATATATAGTGTGTCTAAGACTTCTACCGCTTTTAATGCACTTACAACATGCTGGTCCGTTCCTCCTCAACCCCATGCGCTCACTTCCTTTAGGAACTAGCTGGCATTTGTTCTTGCCACGTGCCTTCTCGTAGCAGGGCTGGGAAAAGGCTCCCAACCCAACGGGACTTGTTGCCACCGTGCCCACCAGGGCCCTATGTCTCAGCCGAGACTCAGCTCGTAATAGTTAATTATTATGTGTGTTGTGCAATATTGGCTCATTCGGTTATGCAAGGTCGATCAACATACATATAAAAAAAATCCCACTTTCTCCGACGCCAAACCCCCTCAAGTTCAAACTTTCATTGCAATACTTCACCTATGTTGATGCCGTCCCAAGGATTCGGTGGAACAGGTGGCTCGGTCGGTGCAGGCAGGCTGGGATTTGTAGTCCAGTAGGCTCTGAAACCTTTGGCCTCTGCGAACAAGTCTGAATGGAAGCGCACCACCAGCCTATTTCCTTTGGTCTGGATGGTTCGAGGGATCTTGGTGCCACAAAATGGTCCTAAGATGGATTCCGAGAGTAATTTCAATTGTTCGTGAGATGGTGGCTGCGTGTCGCAAGTACCCACCATGCTTCTGATTCAAAGCGTTGGTCAAGCCGTTAATGTCGTACACCACAACGTTGTCGAAGCACTTGAACGACAGCAAGTCTCTGGGCTCGAGGTCAAAGTGAGTGAAGGTCAGGGTGATTTTCTTGCCAAGTGGCGCCGCGATGCTCCACATGCACTCGGCGTTGGCCTTGTAGTTCATTGGCCAGTTGGGAGACTTCATCACCCCAGTGTCTTCCTTTGATGATAAGCCGCATCCCTGGATTTCTGAAGAAAAAAAATCAAGGTCACATACTCAAACGCGGTACATACAAAATACACTGCTAAAAGATTTTTATTTTTTATTTTATTCTATTCATGTGTAGTAAAATATATAAATATATTATAAATATTTGATCACATTTTATTTAAAGTAATTATGTTTATGTGATTATATTATTTGTTTATAATTCTATGCATAGATACACACACACATATTATATATATATATAGTGTGTCTAAGACTTCTACCGCTTTTAATGCACTTACAACAAGGATTATTGTTAGTTTTAGGCGCAATATATTATCTCTCAACGCACAATATAAATTATATCTCCATCATGCCCGTGCACAACCTTGTTTCCTTATCAAGCAAGTCATAAAATATCTTTTTTTCATCAATGATTTTTTTTTTTGTGCTCGTGGAGGCTCAACGTGACAAAGTTCACGCTCGCTTTTGTAATCGCTTTGGTCTAAGTGTGGCACAGGAGGCTTGATGAGACACTACTCAATGTACGTGTGCGTACCCGCAATATCCTCGGGGTACGCGGCCTCCCACTTGGCAGAGAAGCCCCTGTCACTGAGGCGACTGTCAGTTGAGAAGGAGACAGACAGAGTGTCCGTGGCGGCCACCACAACTGGAGGACGGATGTAGCCACAGTGCGTGCCTGGAAATTGACATGGAGACCATTAGACGGACATTCAGAGGACACCGTTTATCATTCAGATCATTGTTATGGGACTCTGAGTGTGTGTGTGTGTGTGTGTGTGTGTGTGTGTGTGTGTGTGTGTGTGTGTGTGTGTGTGTGTGTGTGTGTGTGTGTGTGTGTGTGTGTGTGTGTGGACCCTGATACTATTCCATTATCATATCCACTACATCAGGAATCCTCATTTCAAAGTTAAAGAGGCTCACTTCAGGGAAATATCTTCAATCTGTATCTACAATCTGATAGCATTGTGACAAGATTTCAAAGTACACTCTGTAAGAGGACACGTTTTACCAAACGGAGAGTGAGGGCAGCTAAGTCGATACTGTGGAGAGGAATATTTTCGTCAGTTCGTTAGGTTGTTTTGGAAGAATTTTTTTTCATTAGTTTAATTAGCTGCAAAATGGCCATCCCCTGAGATGGACACAGACAGGGGGATTTTTCCAACTTAATTCCTATTCCACAAATGCAATATTAATCAGAATACAGTGTTTGGAATAGTCCGGCTGCATGGAACAAATTGTAACAAAAAAAAACAAATTGGGGATTGACTTCCCCTTTAAATTTTTTCATGCGTTTTTAAACGTTATTGACAGAATTCTGGCGTGTTGTTGAAGCAAACCTGCCTATTAAATAGTGAATTTACAGACATATTACAATTGTGTCCAAATGTCCCCTTTTCTCAATTGGTTTGTCCCTGTCTTGACGTCAAACGTCATTCGTACAACTGCAGTGTATGCATTGAAAAACAATTGCGAATGACAATGTTACAGTCACTAAACTTGCATTAAATGACTGAACGAGCACTACACAACATTCAAACTAAGAGCGACTAATCAATCGGTAATTTAACTAACCTCGTAGCTGACGGTAGCAACGTCCAATCAGCGCGCCAAAACCCACAGACCCAGTTTTAATTCTGACAAAACGTTGGTACCTTTTCTTAGCGTAAGAAATTAAAGTTAAGTGTGTGAAAAAAATAAAACGTCATGACCTTGGAAGGTTACTCTCCTTTGTTAGCTTGTTAGCTTATTAATGAGTTTGCTAGTTATTTTCTTAATTAGTCCTTTCTCAATTCATTTGTTTGATGGTCAGTTTCTTCATCCTCTGTACACTCCGTCGCTAGTTAGTTTACTAGTTAGCTTCAGGAGTAGTTTCAGCCAGTAACCTTCTTGCCATCTTTCATTGACAGGTTAGTTCCTTAGTTAGTGTCTTTGTTGGCTAGCCAGCAGGATTGCGCCAAAACTACAAAATTGTCCCAAATTGTACCTACAGTGTAAAAAAAAACCCCAAAAAATACATTGTACACTAACATCTGACACATGTTTTCTGACGTTTTATAAGTAAAATTAATCTAAATGCTAAGAATCAATTGGACATTATTCTTGACATCACCTAATGTGCTGTAAGCATCCGATACGACCAACTTGTCTTCCTTGCATTGCCCCGTTTCTCCCGTGATGGCTAACTCAACGATGTGCAGCTTCACCAGAAACCCTTTGGGTACGCTTATCCTCCAGGAGACATTCTGGTGTGCGGGATACGGATTGGGGAAGCCCTCGGACTGGATGACCCCCTTGCGCCCGCTGATAATAACCGGACCGCCTGGAAAAAAAAAAAACAACACAAAAGTCGCATCATTGTCATTTGAAATTTTCATACGGTGGATCAAAGAACTATGTTGAAGTGAGTTGAGCTTGGTTTAGAAAAAGCGATGCCTTACTACCATTACATGGCAATTTTCGCTGATAGCCTCGAATTCAACTGTGACACCGACATCTGGGGCAGGTCAGAATAAATATTTATATTTATAAATAATACTTAACGACTACAAAAAAAAACAACAAAAAAAAAAAAAAGATATTTGAATCATACTCGCCAGAAATGTTGATTACTGTGTTAAATATATTAATGTCAGGTCCTGCTCCAGGATTTCTTTTCCTCTCCTGGTGCGGGAGGAGTGGCACTTCATGTCTGAAGTCCACCAAAGGCTTGTTTTGCGAGTTTTACTCTGACCAATGAATCAATGGACTGAACAAATTACAAAAACGTTGAACAGTCAGTAGTTTACCGGTAGATGTGGTTGTAGGCGGGAGTGTCTGAGTGGTGGGTTTGGACGTGGTTGTTGGCTTTATGGTGGTGGGGATCACAATAGGTGGGAGGCTGGACTTTGTATAGGTGGCACTGAAACCTCTGGAGCTCTTGCTGCTGTCCGATTTGAAGCGCACCATCATGGTGTTGGTACTGGACTCCACCGGCTTGGGCAAGGCTCCCCCGCAAAATTTACCTTCCGATGAACAAGTAAATATGAAGACGTCTTTTCGAAATAGAGTTCATTAGCCAAGTATTTTATGATTGAACTCTTCACCTAATGATAAAGAGCCATCGTAGACCTGCACAAAGTCTCCGCACACCTCCGGTACCAGGTCGAAGGAGGTGAATGTCAGTCGAACCCGCTCGCCAGCGGGCACGGTGATTGTCCACTTTTTAAATGAACACAAACACACACCATCGTGGGGAGACCGCACATCAAACAAGAGAAAATGCAAATTTTTCATGAAAGATGTTGTGAACATGTTAGCAGATCATCTTTTTCGTAATTTTCAAAGTTGCAGCTTTTTTGGTAAGCAATTAGGACTCCAAATGGGCCCAGATTCATTGTAGTGGTGTCAAGCATCTCTCGACCAAAAAAACGATTCGGTACATATTGTGATGAATGTGGTGCGATACGATTTAAGGCCGATTTATTTTAAAGTGGAACGATACGGGTTCGTCTCAGCAGGATTCCGATTTGATTTGATAGTGTACGGCTCAGTTTGAGAGGGCATGATTTCATGTCTCTTGTCATTTTACAAAGTGAATGACACGTGTCACTATCAATCGAAACCGTTTTTCACTCCAGCCCTGCGTCGATGTTTGAGTAACGTCTGTGATTTGACGTAATGACGTTATTAAGTTCGTTCCGACTTTGTGGAGTCGAGTTAGTGCATTTCCTTTTATGTAGCAAATCATCGAAACGATGACCAAAGTTTGACAGATGGCACAGCCAAAAAAAACAAAACAAAACACTCACAATTTAGGTTTAACCATCTGTCTCAGACAATCGCTTCTGATCAGGGGGTGTTTTTGCAAATCGGCAAGTAGGCGTTTGATCAACATATGACCTTGCGGAGCCGAGTTGTTTTGAGCTTCCTCTTCCATCGAGAATCCACTAAATGATGAGCAAAGTTTAATGAGAATGCTTTGTCCACGTTAGCTAGCGTTCGCATAAATGAATAAAAAAAATAAATGACTAATTACCAGTACTCAGAATTCATCCAAAATGTCTCAATCAAACCACAATTGCTGATGTGTTAAAATTTGATAGAAACATTCACCAAAGTCTGTGTCGATCTTTGAAATTGATGCTTAAGTCAAATTTTTTTTTGAACTTGACTTGGAGTGTCGAACAAGTATTGATGTCAGGATCTCCCCCTTTACCCCCCCCCCCCACACACACACCTAAAAAAAGCTTTTTTCCCCCCATCCTTGTAGAAAACACACCCCCTTGAATTAAATGCTTGAACCATCTACAGTTGAGTTAAAAAAAAAAAAATCCCAAGGCCACTTTTGCTTCTGTGTTACCTGGTACAGCGCGCCATTGGGGTAGTTTTGCTCAGGAAAGCCAGGGGTCAGCAGATCCCCCCGGTCACCATGAAGAGCGCCACCAGCTCCGGCTATTTCTGGTGGCAATGACAGAAGATGCTTTATTTCCAAGGGAGAATCATCATCATTATTCCTAATTTCATCCGCTATTCTAACACACACACACACACACACACACACACACACACACACACACAAAATCGCCTTCTCCTATTCCTCTCACCCAATTCCCCTTCACCTTCAGCCGGCGACACTCCATTTTCTAGGTCAATCATACGTGGCGCCATCTTACCCGATGTGCGCTCCGGAGACACGGCCTCGTAACGAGCCTTGAATCCTTGGTCTGTTTTTCTGTCGTTGGTGTCGAAGTAGACGGTCAGGCGGTTGGTCAGAGACACGAGAGGCAGCGGTTTGCTGTAGCCGCAGTATTTGCCTGCCAACGCCACCAAAAATCATCAGCGGCCGTCTACGGTTTCAAACTGTCTCCGGTGTCCGACTGACCGATAACTCCCAGGGAATCTCGCAACGTGATGAAGTCTGCGGTGCACAAGTTGGTGTCCTCCAAGGCAAACTCTTCAAACCACAGTGAGATTACCTGCGACCAAAACAAATGTTTCATCATCTCATTCATCTTTTTATTGAGTGGGGGGGGTGGGGCAAATGAGATGTTGCCAAGTGTACAACTTTGTTAAGGCTACAAGAGTGTGAAGCTTGGCGAGGAGGCATTGGTGCATGAAAGTTTTTTTCTGTGGCCTTTTTCCTCCCCTTGTTTTTTTTTTTTTGTGGGAAAGGAATGACGAAGGACACAGAGGCAGCCATCTGTCTGTTTTGCGTCCATCCCAGCTGTCCTCCACTGCTTGGCTTCACATTAGACAATCGGTAAACAAGCTCGACTCGCGATCTGGCAACGTGCTGAGCCTCCGTGCCAGCACTTGAAACGAAAAGCTGCTTTTCAAGGAGGGCGTCTACTTCTGACGACAGCAGCCGAGTCAAGTGCATTTTATTTATTGGGCGCCAGGTTCAAATGAGGGGCGATGGGAAATGAAAACTGTGAAAATGTGACAGAACCCATTGCAGAAATTAAATGAAAAACGCGAACACAAGTGCTTATAATCACGGAAGTAAAGCTTAAAAAAATACTGACCAGCCATGGCTGTAGAAACAAGATTAAAAAAGAGATAACTTCAAAACTGGCTATCATCAAAGAAATGAACTTGAAAAACAGAAAACTGTCCTAACTGTCCGTTATCGTACAACTAACACGAAGAAACATAGTAACTGTCAATCATCAATGAAATGAAACATTGAAAAACAAAACACATTCACAACTGTCCATTCTAATTATCAAAGCAGTAAAATGAGAAAAAAAATGGGGCCCCTCAGGTGACATGGAAGAGAAAAAAATACAACTTTGCGTTCCCTTGCAAAGATAGCGAGATAATGCAATTTTGAATGACGTCTCTCAAACAGCCACGCGTTAGAGGCTGCAGAAGCCAAACTGACCCGGAAGTACATACACGCACATAAAGAAAAAGCATTCCTTGCAAATAATAATAATAAAATAATAATAATAATTTTAAAAATAATAATTTAAAAAAACTTTACGTTATCTCGCAAACTTCACAAGGGAATGCATTTTTCCCCCTTTATGTCACCCTCAGTGTGCCGTACAAATGTTCACCATCGCAGAAGTCAAATGAGAAAACTATCCATCACCCAAAAAAATTAAACTAAGAAACGAAAAAAAAAATGGAGACACTCTGATGACAAAACGTAACTGAGCATATGTGGCATATTCCAAAGGCGTGAGAGCTCGGAAAGGTGATTTCTCTCGCTGTGATTGGATGCTACGGCGGGTGTCGAGTCACCTTATCAGGGTCCACGGTAATGTGCCAGGAGCAGCTCCTGCCGTTGTCATAGCTACTCGGGTAGTGGCGGCTGGTGAAGGTGCCCGACGCTGCCGTGAGCTCCTGTGGACCGCCGCACCCCGAGTCCGGCCCTGGGGAGATGACGCAGTCATAGGGCCAGTTGTTCTGAACTTTGCCAAAGACATGATGCCAGTATGTGGGGGGACACCCTGAACCAGTTGCCATCCAATCGCATGGCACACACATAGACCAACAACCATCCGCGCTCACAATCACACCTAGGGACAATTTAGAGTGTTCCGTTAACCTGCCATGCATGTTTTTGGAATGTGGGAGGAAACCGGAGTACCCGGAGAAAACCCACGCAGGCACGGGGAGAACATGCAAACTCCACACAGGAAGGCCCAAGGTGGAATCGAACCCTGCACCTCTGCACTGTGAGGCTGACATGCTAACAACTGGACCACCGGGCCGCCTATATATTTTATACGGCATATAATTTTTGAGTTTCATGATCGTGATGGTTCGAACCTGGAACACTTTATCTTTCTGTTGTCAAAGGGAACAACTCTTAAAGAAACGACAACAAATGGCGTCTTTGCTTCTAGTTAAAAGTCAATGGTGTCGCTATGGTAACATCATTGATTACACGGCATGCTATTCCCGAAGCAGCAGTAGGATTTTGGCGTCATGGGGCTATACGCAGCTGGAATACATTTTTGTCACTAAGGAATTCGACACGTAAAACCAGCTGCTTCATTTGGATGACTAATGAGGCATTTGTTGCATTCGGCACTGTAGATTGATCCCGGTGTGCTGAATTTGTCACGTGTTGCTATTACAACCACTGTCTAGGGATTTTAAACAACCTAAGTATTGTCAGGTTTTTATTTATTTTAACCACTGTTGTATTTCTATTTTGTATGTGCCATTTAATTTGGTGTTTGAAGTTCAATTTCTGTCTTTGCCAATTAAAAAAAAAGAAAATCCAGTTTAAATTCAACATTTTTGTATTTTATGTTCAAGAAGTATATTTTCAAAGCAGAATTTCTGTCTTTTCCACATTTTTCTATATGTATTGGCTCAATGGTTCATTGTTTTTATTACTAATTGGATTTTTTTTTTAAAGCTCAATTTTTGCCTTTCCTTCACATTTCCATTGGTCATTTTATCGGTCATTTTCTTACAATTAATTATATTTTTGAAAGCTGTATTTTTATTTTTTTTTCACTTTTTGAAAAACATTTTTCAAAATGTATTTATTTGTAATTTTATTTACCCACATCGATAATATTCCCATTGAAGTCAGATCTACACTTTTCGATGCATCCATCCATATTCTACGCCGCTTTTCCTCATTGGCAATGGCTCATCCTCACCCTCTTGAAGAGGCGCAGGGTCTTCCTCGTTGTGGACAAAGTAGAGGACAACCAGGGCCACGCTCACACCAGTCATGACCAAGAAGAGGATCATCAGCCATATCTCCAGGGTGCTCAGACCCCGGGAAGAGCCACTCTCCTTGACCAGCTCCATGCTCCTTTTCCTCGCCATGGTGGAGACACTGAATAGTGCCTTGTCAGTGAGCAAGTGTGTGTAAGTTTGTGTGTGTGTGTGCGCGTGTGTGCTTGTACTTTGGCCGTCAGGTGGGGCCTCGTGTTAAGGGTGAGTAAATGAGCAATGAGACTAATTGCGTCATTATCACTAGCTTTTATCAGACAAGGCCCGGGTGAGTAGCGTTCATTTCAAACCAATTTGGTCTTGTCAAGTGCTAAATAAATTGTAATTGTATTTTTTTTTTTCAGACCAAGTTTGGGCAACGTGGAGTTAGGGTTAGTAACAAAAAGTAACATTAGCGCTGATGCTACGGCTAGTATGCTACTCCACCGATGTTATAGACTCTTCAACTCAGCAACATGAAGTTCCCACGAGTACGACATACATCTTGGAAAGGTAATGTTAGCTCGAATGCTAACGCTAAAATGACCACATGAGTCCTGGCTGGTCCACCAGTATTCGACCACGTGTTTAGGTTTGCCACATTGTACTCTTTATGACTCAGAACAGAACTGTTAGCGTTGATGCTAATGCTCGCACAAGAAAGGAATCTAGACAACCATAATAGGCGTCACGAAGTCGGAAAAGTAATGTTAGCACTGATGCTAATTGTAACATGACAAAAGGGATGACCCGGCTGGTCCACCAATGTTACAGACGAGTAAAGTCAATCGTGAGGTTACTGTGACAACAGCAGAGACGCTATCCTTTTTCCATGAACAATTTTGCAATCGTTTTCTTTAGATCCCACTTTTTCATACAGCAGCTTTGACTTTGAATATTTCTCCTCATGTGAGAGAGATTAGTTTTTCTTGCTACTTGTTCTTATAACCAGATTAGTACTTACTTTTTATTTTCTCTGCATGACAGAACGGATGATGCAACAAAACGCAGCTTATGGCTCCGTGGGGGGCAAGAAAAGCAAGGGAAAAGGAGGGGGGGGGATCCTTACATAACGTGATGTTGTTTTCGACAAGCTTTTTTTTCCCGTGGGTAATATTGCGGATTGATAAATGCGACGCGTTTCGCCATTATCGCCATTTGTTTGGAGATCTTTGCTTGGAGGAGCCATTGTGATTTATGGTCACATCTGTCAACCATAATACGGCAGTCTCTAATGAAGTCATAGAAGGTGACCCTTGCGTGCGCTTGTTTGTGTACGAAGATGACGAGAAACGAAGATGACGAGATTCCCAGCGCAAATGCGCCAGTCGGATAGATTTAAGAGATTATGGGCGCCTTTACTCGCCATCAATCTACCACAGTCATAGCAACAAAGTTTTTTTTTTTCAACACTTCAATGACGGGTGTTCCCCAAAATGTCTATAAACATCATGCATGTGATGACCGTGTTTTCGTAAAAAATAAAACCCGGGTATTTTTGTGAACATCAAAGACAGGCGGTAATTTTGTAAGGATTAAAAAAAAAAAAAAAAAAATCAAGGATATATTTTTGTAAACGGAAAAGACGATTTAGCGTCTTCAACGAAGCGAACATACGTTGTGTAAAAATCAAAGACAAGTATTTATTTATATTAACATCCCAGATGTGTACATAATTGTGACTTCAAAAAAAATCTTTAAAAAAAATGTCCACTAATCGACACTTAAAGGGATGCAGCGAAAGAAAAAAAAAACCTGGGTGGTTTGATGAAGGGGCACTCTAGTCGAACGCCGCAACGCAAAACAAAATGTAGGCCACGTATTCCGTCGGGAGAGGATCAGCAGTCAGGAAGACAAGCGACGACTTTCTCGGCGACACAACGCCCGGGATTCATAACAAGAGGAAGGAGCTCTCGTGTGCTGCTTCGCGGCGGGAAACATTCTGCAGATTAGAAGGTTTTTAATCACTCCGCTGTTGGAGAAGCTCAGCTGCTTCATTACGGTCTCAGAGAAAATGGGCCAGGCAAAGTAGAAGGCAGGAATGCATACAAAGGCATCGAAAGAGAGTGTCGACCTCCACCAAGACTCAGCATTAAATAGTACGTCTCCAGAAACAGCCATTTCCTGAATTTTGCCATTCCCCCCTTTCAGGGACAGCAGTGGACATCTTATGTTTTCAGGTTACAGGTTATCATTATTGGTGCATGAAAGGGTTAATAGTCATGCATTATTCCATTCAATCTATTTAAAAACGGCCACATATTAAGAGGTTCAAACTGTCAACTGTCCACTGTTTTAAAAAAAAGAAAAATCAATGTAAATGATAAAACGGCATAATGTAGTACAACTTTTATTGGTGGTTTTGAGAGTTCAAAATTGCAGATTTAAATCCCGGATTATGCAGGATTAACTGTGCGCAAAACCCCAGCGCTGCAATCTCAAGATTTACTTTCGCTGATAGATGTCAATTTGAACTTCACATAATGATTCATTCACTCCAAAAATAAAAGTAACATTTTTTTGGGCGGATACAGGCAGAGAGATGGAGTTCCAACTCATGATGGGAGACTGTCAGTGACAAAAAAAAAAAAAAAATGAGATAGATAGATAGATAGATAGATAGATAGATAGATATTTATCTAGCACGCTAAACAGTTAATTAGATAGCTAGATAGATAGCTAGCTAGCTATATATATTTTTTATGACACACACACACACACACACACACACACACACACACACGTAACGTTTTGAGTCTGAAGAGAGAGCAGACACGTGTGACTCGTGAGCTGGGGTGCCCAGTTACAAGTCGGCATTTTTTTTTTTTTTTTTTTTTTTTAACGGCTTGTGACATTGCACTGCACAGGGTGTCCATATAACCGAGCTATCACAGCTGAGATGATAACATGGAGGGACGTGCCCGTGAAGACACACACGTCAGCCTCGTGGTATCAGTGTTACACCGGGCACACACAATATATTTGAGATTTCAAGCACGAACATGCAAGCCGGACAGATTCAAGAAATGTTGGTGCTCGTCATCAATCTACCATAACAAAAACTGCACCATCTTTGACCATTTTTGGCCCACACATTTGAAAATGATACAATTTGCATGCCGCGTACTGTTATACAGGTATGTACAAGTACGTACTGTTAACATTTTAGACAGGTATATGATTTTGTGACGGGCAAAGACAATTTAGCAGTCTTTAGCCCAATACAATGTTTTTGGAAACATTAAAGGCGTTCACGTGTTCTCCTAAAATATCAATGAAAATATATTAACTTTATGTACATGCTTTTGCATTAGTTTTAATTAATATTCAACATTGACTCAGTTCTAAACCAGATGACTCGAAAGGCTCTATGCCCTGACACTGTCATCTTCAAATCACGAGTGTTGAAAATAAAGAGCGTCTGACACTAGAAGGTTTTTTTTTTCTTTCATCTTTTAATAGAAAACCAAAGAGTAAACACACATGAATGCATACAGTCTCTTGGTCTTTTTCTGACGGCACTAGAAAATAAATGTTCATGAAAGGTGGGGTGTGGGGGACTTTCAAAATACAGGACCCCGAACATCTCAAAAAAAAAAAAAAAAAAAAAAACTGCGACGAGATGTTGGTTTCATATATTTGCACAAGGATTTGACAAGAAATCATACCGGCTGTAACAGTGACCTTTTTAATTATTTTTTTTTAAATGCAAGTTCTTCGTTGCCATATAACTGTTGCCATTGCGACTAACACACATGCGTTTCTCTATTATTGCCTTGGATTAGTTGACTGTATAGACGTTCTTTCTTTTATAGACATATCCTCCGTTTTTGAGATTTAAATATCCATTTCTATCAAAACGAGTTGTTCGTCGGTACACCCTTTTCACTTCCTTTGAGTCACAAATGTCACAAATGGTCTAGTCTACCACATTCTGAGATACTCACGGGAAGCGCTGCCCCGTCGCGTGGCCTCACTACATCGGCCACCTTGAACTCTGGTGGGAGGGGCTGGTGATGGTGGAGGGTGGGAGACTTGAACATTTGCTCGACATCTAATCGAGCACGGCCGAGGGAGCGGGGCGTGCGCAGCAGTTGGGGTGACGCACGTTCCGCAGGATGGACTGAAACGGGTTGTGCTGTCGCCGCTTGCTCTTCTTTCCTGCCCTCGGCGAGTCCGGGCCAGTGATGGACTTGCGGAAGGAAGTCTGGGCGATCAGTTTTCTCTCCTGCTCCTTGATCTTGCACTGCAGGTGGCTCTGAATGGCGAAGCCCAGGGATTCGGGGTCCACCGACGCGCCGTAAACCTCCCAGGTCATACCCTGCTCATCCCAGACGACGTCGTGGACGCTCTTCCGCGTCTGCTTCTCGTCGTCGCTTTCCTCGACTTCTGTTTGCCGCTTGCCAGAATTGGTCTCCGTTTCCGAGTCTTTTGTACCTTTTGCTTCCTCCAACGTGGAGGACGACGCGTTCCTGGGCGTTGATAGTTTGATATGAGCTGTAACAGCCTTGTCTGCGAATCCGGACCTGGTAGGGACATCCGTCTTTTGGGAGTCGGTCACGGGTATGTCCGCCGCATTTCTGTTCTCTGGCTCCTTGCGATGACTGTGCTCGATGTTGATCTGGTACACCGGTTGGATGCTGCTGAGAGTCGGCGTGCTTTCTTTAGGCTTCGCCCCCAGCTTGGAGTCAACCGCGGCGGAGGGGCACATTTCCGCCTCAACGGTGAGCCTCTCCGTGGCGGGCGGCAAGTGAATCTTCATGGGTGGCTCAATCTGGTGGAAGCCCAAACTCCCGTCGGACCGGTCGACGACGCCGAGGCTGTGGGCCTCCTCAAGGGTGCCTGCGTTGAGCCTGAAGGGCAGCAGGCTTGGGCTGGTGGACACGGCCTTGCAGCTGGTGGCGGCTACCGCCTGGACCTCGGCGTCGCGGCCCCGTTCGACCACGGTGGAAGGCAGTCGAGGGGAGGTCATGGTGGAAGCCTCCCGGTAGAGCTTACAGTGAGACTCGGTCGGACTTCCCGGATGTTCCTGGACTTTTTGCGTCACCAAAGGCAAGGACAAGGGCTCTGTCTGCAAGGGTACTGGCTGGTGTTTGTCTACGGATACTTTGTCTACAGATACTTTTTCCACAGGTGTTTTGTCGATGCCCTGGCTGTTGGTTGAAGGCAAAGCGGAGTTGAACAAGGGCACAGTTTCTGCGCTTTCTTTGAGCTCGGGTGGCTCCTGAAGTGAAATGGAGTGTTTTCGTTTGTGACCAGGCTCCTTGGGACTTGAGCCGTCCTTATCTTTGTGAACTGACAGACTCTCCACAGCCGCCTCTTTCTCCGGTTCAGGCGCGAGGTGTCTCGCGCCGTTGTTACGTTTGGATGAGATATTTCGCGCCGCGGTTTTGACGCTTGCTTCGTCCTTGGGTGTTTTTACCCGGCAGCCGGGACTCTGAGAAACTTTTTCGTCAGCCAGGCTTAACATGTTGCTAATGTTAGCATTAGCATCTCTTAGCTCTCCCACTTCAGCCACACCTTTGCTTGACATGTCCTCAGTCGGCTTGCGGGTGCTAATGGGCACTACTGACTCGGTCTTATCCAGTTTGCGGCCAGGCGATGCGCAACAAACTTGGGAGGCTATCAGGTTCGGCTCCGTGGTCCAGTTGGCGTTCGTCTCCCTATTGGCGAGCGTGTCCGCCGCAGGCAGCTGAGGCACCATCTGGACGGTCACTGTCCTTTTTGGGTTGGATCCCATGCTGGACGGATGCGTTCGCGCTGGAATTGCCGCTGTAATCCAAATGTGCCCACTCTCCTAAGGCAGGAGAAAAAAAAAGCAGCAGCCATCATTCAGAGCAACATTTTATTTTAGGGCCCTCCATTTTTTTTACCCCCTCAAAATATTGCCTACTGATCACTCATGCACCAACTACAAAGTCATCGCAGCGGGGTTACACGACAAGAAGAGGAGGGATTGATTTGTGCCACAGTGCATTAAGTGAAGACCATCAAGACCAGGGGAGCCCCAGACCGGTTCTCGAGAGCCCCTAGCCAGTGTGTTTTAGATGTCTCCCTCTTCCAACACACCCGATTCAAATGATCAGGATGGTTTTCTCAGAGCCTGCTGATGAGCTGATCATTTGAATCACGTGTGTTTGAGGCGGCAGATATCTAAAATGAGCAGAATAGGTCCTTGACGATCGGTCTTGATCGAGGCCTACTATAGGTAACACAAATAAACCCGTATACTACTAATTTGCAGTAAATGTGTCATGTCGTTCATTATTTTTGGTTGAAAAAAAAAATCTTCAAAACGATGTGCCTGAAAACTGGTACCTGAAATAAGGTGACAATTTTTTTTTTAAAGTACAAAATATAAAGTTGAATAATTCAGGTCTTAGTACTCTGAAAAAGAAAAAAAAAATCGAAACAACTCCAAACATTTAAGTTTTTCACGTTAAGTTTCCCGGTACTCTGTTCTTCCTTTACTCATACAAAACGAAAAGAAATAAAATACGAGGTAGTCAGAGAGAAATGATGCGACTTGGCTCAGTAAAGGTCGGGAAACGTCCTCACGCTCCATTTGAATGTTGCTGGAGCTACTATTCTTGTTCATGGCAATGCGTCATTCAGTTGTCACCTCCTGTTGCCATAGAGACAGATGTCAATAAACATTAACATAAGCATTACTACATCCTCACCAAACACTTATTAGGTACACCAGAGATTCAATACCAGCATTATCAGCCATTCTGCCTTTACTATAAGAATAGTTCTTTTTTTATACTGCCACAGAGGGATTGATTTATTTTTTATTTATTTTTTTGAACATATACAAAACAAATTAAAACATGATGGATTACAAAATAAGGGAAAATAAAAGAAAGGCGACAGAAGATTTTGTATTTTGAACCAAACGCAAGTTCAACAGGAGTAGGAAGAAAGGAAATATTTTCAGTATCGGGTCCTACCCCGACTTCTCAATACAAGTTTGAATTATGTAATAATAATAATAATTAAAAACAATAACAATGGAAAAAGAAGCTAGACTCTAGGTATCCAAAAAATAGAAGTCTTCAGTCTCCTGTGCTCGTTCTAAACTACCTTATACACAAAAGTCCTTTACAGGAAAGTTGTACAGTTGGTCAAATGCAGCATGCTGAATTGATAGATCCCAACGAAGAGACAAGCTTTGTGGGTCGGGGAGGAGCTAAGTTTAGCCTGGATTGTTATGGAGAGTCTTCACTGCTGGGGCATTTTTTTTTCTTTTCTAAATCCAATATTCTGTAAGTGGGAATGTTGTGAAATGAGTTGGAAATAAAAATAAACTGTTGAGGGTTGATAGTTTGCACTGCATATTACAGTCCAAACACTTTAGCGGGAGGTGCGGGGTGAATCTCTTCCTTGCAACTTTTCCAACCTCGTCACATTAACGGGCCGTGGCAGAGCATCAGGTTTTTCAATTTCACTGAATTGGTCTGAAAATAATTACTTATTTCCTCCAAGTAAATCTAATGTATCTTTGTTCATCTATTTATGCCAGTGTTGGATAGTGACATCAAGGCAGAACAATTTCATGCTCTTCTACTGAATAGACATCTTACTGTACCGTTATTTAGGTACAGTGGGCTTATACACTGCAGACTTCTTGGGACATTTTTGTCTGGCGGTGTACCGTGAGATCTGTTGAGCATAAAATGAAGGGACACTGTACTGGGATACTGTCGGATGGACGGACAGATAGACAGACAGACTCCATCATTAATTTATCAATTATATTGACGGCATTGTTAGAGGCGATCAGCTGCAGTCCACAGACACACATTGTTGATTTTTTTAAATGCTGCCATATTCAGTGATCGTTGTGTCAAATCATGGAAAGGGTCACAGGCACACTCAACATGCGAGGTGCCGTAGCGGGCAGACAATTGAAGCGTTTGTGTTTGCCCTCCCACTATTCATGCACCCGTCTGTCATCACAGTGCAAACATTGATGTGGAAAAACATCCTCGTTGCCTCTAAATACATTCGGCGTCAGTCTCATTCATTTAAAAAGAATGGTATTGCGTTTCTGATGCTTTGCAGCAAGAATATTTCACGCCACAAACATGCAATATGATTTTTTTCATTTTTTTTTTCATGTTTGACCTTGCGGCTGCACGCAAAGAAATAACCAAGCACGGTGCGATCGCGGTGCGTGGATTAGGGGTGTGGAAACAAGAGCGAGGGGGTCGCTTACCTTGACGGGGGCGCTGCGGTTTGCGCATCCGTGTCAGCGAGAGATGAGGAGGCTTGAAGAAGCCCTCGCATGAATATGGAGAGACACACTCGGTGACATGAGCCACGCCCTCCCGCTACCAACCAGAGACAGTTTTTTTCTTTCATTCTTTTTTTGGGTGGGGGTGGGGGGCGAAGTGGGCTGGTCGAGCGTGCGTGTGCACGGTGCATCAGTGTAAACAAAACAATAATGTGATGAATGAATGAGTGGGACCATTGTTTGTCGTTTTTTTTTGTCACAGCAGTTTCAAGCGTCTGCAGTGGATTATCTGCACTTTATGACTGATATATATGCAGTATATATGGAATAGAAATCATTGTTAAATGATAAAAAATACTTACTGAATAGATGATGAGATATTGAGTATCTTAGATATCAGTAAATCATTCAATAAATTTAAAAATGCACAACTAAAGGTATGTGTTGTATTAAAACACACACCAACTAAGATTTTAAGGAAAAAATGTATGTCTACGCCTTTTCACAACTTGATTCGAAGGAAAAACATCACTTCTGCTCACATAATATAGGCTACTTTTGCTCTTTTATAAAATCGCTCGCCCTGGGGGGGTACATTTTAAACGTCACGTGTTGTTTCGGATCTAACGTTGCTTTGCTACCAATGTGAACTGACGAACCAAAAAAATGCAAAGTTACAACTGAAGAGTAATGAGAAGCGGGCACAAACGCAATAAAACGCAACGGGAGTTAGGACGGTCCCGTGGCGGCATCTAGTGGCCAGTCTGTGAATGAAGATAAATTACCTGCGTATGAATTAAACACAGAGACCGCATGCGTGCTCCATTCAGTTTCGGTATTTTTTTTAGATGCACTAACAGGTATAACGACATGTAAAAATGCTGTTGTTACAGTTCATTGTACTATTACCTGTGCTGATACTATTTTTCTGACCCTCGCAGTTATTAATTCTATTTCTGTACAACTATACGCTAACAACTGTTTTTTATCTTGTGGCATTTTGAAAAACTGCTTGCTCGCGTTGTGTCCAACTGCCAACACAACGCGCAGACATCCTTGCTCGTTTTGCTATTGCGCCGTTCACAACCATGCAACGTGCCGACACTTTGCCCCCACTTTGCGTAGACTCCTGAGCACAGGGAGGTCAAAGGCAGCGCTTCCGGTAAATCCAGGAAGTGCCTGCAGTAAGTGTACTGTAGATTCGTCGACTCCGGATGGTTGGTCAAGATAAGCTTTTAATACGTTTGCTTTTTTTTAAATTATAGGAAAATTAGAAGGGTAAGAAAAACCACATTTAAGGAAAAACGTTTACTGTCTGTGACGAGTGTCTAGCTGGCTTAGCCAAGTAAACTAAACTAACTACTGTTTTGCTTGCTCGAGTGACAACTCACCTGTTGTCTGGACGACGCTTTCGCTTTCATAAATTGGACACGAGTTGATTCAGAGACTTCTCGGCTAGTCGTAAAATTGATGTTTGCTTACGTACCACACCGACAGTGAAAGTGTTTGTATCAGCTTAATGTTTGTATTTTTGTTAGCATTGAATTAGCCTCAGGGCTAGCTCAAAATACTGTATCGGTATAACGCGTACAGTTGGTGTAACGTCGGAAATATTACTGCTTGGTAGTAAAAAAAAAAAAAAAAACTACAAATAAAAATATTTTTTTCATACATCAACAGCGTTGCTCTTTTAAGGCGTTTTAATGAGGTTTGTTAGAAACTAAACTGTGCATGCTCACTTTTCGCTCCGTTCCAAATATCAGCGATAGTTGTGACGAATGAATGGAATTAATATTTTAGCACACACTTGTTTTGGCGTCATAAATATTACTGCTTAATAATGCCTCATAAAAACCAAAACGAATAACTAGTCTTTCATGTTTGCATTTGGAATAATAAGATTTCATTCAGAATGCCTTTTTCAACTAATACGTTTCCACATGCAAGTTGCTCTATAAACGTCATTTTCCCTGTGATTTTTAAATAAACAATCTATTTTTTCCTCATTTTCTATTTTACTCTACATTACAAACAGTATGAAAGCCAATTCGGGATTTTATCACTGTATTTATTTGTTGTAGTTACACCTCATTATAATACAGGGCACTTTTCTAGTTATAACAACAAACGTGTTTAATGTTAATTCACTGTACCTCCTGACTATAATGTTTGCCATCCATAATATGGAGATTGAATGTATTCTGTGTGTGTTTGTACATTACATTTGTTTTTTTCTTGAGTCACTTCTCTTCAGATTTAGTAGTGAAGAATTTTTCTCGGTTGGCATTGCAGCAAGTATGCTGGTGTACATATGGCAGTACGTGTACACAACCTTCTTGAGGTACTGGTTCAAATGGCTCATCAGGCAGGCAACTGGGACGTGCGAGCTGCAGAGGATATGCTCGGGATACGGGCCGGGGGCGTCCAGAACGATAAATACAGGTAGAAATAATAGTTATATATATCGTTGGCGTCGGGCATAATTTCTCAGGGAACTAAAAAATTTTTAAAAAGCAAGTTTGTTGGATAGTAACATCACACCATCAACTAAAGCAAACATTTTTCAACACTTTAGCTTGATTTGCTAATACTTGTGAAAAATTATGAAACCAACCAAATATGGACATATCCCATTTCATGTAATTTTTCAATTTTGAGTTTGTGTCTCACGATAGCGTCTGTGCCATTGCAGAATACTCCCTGAAGTCTTCAAAGAGCAAGGTAAGCAAATAATGTGTATCTTGCGAGGCGTCAAGAATTTCACTCCCGGTCATAAGATCATACATACCAGCGTGAGGAAGCCTTTCGACCCATGTCACAATCTTACAATTATCAGGAGTGCAAAGGTCCGCACTGTAAACAGGACCCATCTTGATTTGTTTTGCTTTGACACTATTATCTAACCAGCTGAAAAAAATTTATAAAGGTACCGATTCCCTGTTCTGCTAATTAGTACCAGTACTTAAAAACAAAACAAAACAGAAAAAAAAAAAAACCCAAAACTTTTGTGCTTTCCCTGACACTTTCCTCTCCCTCTGTAGCTTCTGCGAGGTGCTGTAGAAAGCAGCGAGGAACACTTAGGACAACATGTGCAGCAAATCATGAAGGAGAAGAACATCAAAGAGCAGACAAATCCCCGGTAAAGCCACACACACACACACTTGAGGAAACTGAGCAGTCGAGTGTGTTTCAATCACTGACCTTCCTCCCTTTCAGTTTCAAGGAAAGCCTGCACACGTCGCTCCTGCAGATCACGGGATACGAGAGCCTGTACGCGTCCGTTGAAGACGTCAGGAAGGAAGCGTTCTGCCCGGAGAACACTCAACACGAGGCCATGCTGTTGGAGGTGCGCAAAGTGGTTATTTTTTTGTTTAAACGCTGACTGACCCCAAGTCTCGTAAACAACATTGAGGTCTCAAGCGGCAGCCAATTGCCAATTTTGTCCGATCCCGTTGCCTCACCCTCAGCTTTGGGAGCTGCTCATGCCGAGCGTGACGCTGGAGTCAAGGGTGACCAAGCAGTGGGGGGACATCGGTTTCCAAGGGGACGACCCCAAGACGGACTTCCGAGGAATGGGCGTGCTGGGCCTTACAAACCTTCTGTGAGCGAGTTCTCCTGCGAGAAATGTCGGGACAGTCTCCCAAGTGTTTGTTCTGCTAACCTGTTTGGATTTTTTTTTTGTGTGTGTGCTTTTTCGATCCTTCACAGCTTCTTCAGTGAACACTACACACAAGAAGCTCGCCTGGTCCTGTCTCATGCCAACCATCCCAAACTGGGGTGAGGCACTCGCCCCTTTCATTTTGTCAAGCTGTTTTTTTTTTTTTTTTTAAATGTACTGTTATTATAAATGACATCGATGCAGTATATATTATCAGAGGCAGAAAAATTATATCACCTCAATATCAGGGGTTCTAGTTTTTAAATGCTGAAAAAAAAACATGATGTATAGATGTATAGGGCGGCACGGTGGTCCAGTGGTTAGCGCCTCGACCTCACAGTGCAGAGGTACCGGGTGAAAGGCGACGCTGTGCAATTGGAACCCGTTTTTACCACTGCCCGTATAAGCCGTCACGACATCCGACGCGTGTTCCAGGTACTCGTACGCCATCGTGGGGATCAACCTGACCGAGATGGCTTACAGCCTGCTGAAGAGCGGCGCCCTCAAAGCTCATTTCTACAACACGGTGCCGGGTGCCCCCAAGCTACAACACTTTCATCAACTTTACTGTGAGTACGCCAAACTTAAGAGATGGGGGGAAGGGAGTCAATTCTTTGCATGACTATGGGCGATATTAACCATCATATGATAGGACATATTTGCGGGGAGGAAAAAAAAACATGTTTGCCATTTTCATGGAACGCCAATTTTCCCAAATATCAAACCGAGCATGATGTCGCTTGAAAAATCCTCTTATGGTCGAAACAGAAATAACATGTACACGACGAGACGCAGTGCGGCGTGGCTTGATTTTTTTGCTCGTCTACCGCTTGCAGGCTACCTGGCGTTTGAGTTTGATAAATTCTGGCTTGCGGAGGAACCTGAAAGCATCATGCTCTTCAACCAGTACAGAGATAAGTTCCACCATGTCGTGCGGACCCTCCTGGAGAATCCCCGAGTGTCGCTCACTCTGAGCGCCCCGTCCTAAACCAAACGCCACACCGGGGGTGGGATGGGGGGGAAACGCCCCAGTCTGAATGTTCCACCATGTCGTGCGGACCCTCCTGGAGAATCCCCGAGTGTCGCTCACTCTGAGCGCCCCGTCCTAAACCAAACGCCACACTGGGGGTGGAATGGGGGGGACGCACCAGTCTGAACGAGACAAGCACAGACCTCTGGAAAATAGAGGTAACAGCCAAAGAATGAAGATGATGAGGAGGGTCCAAAGACACTTCAGCAGTGGAAAATGGTATTGGAGTTTTGATCCGCAAAGCAATAATAGTAATTAATACACACAATAAAAAAATAACAATTACTCGGCCATCTCAGGATTTTTGATATTTACGTCCTTAATAATGTGACCAATGTTTTTTTTTTCCTGTTTGTTTTTGAAAGACATTGTTGTACACGTTCTCTTTGAACATTCCAACGATGTACAATCGTAAAAATAAAGGCACACACGAAGCAGAGTGTAAACGAGGTGAACTTTGTTTATAGATAGTCTTCTTCATGTAAACAGCTTTTACATGCGAGTACGATGGACATTTGGACGACTGAATAAAGTGCAAACGTGAACCAACCCCCCAACCTGACCCCACTCTTCATACAAAGTGTATCATCATACACCGGAGACAACATTAGGTACACATTTGATCTCCGAGGAGAAGTACTGTGATGCAGCTAGTCAAATAAAACATAACATGGCTTTAAATAATGTCAAGAAATACATTGATACTGTCAAAAATGCGTCTTGTAGATCAGAGATGAGTACAAGGCACCTTGGAGGAGTTTAGACAATTCGCAAACAAATTACAGGTACAACATTTCCATATTGTATTTTAGAAGGCACCAGTATTGGTTGCGTTAAATTTATTGCATTTAATTATTACAACTATTTCATGTGGGCATCAAAATAATCATTTTACAATTCCGCTGCACTAACCGCCGTCCCTGAAAGGGTTAAATTCTGACACTTGCCTTTTAATTAATTTTGAATTGTATTGATGACATGTAGTTATTCAAATTATTCCAAACAAAAATCGTATTCCATAGATTGTATTCATTTACTATTTCCAAAGATATATTCTACAAGTACTTCATCTGAAAAAAAACAAAAAAAAACAATCCTCTTATCGTTACAATGACTTCCTTGTAAACATAAAAATAAATTATTTGATGATCCCATCCATCATCATGGCTGAGTGTACCTAATGTTGTGTCCAGTGCATTCTGGGCTCAGTTGGAGGCGTCGAAGCGCTTCTTGGTCACCATCATGGCACGCTTGATTTGCTCGAAGGAGACGAACATGACGATGTTCCACGAGCCGAGCCTCAGGAAGGATGGCACAAACCTAAAAAAAAAAAAAAAATTATGGGATGGTAGGGTAGAGGAACGAACCGCTCACTGGGCTTTGCCCCGCTCACCCCTTGTAGAAAGCCGTGGGCCCCTCTTTGGTCAACATGGTCCAGGCGCAGTTGATAGCGCTGCGGTACTGACCGGGCGGCGAGTTCATGTACCTCGTCTTCACCACGTCCACCGGGGAGGCGATCACCGTGGTGACGAAGCCGGCGCCGAAGGCCGACACAAAGTGACATGGAAGGTTGTCTGTTGGGGAAAACACCACCGAGGGTCTTAATCCGCCGGAGGGCGTGACGGCCCCGCCCCCCCCCCCACCGGACCAATGGGCTGCCTCGCTTCGTGCGTCACCTGACATGAGCCTGTGTCGCAGGATGGCCTCTTTGATCAGGTCGTACGTCACCAGCTCGGTGCAGTTGACCAGCGCGTTCCTCGTGATGTTGGGCAACGTTCCTGGTGGAGCAACGCAGTGGCAGAAAAATGCGTCACTCTTCCAAAGCAAAATCACTGAGGCCAGAAGTGTATAATTGCGTGCGTGTGTCAGTATATTTGATAAAAATCAGTCAAATGTGTCATCGACCCTTTGACGGACAAGCGGGCACTACAGTGGACAGCTTATCATGTGATCAGGTGACAGGGTGCATGAAAGGGTGTGTACAAATGAGAAATGCAATAATAATAACGATTATAAAAATCAAGTACAACGGTGCTGTTTCGAATTTCAAGTTCTGCTTTGATTGTTGTTGTCCTTTTGAATCATTTCTATTGAAATGATAATAATTAAATATTCCAACACTGCCAGTGCAGAGATAGTCCCCCGCCCCAAAAAGTGTTCAAATGTTTGTTTATTTTTTGGGATTTGTGAAATTTTTGTCACCAAAATAATATGAAAATTGAGGGTTGTGTTTGAAAAATAGTGATTATTGTCATTTTTTCAATATATTTTTCTGCTTTAAATGATCATATTAGGTTTTATTGCAGAGAACTTTGGGTTGCATTTCTATGTATGAAAAGTGCTGCAGAAGTACAATTTGATTGACTGATTGATTGATGATCTTTCAACGTGGTAAGTCAATCTCTCATTCCCACCGGGCAGAAAGCTTGCTTTTCCGCAATGATGACTTCTCAGAAACTCCCTCAAATTCTGGAAATTACATTATCGTTGGATGCCCTCAGAAGCAGAAAGCAGCGATTGAATTTTTGCTTTGCAAGGGGAACCATCACAAAAACTGTTTTCAAGAATGGCAAAATGTGTTTAGGGGGTTGCGGCAATAGCATCGCCCAAAAGTGGCTGTCTCGGATCACAGGCGAAAATCAGACGCCCACATCGGGACTGGGCTCGCGCAATCCCCATCATATATAAAAAACTTCTGAGCCGTAGCCAAAATTTGAGGTACGAAGAGTACCCTGGCTTCCCCGTACAATGAAAAGAGAAATTTCTTTTTTTTTTGGGGGTGGGGGGGGGGCCATAGTCGGCACCCACCTTTCCAGAGTCCGCGCAGTCCTTCGTTGCGGAAGATGTGCCTGTAGGCCTGCATGGTGCCGCTGTAGCGCCGCGCCACTCCGTCCAGGTTCATCTGAGCCTGGAACCTCACCTTCACCACGTCGGTGGGCTGAGCGAACGACACCGCCATGGCGCCCGTCGTGCAGCCGGCCAGGATGCGCATCAACACTCCTGCGTCTGCACCGAGGTTGTCGGAGTTAGTGAAAATTTACCCCCAAAAAATTTTTTACAAAATTAAAAAATAAAATGCAAAAAAAACCCCCTAAAAGAACTGGAACCACTTATGTTCTTAAAACGCTAATAATTATTATATTATTTTAATTTTTGTCAGTTTTTTTCGGTGTTGCTGTACTTTATTGCACAATACTTAGTGACGTTGAATTTTATCTTACACTTGACACATACGTCATACATTAAAAAAATGAAGCTAATGCCAAGACTAATAAAAAACTAAACTAAAATGAAGCATTGCTCTGAAAAATCAATTAAAAGTAACCGAATTTAAAAAAAAAAGAAAAAAAAAGTCAGCATGAAATAACTATTAGGAAAAATCCAAATAATTTTAACTCTTACCAGCACATCCACACACAACAACACAAACGCAATGACAAATGACGCAATCGCCCATCCGCCAAGTAGACACGGCTCCCATTTGGTAGCAATCGGACAAAATCTTTTGGAAAAGTTTGTCTTTGAACGACCTTGGAGCACATGGACCCGAAAAGATTTTTGACTTTTTTTTTTTTGTGGTGCGTCTCCATATGGAAGACATGCCGACCAAATTTCACATTGGTTGAAACCGTCCCCCCAAAGGGCTCAGTTGTCAAGCATCGCTGACCCAATTTTGAAATATGAAAACGTACTTTCTGCTCCTCCGGTGTAGAAATCTCGGACGTTGTCGTAGAGGCCGATTCGCACCGAGGCGAAGCACAACTGCCGCTGCAGACCCGCCACCAGCCCGTTATAGAGCGAACGAGGACCCTCGGTGCGGATCATGGTACTGATGGTCCCGAACACGCCCCTGTAGCGGATGGCCTTGGCTTCTGCTGCCGCCACCTTCTTCTCGCCTTGGATCTGAACTCGAGAAATTTGTTTTGAGGACTCATTATAACCACAACACACAAGCCCGCCGGTGCTTACCTGCAGTCTGACTTTGGCTGTGTCCAGGGGGAATGTGACGATGTCGGCGATGCACGCCGCCGCCCCCGCGCTGGCCATCTTCACCCCTAAGGGTGGGGGCACGTCTGAGGGTTTTAGGCCGACCATGTTGCCCACAATCTGGAGGTCACACACACAGACGTCGGTTTTCCCTGTGGAAACTATCCTCAGCTGTTTGCTGGCACCAAAGCCACCTTTCTAAAGGCCTTTTCACACTGCACTTAGCAATGTACAGCACACCATTGACAAACCCATCAAGTGTACATAGGCGAGGAAAGCTTGAAGAAGGAATGCCACACCCTCATATTGAAATGTGCTCAATTCAAGAACGGCGACAAGGCGCATCCAATTGGGGGAGTGGGTGGCGGAGTGATTTCAGAGCGCTAACGGCAAAAGACCTGACGAGTGTCAAAATACGTGTACTTTTAAAAAGTAATAGTGTGTTGTAAAAGTAAGTAGGCCTTGTCAGTGAACATCTTGTTACTATAAATTTACTTTACCCCTCAAGATCACAACAACACACACAGCTGTTAATGTCTAAGCCGTTGGCAACAAACGTGCGTCGACTCCGAAGTGAAAAAAAACAGCTATTGACTGTTATATTGGAAAGCTGTGACCCCAACTACTGATGCAGTAGTTGGGAGCACACCAAATCATTTCTCACAGCACACCAAATGAGTGAAGTCTCTGTGAGAAATGATCAATTTTCACTTAATTGGTCCAAAAAATATTTTTTTCCTACAAATACAACAATAATTAAAAAAAATATGAACACATGTATTGCTGACATTGGTCGGAATCGTCGTACCTCCGAATATATTGTGTATGATTGTCATAATAAAACTGGAAGACAGAAAAAATCAACAATTTGAATATTTGTCGATTTTACTGTATTTTTCTGACTATGACTGTAATGCATCTTTGTTCATCCCACTACGGCAGCAGTTTATCGCGATAGCCAGAGCAATTAAATCGGCTTCCGCAAGATAGTAGGACGTCCAATTAACCTGTCGTGCATATCCTCTGCTTGCCATTCACAAAACGAAAGAAGCCCACATTTCACGTCAATTTATGTTATCATTATAATATTAAGATATACCCGGCACATTGAGATCATTTTGTTTGGTAGTGTGCCGTGATTTTTTTTTTTCCTAATGTAAGTGTACCTTGGTTCAATTCAAAGTTAGGAAACACTATTGCAACATCAAAAGACTGCACATGAATGCCATTTGGGAAAAAAAAAAATTGACTTACATGGGGTGAAATGTGGATCCTCAGGTGTCGCCGGGTAGGATTAGCAGCTTGTAATCCATAAAGGGCAGGTAGGATGTGGTTTGGCTCCGTTATTTATGCGTGCCCCCCTCCCACCACACACACACCCCCTCCGACGTCTTTATGATACACGAAGCGAGAGGCGTTACTGTTGTGTCCCCGGGAGTCAAAAGTCCAGCGACTGTCAAAAAGTCAATGTTCAATTGAGCACTCTTCAAACAAACAACCTTGTCATAGGCCACATTTGACCCCCCCCCCCCCCATTATGCCCCCTTGCCCCCGGTGACTCGGCAAATGTCATTCCGCATCATCATTAACTATTAACACATCAACTGGAGGATTTGACAAAGTCTCAGTTGCTCTGTCGTGTGCGCCTGTTCTGGGCTCCTGCAAGCTCTCCATTCATTTTTTTTTTCTTCATGGCGCAAGCGGGGGGGGGGGGGGCATCACGGCGACAAAGGTAAAAGTTGTGACTGAAGTTCACAGTAGAGCTGATAAGAGCGTTTTGCGTCGTGCTATCATAACGCCTTGCACCACCGATGCATGTGGAAAAACATCGTACGCTAGGGAGAAAAAGTCTATCAACTAAGATGACAGAAATGTCAAGGAAAGCCTACTTGAACAGCTGGACTGAAAGATGCAAGTTAACGTTTCTGGATGGTTTTTGTTTTTTTTTTGGTGCCGATTTTGAATCTGTTGGGGTTTTTTTTTCCTCAAGCAGGTTTTCATACTAAAACCAATATAATATCCTCAGTACAATATGTAATATTTTAGTTTAAAAAATTGTGGATTAGGTTCAGCAACAGGTGGAATTTTAAAGAATTGAATCTGAAACGATGCAAGTTTTTAACTTGAGAAAAATCAACACTTTTGGGTTCAAGAGCTCTGGGGAACATTTCAAGCATGCCGGGAGTCTGAGCGTCACACAAAAATGAGAGGCTCTTTTTTAGTACTGCTTTCACCTAAAAAAAAAAAAAACTGACTTTGCATGACACTAAATCGAGACGACTAAAATGAAACTAACCAGAATCATTTTGATGATGGTCATGAATAATAACGTGTAAAGCAGTGAACTCTGTCTTCATTTCATTTTAATTTGATGGAGTGATATTCAGTTATCCAGTACATCAAAAAAAAAATGGAGCAACAAAAACAAACGTACAAAACCATTAAAAAACAGAATTTAAAAAAAGCCATGGGGTAGATAATAAAATACACAATTGTATTTGATTGTCGACCCCACATAAAGTGACCATTGGTGTGTCCATACAACAGCGCTTGAGTGTCATCATCATACACTAACGAAACACTACCACTTCCTATGCATCTTTCAACACGTCTCTTCTTGTACAAACGTCTCTTCGTAAGAATCGTGAGAAGGAAGAACTTCAAAAGGAAGTGTACTAACCGTACGCCACTTGTCAACTGCACGGCACCTGCTCGGGTCCACTGGCTTTTCCACCGGCAAAGGCGGCTACTGTTTCCGGAACCTGTTACATGCTCGTGGTCTCTGATTGGTCGAGCAGATTGTGCCGGTGTGGCTAGAAATGACAAAAGAATTGGTTAACGTTAGCTCCTGCTGCGCGCGAGTCTACATTTAGCTGCAGCGTTTCAATTTTCTCACTGCCCGCAGTGTCTGCTCCAATAAACTTTGCTTCCTTATGGCCATTCTAAGATTGACAACCCAAAAAGTAAGGTGCCTTAGCTCTGGATGTTGCAATTTTCCATTCCACATTCTCAACTTCGCTGTTGCTAGGTCCCAGTTTTTCCTCAATGTCCGCAGTCTCATCTGAGATTAAAAAACAACAACAAAAAAAAGGAGTGACGTATTATACTCCACAGTTTAGCTTGTTGCTGCTCAGTCTATTCTTGGAAAATGTTTGTAAAACTTCACAAATGCTGAGACCTTGTATTATTCTGCAGCTCTGTGCCCACAGTCTCCTTTCAGATAATATTCAGTTCGGGGGGACCCAGGATAAACTCCAGTCTCCAATTCTCGCTGCCTGCCATCACCTCTTACATAACATCTGTAGCCTTTTGCGAATTAAATACTGAATATCCAGCATTATATTCCACAGTCTCCACTTTGCTGCAGTGCCTTGTTTTTTTTCGCTGCCCGCAGTCTCCTCCTGGATGAACTGGGTCAAAGAGAAAATACAGAGAACCTCTTTTCCCCTTTGTTGCCATTTGTCTTGAACTGGCAGATGTGTTCATGTGCAGTTTGGGTTTCTTGCTTTACATTCTTGTTTTTTTTTTTTTTTGTGGAATTTTTTTGACAGAGAATAACAGGCAGTATATGTATATGCAAAGTAAGCATTGATGTGTTGCATCATCACGGACGGTCTCTTGATTCGCAACTGTGCCCAAATAATCCAATTTGACTTCATTAGTCTGAAAATGATTACTTCCTATAAATAATGTATCTAGGTACATCTATCTATGTCAGCGACTTATAATGACAGGCAGAACAATGAAATGCTCTTCCACTAGATGGCAGAAGGTGCAACGTGTGTAATCCACCAGTTGCCATTCACAATCGTACAAAGTGTTCAACGACACAAGACTACAGAGTGTGTACATGTGACATTTTTGTTTGGTGGGTGTGCGTGAGTGTTCTCTCATGTAAACTATGTGCCTTGGCTCAAAAAAGGTTGGGGAGAAACTCAGAATAGTGATCAAGATGTCGACTGTACAGCAACTACATGTGATGAGTTTGTTGTCTCTACTGGTGAATTTTTGGTCACATTCATTGCACTAATTCAATTTACAGTAATCACCCGTCTATTACCTTTTTGCTATTCACAGATTCACTATTTTTTTTTTTTGGGTGGGGGTATTCTTAACATTTACAACAAAAATACGAATTACAAGGCAGAACATTTGACTGTTTTACAATACTTTGTCATTTACTATTTAATTGTACAGTAGAGTGTAAAATAAAAAAATCATTTTGTTGTATAGTCTTGATATGTACAATAAATATATTGTAAAAAAAAGAAGCTGATTTTGCCTATTTTAGGGGCTGTCTGAAAGTCATTGTCTTTATCTTGTATTAATGTGTATAAAATTTATTTTAAAAAGAAGAAGAAAAAAAGAAAAAACATTTAGCAACAATCAACGGAAAAAAATTTAATCAGATGATTTATTTGGGGGGGGAAGGTTAGAATGTCATTATCTTGTATGTCATGTTGTAATGTGTAAAAAAAAAACATTTAGCAACAATGGCATTGCGGGGGATGTTACTCCAGTGGAATGCGTCTGTGAAGAGAATTAATTTGGAGGCTGCGCCCCCCCCCCCCCCCCCAAAAAAATCAGTCAATTTTTTTGCTGATTAAAAGAGCTCATATCAGCTGATTAAAATGGCTGGACAATGATTTGGCCAGCCCCTGAATTAGAAACTTCTTCAGGCGACAGCAATTAAAGCATTGCTTTGGCGCCATCTTGTTGCTTGGCAACTATGTTGTATGTGAGTTGAGGAGCTTAATTTTTGATAAAAGTAGTGCTTTGCTGCCATCTTGTGGCATTCATAGGCAATCGTAAACCTTTTAAGTGGGCCTTCAATTAGTTGCAGATTTTTCGCGACTGGTGGCCGGGCTCAGTTCCTATCCGCCGGTAATAGTGGAGGATTACTGTAAATTTGGACCTGGACTGTTCTACCATAAATGTTCTTCTAGCCTACAAGTATAAATACGAAGCGGTAAACGGTCCTCCTCTCAACCGGAGAGTGAGATTTCATAGTCACTGACGGACAGCAGAGCTTTGCGTCCTACTTGGCGGACGTTCTTGGCGTTGGTGATGCGCGCTGACATGTCGGCGGGCTTCTCAAAGTAAAGCACCAGCGCCTGCTCGGTGAGCACCGACGCCAGGAATTGCTCGAAGGTGATGGCCCAGTCCTCATCCGCGCCGGGCTCGGCATGGCAGTTCTTCTTTTTCTTCTTCTTGTCCTCGTCGCCCTCGTCGCTCCTCACCAGCACCGTGTCGTCGGCGATGTCTTCGCAGCGCAGCTTGTTGTTGTCGTCCGGCTCGTGCGAGCCGGCGCTCAGCACCGAATACGACGACACGGACGTGTCGTCCTTGGCCTCGTCGTCCGATGTGAGCATGGCCGATTTGGGGGACGCGTCATCCAGCTTGATGTCCTGCAAGGCTGGTGAAGGCTCCTCCTCGTCCTCCCATGAAAAAATACAATTAAATAAAATTAATATGAAATTCTTACCCATCAGGAGAAGGAAATACAGCTGTACCTTTACTTACATCTGCCCAAAGTATTTTTTTTTTTTTTTAACTTTGTGTAGCAAACAAACTTACTGCAAACAAGCAGTTTTATAAAGAATTCACTTCTCTGCAGCATCCCATTTTTCCACTGCCCATAGTCTCATGTTAGATAGTGTCCTCTTTGATAGAACATTAAATTCAGGAAAGCTGGTCATATGCTGCGGTCTCCTCTTTGCTGCAGCTCCCCGCTGTCCGTAGTCTCTTCTTGGATAAAATTTTACAATTATAACGGAGAGACAGTATTTTTGCTCCAAAATCTCCGCTTTGCTGCAGTATTTTCTTCCTCCCACCCTCCATCTCCTCTCAGATAAAAAGTGTTAAAATTTTGAAACTTCAATACACGAGACCCAGTATTATACTCCACATTCTCCACTTTGCAGCAGCATCCCATTTTCTCACTGTCCACAGTCTCCTCTTTGGTAATATTTATATGAAAAGGAAATATCAAAATATACCCTGCAGTGTCCCTTTTGCTGCAGGTTCCTGTTTCTTACAGCCTATAGTCTTTTTGCCTAAAACTAGTAAAATTTTAAGAATAGAGGAGCCCTAGAATTATACTCCAAAATCTCTGCTTTGCTGGAGCACTTTTTGCTACCCACAAAAAGTACATTTTTTTGAGAATACAGGATACCCAGTATCACACTCTAAAATCTCATCTAATTTGACGCAGCACTTGCCCCCCTGCCCATAGTCTCCTCTTGGATAAAAGTACCCTTAGTCTCCTTGTGAAAGAAAAAAAAATACGTAACGTTTCTTCTTCTTCCTTGTTGTCTCACCTCACTCAACTCAGGATCGCGATCCCCGCATTGGTGGTCCCGGCGAGTGGCGCAGAAGAGCTTGCCCACCTCTCCCATCTCCAGCAGCAGGCTGGTGACGGTGGCAGTAGCGTGATAGAGCTGCTGCTCTGCGGGGTCCTCACTGAACATGCTGTACAGCGTCTTGCAGAGCTCGATGAATTGAGTCTGCGCCGCAACACAGGCAAAAATTTGGCCTGTGCATCTCTCCAATCAAAGACGGCTTCAATTAGTAGCTCAATTTTCCCATTCCAAGTTTTCATTACACCGTCAAAAATAAAAGCCTGATTGCGTTTGGTCGTCACCTTCCAAAATCAATTCGATGAATCGAGAGAACGAGCCGGGGGAAAGTGGGAGAACGTGGAAAATGCGCAAAATTGCGGTGTCGCATCAATCACATGTTCTGACACTTCATGACGACATTTAACAATAGCATAGCGCCGGTTTAGCGTGGCGTAGACTTAGCATTTCTTCGGTTAAATGCTCCTCTCATCCTCCTTTCATGTTCATGATTGTTGTCAGAAGTATCACGTCTTCGTCGTTACGGAGGTTATCGCGATTTGGAGGCCGATCACAAGGCAGGATACCTCAAAGTTTCACTTACAGACTCCAACTTAATCCATCGCACGCCATCTCGTAATTTCGGGAACACCACCAACCTCCACAGTACAGATATTAACTGCCCCGAACAAAATACGGTCAAAGCAGAACACTTGGCATCTCTGTGTGTTCATTTAATGTGGGGAAAAAAATGTTGGCGCTGTACAATGGTATCATAAAATGACTGGTCGGAAGACGAATGTGAATGATAGCATTTTACCTGATTGAGCTTCGGGAGATCTTTGGTGCGCTCCGTTTTGGATTTACTGTCCTGGTTCCACAGCTTCAGGTAGTGGCGATAGTCAGGAGCGTTCAGCTTCTTCACTGCAAACAGATTTTCACAAATATCACCCGCCGCCGGCCAGCCAACAACGCAACTCGCCCGGCGTGCTTGCCAATGCCGAGAACTCGCATAACTCTTAACCATTGTCATGTGAATGCTGTGAAATTAGCCATCGTGTTCCAAAAGGGTTTTCCGCTTACTTGTGGTCCAAATGTGGTATTTTGCGTGTCACCCTGAAGCAAAAAGATGATGTCGAGATATTGTCCTAGGGCATTTCAAGGAGTTCCAGCTTCCTTTTGTTTGAAATAATTGGTATAATCATGTTCAAAGAACCATTTGTTGAAATTATTTGTTAAAAAAAAAAAAGACTGGGCAGGCTTGTGCATAGCAAAAATCCGCATTTAATTGACGCCCGCTGAAAAGCATCGGAAAAAATTGGACGAAAGAACAGCTGCCAGTATTATCTGTGACCCACAAAGATGCAATATAGTTTTTTTTCCACAAAAGTTCAAGTAAATATGTCTGCGTTTTGGGATATTGTCTGTCTGGACTGTGTTGCGTCACTGTTTGTCTTTGAATATCTGTTGCTGAAAGGGTTGCTTCCACCGTGATTATTGATTCTAATTGTTACCGCCGTCAAAGGCGTATTCCATAATATGCTCGCATTGGGCAAGCAGGTAAATGACAATTTTTACGGCAAAGTTGTTGGGTTGTTTGAAATACACTTCCATGTTGGTTGTGTGACACTCACCTTTTTCCGTTTTAAACGTCACCCTGACAAAGCCGTCGTCCTTCTCGCTTCGGTTCTTCGCATCCTGGCCTGAGGAGCAGAGGACGAAATGCGTTGTAACAATTTTATTTTTATTTTTTTCCCCTAAAGCATATGCACCACTCCCTCCAGCTCCGCGACCGGAATGAAATTTGCGGCTTGGAAGCACACACCTCTGATCAAAACCTTCCAGCTGGTTGAGAATGTAATTTGTTTCATTCAGAAAAATACATTTAAATACCTGGTTAATTCATTTATTGGAAAAAAAACTCAAACATAAATGTACATAATTTGTTTAGTTGAATTTGTAAACTACATTAAATATGGAAGTTCATTTAGAATGGGATGAACTGTTTTGAAACAGTTCTATGATACTAAACTAATAAAATCGTTTCCAATCCTGACTTGCAGTTTGGGCTGAAGCGCTCATGTGCAGTATTGACGGTTGTAAAACACTTACTCATGGATGTTTCCGGGGTCATGTCTTCAAAGAAGTACTGCGTAGCCTCGAAGGCCGAGTCGGGCTCTTCCTGTTCGCTGGTGACCTCTTGACACAAAACCATGGCTTGTGTCATTCCGTGGAAGCAAGTGACATCACAAGTGCTGTGGGCTTTTTGTTTTTGGCGCTCACCCGGTAAAACGTGCATCTTGTAGAGGAGCTTCAGCTTCTCCGTCAGGTCCCCATGACACAAAACGCCTGCAATGCACCGATAATTCAATGTCATAACTTTGGTCACCAATATCTTCCTTAATAATTTTTTTGAAAAACATATAGGAATGACTTATAACACAAAATTCAATACAATTTAAAAACTGCAACCCTTTTTGTCATTTTCTCCCTCAATTTTTCTGATCATTCTGATGCTGCTGTGCGCACCATGGCCACTTGGGGGCAGTATAAGACAGACATACTGATATACTGTACAGAAGCTTCAGCTCCTCTCTCGGATTTTTAACCACAGCAGTCATATTACTCACACCCATTTACAGTTTAGTAAACCGCAGATGAGCAGTGTTGTAGATTTTATTTTATTTTTTAATTTGCTTTTAATATTTTTGGTCTTCTGTTTTTTTGTTTTTTCGGAAAGAATTGAGTTTCACCGTGCAACGTTTCAGTCATCCGGGCACCTACCGAGGCCATTGATGAACTCTCTGAAGTTGATGAAGGCGTCGCCGTTGTGGTCGAGCAGGCGAAACAAGCGCACGGCCAAGGGGTCTGAGTGGGCGCCGTTGGCCCAGGGGAAGAGGAGCTTGAAGAGGCCCTTGAACTGCTCGGCGTCAATGCGGTACTGCTCCAGGTAGGGCAGGCTGGGGTCGTGGCGCTCCGTTGGGTTGCTGCTGCCTCCCCAGTAGCAGCTGGTCAGGTGCTCCGCCTAAAAGGACACACACGGTGGCAAATGGTTTAAAGTTGGCATTCTCGATTTTTTTTTTTTCACTGTTTAAAAAAAGATCCCAGTTGTCAAAATATCCCAAGGATTAAGGGGCCCCACCTTGAAGAGGACAAAGAGCTCCTCCAACTCGTCGATGCCGAAGGCCGTCTCTGTTACAATAGTTCTGACCTAGAAAGGTCCAAGCATGAAAGATTGTGTTAAGTGTGAAGACAGATTAGATTGGGCAGTGACGCCAACGCCTTGTGGACCTTTTTGCCATGCTCCGATCCCATTTCACACGTACAAGAATGAGAGCCGTTTGGTCGGAGGATTTTCTTACCACGTTGCGTTTGGTCGTGTCTTCGATGGTCTGGATGACCCTCAGCCTCTGTTTGAAACGCATCTGCTCGATGACATCAGCGCGGATTGAGCCAAATTTCTGAAAGCAAAAAGAGAGCAAAGAAATGTGGCTGGTTGTGAAAGAACGAACAGGTGAACAGAAAAATCTGCGTGAATTTCAACATCATACCCAAAGGTTAAGCCATATAGTCGCTGTCTGATGACAACAGTGTGTGTCGCATTAACATTCTTTCCATCAAAAACGGATTATCTTTGTTCTTCTTAGCTTGACACAAAGGGTAGCAAGAGGAAACTTTGTCTTCAGAGCTACAACGGAGCATTGTATTGTTATTTGACGTGGGAATCCGCATACATCAATAACTACTGTCTAATTTATTGACTATTTAGTGACCGTGAGCTCATCAATCATCCGGACATCCGTACTCGCTGTCAGTTGAGATCATGGGTCGATTCGGTGTTCAGCATTCACAATTCATGTTCCTCACCGCTTACAACAACATCAAGCGAGACGAAACAATTTCTAAACGTTTCTATAAAGGTCACAACGTCATTGAAAGCGCCGCTTTTTTCATGTTAAAATCGGCATCATTTGTCAGCTAATGGCTATACTTTCGCCACCGAATTTCGACTGGCGCTCAAGAAGCTTCTTGAAACATGACGTTCATTACCCAAGGCAGCAAGCACTTTAAAAGGAATTAAAAACGTTTTTTTTGATCAAGTTCACTTTTTATTTGGAAAAAACAAAAACAAACAAAAAAAACAACAAACACATTTTGGGCCAATTGTGATGCTTAAAAACACCATGTTTTAATTTGTCAATTAGCAAGAAGTAGCACTGATCGCAAATAATTTAGCTTAAGAAAGTCTGATATAATATTTATATATGACAGTGATATGAACATCTACATTTTAGGAATGTCTCGTTTTTGATGAACACTTACACCTACTACGCTACTTAATGTTGGTCATCCCGGTCATACATGGAGAGCAATTTTTTTTTTGAAGGTGGTACTCGGTGTAAAAACTTTGGGGACCATTGTTTTACATCATCTAATGATCTCAATACAAAGTACAAGGTCGTTTTGGTTTCTCTGACCTCTGCGTGAAATGCACAGGTGGATGAACAGCGCATTTGCTGTTATCATCTCTGTCCCACCTGTTTTCTTTACCACGAACCCTTCAGACAACCCTACAAAACACGCATACCTCGTAAGAATTTCGGACCAGTTTGAAGATGTCCACCTCTGGATGAGGCTCTCCGTTGTCTGTCAACAAGGAGTGCAGATGCTGGATGGGCGGCAAGGTGCTGTCCTTATTTGTCACGTTGTCCAAGTATCTGCGACCAAGAAATGACCCGTCAAGACAACCGGGTGACACCCCGCCTCTCTTTGTGACCTTCTCACCTGCCCAGCACCGTCATGGCTTCGCCGTCGTCCTTGCAGCCCAGCAGCTGGTGGATGTTGGCGTGCAGCACGGCGAGCGCCAGCTGGAAGATCACCTTGATGCCGTCGAAAAAAAAGCAGTCCACCACCACCACGGCACTCTCGAACGGCATGACCGACAGGAAGAGCGTGAGGAACCAGGACAGCGAGATGGTGGAGATGACGCCGAGGTCCTGCATACAGTCGTAAAGCTCAGGCACGTACTCGCGGGCCAGCTCCTCAAACACGCCTTGATCCACCAGAGCTCCTGAAGAGAACACAGAGCCGAGTTCAAGCTTTCTGACATCGCCCGGCTCCAGCATTTCAGCGGACGCTGCGCAGATTCAAGTCAGCCTGTGCCAGATCGCCCGCCCTGTGTGCTTTGGGAAAACAGGCAAAATGTACTGAGTTTTGAGACTGACCTACAACCCTGGTGTTATAGTAGTCCGGCAACATCCTTTCACAGAGCGCCACCAGTAACCAGAAGGCCTCCTCCTCTTTAGCGTAGAGGAGCAACACCGATGTCACGATATTCATAGCCTGTGATGTCATTCAAATTGTTAAAAAAGACATATCAATTTTCAAGTCTCTACGTGGATATCGAGCACTCTACCTGACAGTATCCGATGTTGGGGTTCCGGAAGGCGTAGGCGGTGAGGACCCGGCGGAGGGCGGCGATGCCGATCTCATTCTGGAAGGCGGGATGCTCCGGCAGAGAGCGGTGGAGGTCCCGCTCGATTTCCTCGGTGGCCAAATTGTATTTGCCCATGGAGCGCTCCACCAGGTCTTCATAATAGCCGGGATGGGTGGCCATTTCGTTGATGGCACCTGAGAACACCGGAGATCGAGAAAACTGACGCAAGAGAACAAAGACGTTCAAAGAAGGTCAGAATTTGTGTTTTGCTGAAGTGCAGTTGGTGTCGAGTGAGAAAGGGGCCAGTCTCAATTCTGCCCTTTTACACATATCAAACAACACATAAGCAATACCACTGACTCTACTAAGCAAAAGTTTTTGGATGTTTTGCCCATGATCTCGTCTATTCCCAAAACATGCTCCTTAAGATTTTAAATTGTCCTTGCGTGTGAATATGGGCGGACTGAAAATTCTGGGTTTTATCCGTGGACTGAAATTGATTTCCATGCCATTCTTCTTCATTGTGGACCATGACATGCAAGAATGCATGTCGGGTTATCAGAAAAAACCCAAACAAACAAAAAAAATCTGTCCCCTTATCCTGTTTCACATAAAATACTATTTAGCATTCAATGTTTTTGTGCATGTAGGCGAGATGGATTGATTTGCTGACCGGAAAACAGGAGCCAGAGATCTCCTCTCATGCCCTCGGGAATGCCTTTGAGAACGAGCTCTTTGGTCTTCTCGGTGCGGTACATGCACACACCCTGGCCGAACTCGGTGAAGTGGTTCTTCCAGGCCTGCTCCTTCAGGAACTCTTTAGCCTAAGCACACAAGCAACCACATCTACTTTGTTGCCAAAGACCACAGACAGACACCGAGAGATCGCCACAAAGGATCTCAACACAGCATAACAATAAAAGTGAAATGCCCCAAAAGTGGACACAAATTTTTCAAAAGGGAAAAACCTTCAAGGAAAAGTCAACCCAAATATTTTCTTTCCAATTATGTCCGACGCAACCCCGCTCCCGATGGTCTAAATATGGCACTCAGGGTAATATTGCGTCGGTTGAATATGAATGAAATTCATCCATTTTTATCCATCGTAGGGGGCGGCCATTTTGCCACTTGATGGCGACTGAAAATGACATCACAGTTGCTCAGGTGACAACCAATCACGGCTCACCTATTTTCTGAGTTTGCTCACGACTTGTGACAAGCCGAGTCGTGATCGAGTTGAATATAGTTGTTTTTAATACTCGAATAAATCATAGAATTTGCCAGATTTTTTTCTAAGGGGGGTATATTAAGATAGAAATGGCTTTTTGGCTCACCAGTTTGGGATTAAAATCCTCAGGTGAGCGGCGTCGGTACATGGTCATGAGGGCCTGCGAGGCGGTGGGCACGCTGCTGTCGTTCAGGTTGAAGGTGCGCTCGCCCTCTGAGCTCAAGCTGTGCTGTGGGCTGCTCGACAGCAGCGATCCGTAAACCTAGCAAAGCACAAGCGGGGGACGGGGCGGGGGGGCATCTTCACGAAGGAGAACTCCAAGGAATGACCACAGCACAAAAACAGTCACCCCTCACCTCGTCGTCAGAGCTGTTGAGGCTGCCGGTGAGCTCCCGCTCCAGGCAGGTTTTGGAGGGCGTCTGCTGCAGGAAGTCCGAAATCCTCTGCACCAGGAAGTCGCGGTCCTTCAGGTTGGCAAACAGGAAAGTCATTCGGTTCTTGGTGCTGATGGAAACAGGACTGGGGAGCACGTTGGAGCTGTCGGCCTTTTCCACGATGGTCACCTGAAAGTTGTTCATAGTACAGTAAGTATTCCCACATATGGACTTCTGTCAAATGGAAATTCCCTCACCCAAAATAAAAACCTATGCATTAAAATTTCGACAACGATATTGCATTAACGATCGATTCATAACAACGGTAGATCCGGTACCCGGAAGCCATACAAAAGCCTGCAGTAGCGCAAACTCAAGCCCCGCTCGATACTGCGGAATAACTGTGTCCGCGCCGGTATTTACTCTCATTGGACCCAAAACGGCGACGTGTAATGTCTTAATGACGTGTCCTGTGTATTTCTCCTGCCTTGACTGACCTCGCGGAGGGGAATGATGAGGCTGCACTGCATCTCCTCCTTGCTGGTGAAGCAGATGTAGTTGGTGGAGACAAACATCTGTCCCAGGATGTGCGTTTTGCTGAAGGGGGTCCACAGGGTGCAGTCCGTGTGCCCATCCAGTTTTTCATCTTTGGGCAGACGGAAGAGTGCTCTGTAGCGCTCACTCTTGGCTCGGGCGTCCAAGTCCCTGCGGAAAGAACGAAGAGGTCAGACATCAAGTAAAATGGGAAAAGAAAGCGTCCAAATTGGCGTGAAACAAGATACCTCTTGAGGGCCGACACCTTCGTGGGCGACTTCTTTTTGAGCTTGGGCAGAGAGCGGTCCTCCTCGAAGCCCTTGTTGTCCAGCAGTTGGCGCATGGCGATGTTGGCCAGCTGCTCGGCCAGTTTGAAGGTTTCGTTGATGTTGAGGAAGACGGAGAAGACGTGTTCGTGGCTGCGCGTGCTCACTTTGATGCCGTCGGGCAGCAGCAGGGTGGCACTCTTCTCCAGTTGTGTGATGTCAGCCCAGCGCACCACCAGCTTGACTGAACGACAAATATCAAATTTGACTGGCGAGTCAGTGAACAACTGGGCGAGTATCAAATGGCTGCTAAATGTAGACAGACAGCATATGTTTACGCAGCTTGCTTCGAGGACACCTGTATGCTGACCATACTCTGTACTTGTCTATACCTGTCCAATCTACAACAACAATACACCGCGTCAAATTCAAACCTCACTGACAGCGCCAATCAAAACTGAGCATTCAAAATCATTTTTTTCCCAATTTTGAGCCAACCTTCTTTCCCCAGCAGGTAGGAATAGAAGCACAGGTGGTTGATGCTGAGGTAGAGCCAGCCTTGCCGTGGCACTTTGCCCTTCCAGACCAGGAAGTCGCGGTCCTTCAGGTTGGCAAACAGGAAAGTCATTCGGTTCTTGGTGCTGATGGAAACAGGACTGGGGAGCACGTTGGAGCTGTCGGCCTTTTCCACGATGGTCACCTGAAAGTTGTTCATAGTACAGTAAGTATTCCCACATATGGACTTCTGTCAAATGGAAATTCCCTCACCCAAAATAAAAACCTATGCATTAAAATTTCGACAACGATATTGCATTAACGATCGATTCATAACAACGGTAGATCCGGTACCCGGAAGCCATACAAAAGCCTGCAGTAGCGCAAACTCAAGCCCCGCTCGATACTGCGGAATAACTGTGTCCGCGCCGGTATTTACTCTCATTGGACCCAAAACGGCGACGTGTAATGTCTTAATGACGTGTCCTGTGTATTTCTCCTGCCTTGACTGACCTCGCGGAGGGGAATGATGAGGCTGCACTGCATCTCCTCCTTGCTGGTGAAGCAGATGTAGTTGGTGGAGACAAACATCTGTCCCAGGATGTGCGTTTTGCTGAAGGGGGTCCACAGGGTGCAGTCCGTGTGCCCATCCAGTTTTTCATCTTTGGGCAGACGGAAGAGTGCTCTGTAGCGCTCACTCTTGGCTCGGGCGTCCAAGTCCCTGCGGAAAGAACGAAGAGGTCAGACATCAAGTAAAATGGGAAAAGAAAGCGTCCAAATTGGCGTGAAACAAGATACCTCTTGAGGGCCGACACCTTCGTGGGCGACTTCTTTTTGAGCTTGGGCAGAGAGCGGTCCTCCTCGAAGCCCTTGTTGTCCAGCAGTTGGCGCATGGCGATGTTGGCCAGCTGCTCGGCCAGTTTGAAGGTTTCGTTGATGTTGAGGAAGACGGAGAAGACGTGTTCGTGGCTGCGCGTGCTCACTTTGATGCCGTCGGGCAGCAGCAGGGTGGCACTCTTCTCCAGTTGTGTGATGTCAGCCCAGCGCACCACCAGCTTGACTGAACGACAAATATCAAATTTGACTGGCGAGTCAGTGAACAACTGGGCGAGTATCAAATGGCTGCTAAATGTAGACAGACAGCATATGTTTACGCAGCTTGCTTCGAGGACACCTGTATGCTGACCATACTCTGTACTTGTCTATACCTGTCCAATCTACAACAACAATACACCGCGTCAAATTCAAACCTCACTGACAGCGCCAATCAAAACTGAGCATTCAAAATCATTTTTTTTTCCCAATTTTGAGCCAACCTTCTTTCCCCAGCAGGTAGGAATAGAAGCACAGGTGGTTGATGCTGAGGTAGAGCCAGCCTTGCCGTGGCACTTTGCCCTTCCAGTAGCTGCACGAGTAATAGTTGACCAGCTTCTCCTCGTCTGGCATGCCAAACAGCTTGCGGAACTTGGAGCTGGCCTCCTTGAACTTGTCCGTGTCGTCATCCTCTTTGACGTCGTGGTTCTTGTTATACTCTGCGATGATGCCCTACAGAGAGAGGGGATTGAGCTCCAGGCCGAAAAGAGACGGTAATGTTTCGTAAAAAGTAATCTACTTTTTACAATCGTGGCATTTTGACCATGTTCTTTGTGGTTCATTTTACATAACTAACGTCATGTTTCGGGTCTGTTGTTTGTCAGCGAAGCGTCAACGCGTGACTCTCCACCTCGAGCGAGTTACTTCGACGAGACACGCCTCATAATGGTCGTGTATTGTTTACTCCGGGGACAGTAATGGTTCATTCCAGAAGGCAGGAAATCTCAAATTAAGATGATTAAAGTGGTTTTATAATCTCTGGCCGATTCCAGTTTGACTCATGGGTCCAAAGGTGGGGTGCACCCTGCACCGGTCACCAGCCAATCATAGGGCGCAACCATTCAGACTCGAAATGGACATCACGCATGCGTTTGAAATATGGCAGGAAGCTGGAGTTGCCGGAAAAACTAATAGAGAGAACCAAGGCTCAAAGCCAGAATCTCAGAATTGCGAGGGGAAACATGATGACCTCTCAGCTGTATAGAGGGGAAAAAAAATAAAACCACTTACCAAAATTTCTACAAGTACCGAATGCTGCCCGAATGTGAGACCACGCCAATGAATATTTTGTTCGTTCCGGTGTTGCTTTGACAAACGATGGCTACACTGAGCAAATCCATCCATCCATTATCCATACCGAGTAAAATAGAAGAAATACTTTTGGACTCAAAAGTACACTTTACAAAAGAAGGTGGCAGCTGTTTGCAAATTTCCCAAAGGGGGGGGATCAATTACGGCTTATCTTAAAACGAAACGTAATCAGATTTCTTTCCCACTAAATCCTCTCAACCCGTGATTGTATGGTTTGGTGCGATGGCTCTCTTTCTCGAGTGTTACGCAAAAGCGTCACTGAATTAAACACAAATACAATTTACAACGTTAAAAATCTGAAACGTATCGGAATGAAACGTGGAGCGACACTGTGCCTCCCGCCTATTTTAAATTCTCATGTACAGTAGTTCTCCCCCGCGCCCCAAATCAGTTGTATTCAACTTCTAAACAACAGCTTTTAATCTCGAAGAAGGTTTTGCTTTTAGGCCTACTACAGTATTGTCCATTGACATTAAAGAGCTAGGTCTTTTTTTTTTTTTTTTTTTGTCAGGCGGTACTTGGTGTAAAGTGTGTGAGAACCGGTGTACAAAAACAGTTTGGTGTAAATGGTCCATATCAGTACGACTGTTCTCAAGTGGTTCAAACACAAAGGACAAAATAACAAAACAACCTTTTTTTTCCAGGGCCCTATTACGTACTTATTTTGCGACATTTTGTTTTGTGTGTCTCATGACTTGCCTGGACTTTTCCTTTGACAAATGTGGTGATGTCATTCTCATTCTCAAAGATGGAGAGCGTCTGCAGCATGTTGTGCTCCAGCCACTCCCAGTGCTCGGTGATCTCTTTCCGCGAAGTGGCTGAGGAAGACAACCGACACGTGAACGTTTTGTTTCCCGCGAGAGCGGCACAACACTTAGCAACCCCCGCGAGCTGCGAGATCACAATTGTTTTGTTTGCGAGCCACAGACTGAATCCATAAGTGAGATTCCCCACTCAACCACTCTCCCACAACATGGCTATAAATCTCTGGATGATTACTTCCGGCGAACGAGCTATGTTTAGCTCAGGACAAACTGGTAAAATAATGTTCTAAACTAATAACTGGATAAATGTTTGCACAAACACACTACAAACTCCGCCATCTTTCCCTGCAGGGTGAAAGATCATAAGAGGGGACTAACTCTCCGGTATAAAATATGTTCTGATGTGGACAAAATACAATAACAGAGGATACACCTGCAAAAAGACAGGAAAGAAAATCTGAAATCTAAATTCCCTCCTTTATTCTGGCCCTTTAAAATCCACCGGGCCATGACGTCATGAGCGGCATTCGGCTGCACGCATGGGAATCGGCAGGATATGTGACGGACGGAGCGGGAGGGGGTGGGCACGGCTCCTTCTTTTCAAAGATGACTGGAACCCTCAATTGCTCGAGTTGACGTGGACCCACCGTGAGCAATGATCCAGTAGGAGAGAGAGTCCGGGGTTTGGTAGAGAATCCTGTAGGGAGCCATGCGGGCACTTGAATCCAGGACCACGTCCAAGGTCCCCACCAATAGACCTGTGACGACACACAAAACACAGTGCTTGGGGCAAGGCAACCAACGGGAAAACGCAAAAATCATATGACTTGAAGATTTGTTTTAGAACTGGAGGGGGAGGGGGGGGCGGCGAACCCGGTTAAGACGACCACAAAAATTGGTCAACAGAACCCCAAATTTATGCAATGAAACTTTAATTCAAATGCGCCCAAACTATGGCCCGGGGGCCATTTGTGGCCCACTATCCTTTTTTTTTTTTTTTTGCGGCCCACAACATGACAATCGATAGATAGAGATATTTAGCTAGCAAGCTAAACAGATAATTAGACAGATAGCTAGCTAGCTAGCTAGATAATACTAAGAATGACATTTGACCTGGGCAGCAAGGTCAGTTAAAAAGGTGGTGGTGAAGGTGGGCAGCGTAAGAAGGGAGGGTGTCCGAAAAATAGGTGCCATTACTGTTAATCCATTTGTTTATAGACTGTAGAACCTGTTTGATGATCGGCCCGTGTTTGCGGTTTCACCCATTTTGGATTTTTGGACGTGTACATTTGTGGTGAGGCTTCTCACCGTGGACTGAGATCCCCTCTCAAAACAAGGTAAAAACTGCACACAAACAAATCAATTTCTGCGATAACATCACCTCCTCGGTCATGTAAGAGAAAATTTCCTTGCTCATCATTCCGGCAAGACTTCCTATCGACAACATCTTATCCCCCCCTTGAGACAAACAACTTTGGAACCATGTGATAAGTTGCATCTCCAAGTAGTCACAATTAGTGATTTGTTTAGGAGGAGCAAAACAAATCAGCTTACCTTGAAGCGTTTTTTTTTTTTTAACTAACTGCCAATTTCATTTTTCATGCATCACTGCCATTTTAAAGTCTCTATAAATAGCCAATCTCAGACTTTAAGAGTCTTAAACTTGATGTGCTGACATTCAACCCGGAATAGCAATGTGGAAGAAGGCTGCATCAAAGTACCGTCTGTCTCTCTTGCCAGGTTGGCTACGACGTGCTCGTGGTCTATTTCGGAGTTTCTATCCAGCATTTATTTGGAGTCCGTTAAGCTAAAAATAAATCCGACTCGATTAAGAGGCACAATTTGTTAAGATTCAGTGCTCCATGATGTAATGTCAGATTAAGCAGTTGGGAGTACAAAGAATAGAAAACGGTGGGCACAAAACGGCAGACTCCAGTGAATTTGCGTCAAAAGCAGCTTGCATGAAGGTTAAAAGTAGAAATAAGAAGAATAAGAATAATCTGGGGCATTTGAAGGCCAAAGCGTAGATTGCAGTGGACACCAAATAGGAGATTGTGGTGCTTTTGTGTCAAAAGCACCCGAACAGGTTGCATAACACTTGGGGGGGGACAAGTGGCAAATAATCAAAAAGGCATTTTGTAACAATTCAGTCCACAAAATGTCGCATCCTCCTCGTGCTGTGTATATAAAAGAAGAAGAGCATGTGGTTGCACTGCCAACTGGCACACAGCGCAAGCCAGCAAGCTCGGCATTTACATAAGGATGACATCACCTCCCCAGCGCTGGCAAGCAGGCCGCACCGCAAGGGACCCGGGAGGATTCAATAGCGGCGAACTCTACCGATTCACGAGTGTCGTTTTCGATTCGGCCATAACAATGACGCTTTCATAACACCGCAGCGCTATGGTGAACGTTCTAGCCAGACAAAATACAGAAACAACATAGCTATCTATACTACACCTTTATGGCTAAAGATCGCCATGGACGATACGATTCCACCTCACTCTGGACTAGGTCATGCGACGGAATCAAAGTTCACGATTGCGGTGAACAGCGATGCCACTTGACTGGTTATTCAGTCCGTGCAGACCGTTACAGTTCCACTTAAGTCGTGTGGGTGTCTCGAGTGTTTCAAACTATCAACGCAAATCAAGAGGAAGAAAACAATGTACTAGAACTGAACGTAACTGCTCGGGAGCGTTCCTTGATTCCACGTCTGCGTTTGACCACGCTTCAAACGATGTCAGATTCAAAGTCAGGATGGGAAAGATCGGCTTGAAGTGATCGAAAAGCTTCAAGGACCGACGACAATGTCAAAACGATGGCTGTCACACTGAAGGCACTGGAATGTGCATGCCAGGCCAGCAGGTGGCGGTGTCACATTGGCAAACACTTCCCTAAACAGGTCAGGTTTTGTTTTTGTCCCTGACTTTGCTCACAGACTGCACGAGTCAACCATAAAGACAAATTAGCAGCATCGGCTTGTCTTCGTTTTGTTCCACTCCTGGTTACAACGCAATAAAAGCCCGTCAAAAGGTCCATATGTGTATGACAGGTGACGGTGTCAAGTTTCAAAACATTTATGACATCTACTTTTACCACCGCTATATAATCTGGAGCGTGTTGTCACATTGATGAACAAGCTAGGAAAATCTGGGTCAAGTGTACAATAGCACAAGCTCTAATTTGGCCTGGGGAAAAAAAGCTACGATGAAAGAAGCTAATTTGCAAGGTAAAACAGAGGTCAGGAAGTGAAACCTGCACCACCTCTAGCCCCCCACCCTCTCCTTGTTTGTGTCTCTGTTTGGGTCAGTACAGACAGAAACTCAGAAGGGAAGAGGGAAGTGAAATAAGAAGAAGTGGAATGATTCAGCATTAGGTGGCTGCAACTTTTTTTTTTTTTTTGAGACCACACAAGCGTCTGCATTGACAGAACGTTTAGTTTGTAAACGGGCAGGAACACGCTTGCTATTCTTGCTTTGAGGCATTTTGTGTTTCTTCTGGAATCTTCTCCTGCTGGAAATCCTTGTTGCACAACACTTGAACCACAGTATCTTTTTTTTTTTTTTTTAACGATGGGATTGGGTGACGTTTAAAGTCCACCTGCAACACCCGATGGGTCATGTGATGATCACGCTATTCAGAGACACACAAATACTCAGCTACAGTATGGACAAAAATAATGACGCTCATTTCTCCTTTCGAAAAGCCCTTTCGGATTCGTTTTCAAGCCACTCAGCTGTGATGAATTGCACATTTGCACAAATCTATGGACAGTCAAAACGATTAGTTGACTGTAATCGCGTTAAAAGAGAGGGATGTGAGGGGCAAAGTTCACCGTGGTGATAACAAGGGCTGTGCACACATTGGTGGCGGTCAAATTGAAAAACTCAAGCAAGCCAGAATTTCCGGACTCAAGTCAGTACGAATCATAGCATATCGTCACGTGTAGCGTCACGTAGGACTGTTCGAATGTATGTATGCGGGGTGTGCATATGCGCTAATGAGCGCTAAATTCAACTGGTAAGATTTGATTTGATTTGACTTTTTATTCGGTCTCCCATAGGAGAAACTTGTCTCTTGTAAGCAGTCAGTCGATAAAGCACAGCTAGGCAGTGTATCAAGACGCTTGCTGTTACATCGCTGTTGGCCTCTCACAGCGTCAGAGCAATAAACGAAGGGAGTTTGCAATGCCGGACCTTAGACGAACTCTTCAGCTAGCTAAACGCTAGCTAGCTGAGAAGACACAAAAAGGATGGATTTAAAATGGTGTTAAAAAAAAAAACACACCCTGGGTTATTCAGGGTGCACCGAGGGATCCGAGTAACTGAAGTAAGCTATTTTAAAGTAAAAAGGAAAACATTTATGTGCTGTTGTCTACAGTATCAAACAATTGAATGTGCGACTGAGTAAAAGCATTTTGGACACACTATGGTGTAGATAAAGTGCAATGCAAGTGCATTTCATTTCTCATTTCCAAGGCCAAAACGGGTTAATGTCTGGTGTGAAATTTGCCAGAAAGAAAATATGTACCCAATATGTACCCTGTCTAAGTGATACAACAGCTGTAACCTTGAATGTACTGCCCCACCGACAACCCACTGCACCCTCAAAGATAAAAAAATTTGCACTTTTTTTCCCTAATAGTGTAAGGCAGTATCGCTGAGAAAACTGCCTTCTTTAATCACCCTCGTTTAAATGTTGCATGTTCAATACACTCTTATCTTTTAAATCATAACTGATTTTTACCATTCAAATGGGTTTGTGTTACACCCCGAATAATTATGCTACTGATTAGTCTCAGATAAGCAATACATAAGGGATGCGAAAACATATCTGATAGGGCTGCATGATGAATTGGAATTGAATCAAGATTAGTGAGGATTTTAGCTTCTCTTCACCTTTAAAAGGTTATAATTGAAGAAAAACGATCAATGTGCAGAACTGATTAATACCGTGTATGTGGAATACATGTTAAGCAGTAAAATCCACCCAGGTTTTGGCCATCTCAGGGGCAAGCTATTTTGCCACTCGCCGTCAACTGAAAATTACATCACAGATGCCCAGGGCTCAGTGAACGACCAATAATGGCTCAGCTTAAAAAAACAGGTGACAAAAAGAATAGTTTGTTCAACAAAGTGTTCAACGTTAAGGAAAGAATAGCCAAGAAGCTTCCATTGTATTTAGGGCAGAGTTTTAGGAGGTGAACAAAGAAAACGCTTTTCATCAATACATAATCGTGATTTCAATCTCAATCAAAATAATCGTGATGAATATTTTTCCATAACCGTCCAACGTTGATAGGTGACAAAAACAGAAACGATGGCCTCTGCCTCCGTTTCTGGACTTGAAACATTCATAGCACGAGAACTATAGTGCTCCATAGTTAACAATTTATTCCTTTTATAGAGACAAAAATAGCACTGGGCTTAAAGCGACGCGTCAAAGAAGCGAGTACAATTCTGAACGAGTACATGTGGATGACAATAACAATCAAGCCCCTTACCAGCCAGTCCTCCGCCTTCCCCGCCGTGGCCCTTCCGCTTCTGGAGGATGAAATATGGATTGGCCCGCTCCGTGATCCACAGCGCGCCCGCCAGTAACACCTCTTCGGGACTCACCCACATGATGATGCTGATGATCTCAGTCGGTTTTTACAAGACACATGGACCATTAATTGAGTATTACTCTAATTAGTAATGTTAAAAAGGGGTGTCAGTGCACTCGCTCCAAGCTTGAAAACAAACAGCTGGTGGTGCGAGCGTCATCAAAACAACGAACGCCCTCCTCTCGATGGCATGGATTAAAAGACTAAAATAGGATTTCGATTGCTTGGAGGGTCGCAGCCATTTTACAACGCTTTTGTTGTGCTCCGACTTCGTGGCAGGTGCGCGGAATTACGACGACGCTCGTTAAACGGCATAGCCACGAGATTCGCCGTTCATACTCTACCCTCACGCCAGCCCCACCCGCCCCCCCAAAAAAGAAGAAAAGAAAGAATAAAATGTGATTCTATCGTCTTGCAGCAGCAACGTCGACTTGCAAAAGTCAAAGCGAATGACAATGACGCTGGCCGCCAGACAACATCCTTCTTCTTCCCTCCCTCTTCCTCCTCCTTCCTTGACGGAAAGTAGAGCCTGCGCTACGCGTGACGTCACAAACTGGACACAGCGCACAACGTCACAAGGCGTGCACTACGTGTGATGTCACAAGCCAACAGGCGGGAATATCACAAAGGACTCCATTTAGTGCCAAAATTTGGCAAAATTCTCACAAGTTCACATGCATACATTTAATAAGAAACGCTTTTAAAATGTATGAGCTAATAAGGCCTTATTCTATGAGGTTGTATTATATATTATACACAGTACAGTATATGTGTCAGGGTAAGCCAATAAAATGTTTTTTTTCGCTTTATTACACACGTTTCTGAAATGTGAAGTTATTCGACGATTTTATTTACAGATTTATGACAGTAACATCAAATTAACATTTGATAGCAAAGCTTTCTCAGTTTAACTCTTGTACTGTATTCGACACAGTTCAGCAACTGATGACACGTTCAATGAGGGCTCCTCTTCTGTGGATTGCAGTGCAACACGCACAGTGAAGTTTGTAATGACATTGCCACACATCAGAAGACGGATTCTCCGAAATTCCTGACAGATGTTGGTCTTCGGCGGCCTGTTTGGTCTGTGGGTTGTTGCAGTCCACGCTCTCCCTTCAGGTATCTAACTGAACAACACCTGTCAGGAAATTTGGACGTCATCAATTCTTGAACTGTGTCGAAACCAAGAGACAAAATGGGAACCCTTTGGTATCAAATGTGAATTTGATGTTTCTGTAACAAATCAGTGAATAAATGTTTTGAATAAGTACTTATTTCAAAACTTGTGTATGATTTTGAAAAACGCTAACGTATTATTGGCCCAACCAGCACATGTTTTTGTATAGTCGCTTTAAAATATCCTAATAATACACATTGTGTAATACAATTTTTATGAGTAGTGGGGTGGGGGATGGGGGTCATGAATGTAAGGGCGAGGGATAAATCCCAAATTCACCCACTGGGATACATTCAGGATGTTGACATTTTTTTTACTGTTTTAAAAAAATAAAATTTGAAACAGAAAAAAAAACCCATTTCACTACCACTTAAGAGTACAAAAAACACTACAACAGAATAAAACAAAAATATAAATAGATAATATATATACTAACACCATAAGTATAAACAAATAAATTACAAAAATTAATGCATACTAAGGGCGTACTCTCTCCAATAAAAGATGATTCGATATGTCTCTTGATACATGGTGTTTCGAAACAATTCAAGAAGTTTTAGAGTGGAATGATTAAAAAAAAAAGTTTTATAAACAAAACAACAAAACAAAAAACGTTTTGGTTACCTACTATTTAAATACAAGAAATTGTATATCCTGTTTTCACACTTTAAGTACATATCACCAAATAAATTACAAAAATAAATACATTAAATAATCTAAAATATTACAAAAATAACTCAGCAAGTCTTCAAACAGGGAAACGGCGGTCAACAGTCTTCCCCAACACCCCCCACCCCCCAATTTACTTTTATTCATGACAGAATACACATGTCAAGACACATGGACGACTTGACATTAAAAAAAAAAAAAAAAAAACCTTGATTAGCGACAACTTTAATTGATTCAATCCTTACATTCTTTACATCACAAAGCAGAAAATGTTGCCAGTAGATAGTAAACATGACAATAAATGACACACTATAAATTAGTGACAAAAAGATAACTATAGACAACGTATCTCCTCCACAAACGCAAATTGCAACAACTACGAGGCCTTTATTTGAAGTAAGGCATTCAATTTTGCACAAAGGCTTTTCTTTTGCGTAGAGTTTGATCAATCGACAAAGTGCCACGTTAGTTGTTTCTACTTTTGTGTCCATTGATGATGAAATGCTGATTCAGCTTGCCTCACAAAGACAGTTCAAAAGTCCATTTCACCAGAAACTTATTGGAAGCGAGGCATTTATATTTGCTCAAATGTTGTTGTTGGGGGTTTTTTGGGGCGGGGGCGGGGTAGCTACTCAAAAATAGGATAGAGGTGATAGTTACTCAATAGCGCCTCCTGTTCTCTTTCAAGATGAACTTTTTATTGGAAGCAAGGCATTTATGTTCAGACTTTATCATACAAGTGTGCATTTTGTTTTCAGTATTGAAGGCTCATTTGTACTGCTTGTCTGTGGTCAGGGTGATTACGGTTATTTCATGGCATCATCTTTCATTTTTGAGACGAGGAGGAATCTATTTGCTTCAAGTAAGGCGTTTAATTTTGTGATTTTTTTTTTTTTTTTTTGATCAGGGAGGATCTTGACACTCTTGACTGGATCGAGGTAATTGCAGTTTTTAGTTACCTACAACTCATTTCTGAGTGGTAAGTGTTTAAGACCACACCAATATCATTCTGCAAACCGTATCGCATGCCAAACATCACTGCTTGGCTGTCATATTATCGAATGGCACTCCGTTAAGTCTGTTTTAACACAAAGGGGAAGTAGTTAAGTATTAATTGAGGCACAGTAACGACTGGAATGGAGTAAATACGGTAAAGTCAAGAGAAAATATATGGCGCATAAACACATTGTTGCTGAAAACAATATGATTCTAAAGTGAAGATACAAAAAAAACAAAAACCTCTCCTTCCGATGGGAATGTTGTCAAAGTTTCCAGTTTAAGTGTCTGTCTCGCCTTCATGCAGCTCCTCCGTTGGTCAGGAAGACCACACAGTTGCTCAAGGTGGGCGCTCGACACACGCCCTTGCCCACGACCTCCAGGGGCACACCCTTGTAGGTGGCCACGCACTGGCCGTCTGTGCGCAAGTCTGAGCCAATGTGCTCGCAGACCTTGGCGGAGTCCAGCTCCTTGTCTGGGTCTCCTAGTCATAACAAGCAAGGATCATAAACAAATTCATGAGGTCTAATCTTATTTTAAATTGATTTTTTTTTTTAAATCAAATTATTATTTTTTTCAATTTAAGAGAGACAATGAACATGGAGAAAAAAAAAAACAGCCAACATCGCCATGGCGATGTTCAAACAACATCGTGAAACTCTTGTCAGTTGAAAAAAGTACCTGTAAACCCATGGATGGTGACTCTATCGCCAGGGACGGCTCCGTTAGGAGGCGCGAGGATCTCCACGCTGCCCGGCGACCTTACGCACACGACCACGGCCTGCGACGCCACGCCTCTCACCTGCGTGGGCTTCAGGTTGCACAGTAGGACAGCCATGCAGTTCTGTAACTGCACGACACATCACATACATTAGGGTTAATTTATAGTGAGGCAACTCAAAGGACACTTCCCCATGGCAATAAATGGAAATGCCATTTGTCCGTTCCAGTCCCCTGAAAAGCACCAACAAAAATTTTGGTAACATTTTTTTTTTTTTTGTTATTTTATTTTATGTGGGATCATCTAAGAATAAAGGAAAACGTGTAATAAAATCATTTTGTGACAGAGTTTAGAAATCAGATGTTATAAATTTCACCTCCTTTAAATGAATACTGTAGCAAATACTGAGCAAAGTACCTGTAAACAAATGCAGCTAATACAGAAAAAATATAATGTAAAATTATTTAAAAAAAAAACAAAAACTTGATCTGACTTAGCAAAACCAATGTGATATTTCGATTCAGCATATTAAAATTCAGATACGAGGCGCGAGGATCTCCACGCTGCCCGGCGACCTTACGCACACGACCACGGCCTGCGACGCCACGCCTCTCACCTGCGTGGGCTTCAGGTTGCACAGTAGGACAGCCATGCAGTTCTGTAACTGCATGACACATCACATACATTAGGGTTAATTTATCGTGAGGCATCTCAAAGGACACTTCCCCATGGCAATAAATGGAAATGCCATTTGTCCGTTACAGTCCCCTGAAAAGCACCAACAAAAATTTTGGGAACATGTTTTTTTTTGGTTTGTTATTTTATTTTTTGTGGGATCATCTAAAAATAAAGGAAAACGTGGAATAAAATCATTTTGTGACAGAGTTTAGAAATCAGATGTTATGAATTGCACCTCCTTTAAATTAATACTGGAGCAAATATTGAGCAAAGTACCTGTAAACAAATGCAGCTAATACAGAAAAAATATAATGTAAAATTATTTAAAAAAAAAACAAAAACTTGATCTGACTTAGCAAAACCAATGTGATATTTCGATTCAGCATATTAAAATTCAGATACAAAAATATATTGAGGATAATTTTGGATTTTGACCAGTTATTCATGGGCATTGGCTGCTTTTTTTTTTTTTTACTGGTGTGTGTAATTTGGCCAGCAGGAGGCAGTACAATGCAATGGTAGCTCGACAACAACTGAATATTGAGGATAATTTTGGATTTTGACCAGTTATTCGTGGGCATTGGCTTTTTTTTTTTACTGGTGTGTGCAATTTGGCCAGCAGGAGGCAGTACAATGCAATGATAGCTCGACAACAACTGCTGATGAACACTGAAGACCGTCTTTCGGTTGTAGTTGTTTTTCCATAGTGGATGAAATTATTACGCCTGTGAGTATTGCGATACGTGCTGTCGGCATAGTTTGCTGCTGCTTGTGTGCAAATATATGGTGCTCAATTTTAACTGCCAAGATAGCCACTAGTTTTTTTTAGCCTGTCTTCAGCATTTCACAGTGTGAAAATTAAGGAAGTGGACTTTAAGATGTTTAGTTTTACAGCAAACTCTAACTGGGAGTGGCAAGAAAAAGCTGGAAGGATGCACATTTGGCTCAGTATCTGCTGCTTGTTGTGCTTGGTCTTGGAAGGAACCACTTCAATTCAAAAGTTAAAGCAGCACTATAATTCTTGGTGACGTACCTGGTTGACAGCCGCGCACTCGCCGACCACCGTTCTCGGGTGAGCCTCGCCGACATCCACGTGCTGCAAGTACAAGCCGTCCGTTCCCGGGAGCGGCATGGTCCTGATGATGCAGCCCGCCCGCAGGTCCAGGTGGGACACATCCATTTGGTCTTGTCCATCCAACTCTGCTTTGTCCTCAACGGAGACTTCGGCCACCTTTTGTGCTTTCTTCCTTTCTGGCATCAAAGAAAGATCAAAATAATATATGTTGTGTTTCATAATACTTTAAAAAACACAGGTTTACAAAAACATACAATGGAAAGAATTCAACAGTCTGTGTATCATGATAAAATGCTGCAATCCAATCAATTCCTTGCGCTGCTCCTTTTTGATGTTCACCTCAGGACTAAGCCCAATAAAGCAACACAGGAAAAACTAATCACTGAATATTTTATCTATCTATATAGATATATAGATATAGATATATGCGCCACGGCCCGGTCCCTATTCACCGTGAATAACGGGGGTCCACCGAATCTTTGAAGAAGCCATATTGAGCTAATGCTAAATCCAGTTCAGCTACTGGCCTATCCCGTTGGTAAACTCATTGGAAAACGGGATTAAAGATACAATATAGGGCAAAACAAATTACATTAAAATTGGGCTCGTTCCTTTTCAACAACTTAACATGCACCCCGTCCTCAGGGCCGTAACCCACCTTTGGCCTTGCCTTCGGAGGACGACCGCCGGCTGAGGCCCATCTCCCGGAGCTCCCTGCTGACGGTGGCCGCGCTGACGTTGGCCCCGGAAGCTCGCCGGAACTCCGCGGCGAGCGCCTGCAGGGACGGGAAGGTCTGTTCTTGGGCCATCCGCTCCAGAACCTGCCGGTGCTCCTCCTTGAGCTTGTGCGGCCGGCCGCAGCGAGGCAGCGGGCACGTCCGGCCCTCTCGCTTCCATTGCACAATAACGTTGTTGACGGTGGAGCGCGGAAGGTTGAGCAAGGTGGCGATCTCCCGCAGGGACTTTTTGCACATATGGCATCCGACCACGGTGCCCCGCTGGAAGTCACTCAGCTCCCCGCTGCGACCCATCGCTAGCGCCGAGACGAACTGTGCTCATTAAAAAACAAAAACAAAAAAAAAAAAACCGCTTCTTCTTCCTCCCTCATTGTGCTGGAGCAAAGGCACACTATTGCCCCCTAGAAGGCCATATCGTCACACGCCACGAACTTAATTTAGGGGACATGCATCTCTCCACAAAAGACGATTCAATCCGGTTTCCGAAACAAAGGATGCAAGGCAATTCCGGGACGCTTCGACTTGGAAGTGGAACGCTTCGATTGGGTCCGATTCGATGCACTCGCATCTTTGAAATTGTTTTTGTTACCCCCCAATTTAAAAAGTGACATCATGGTTCACCTACACCCACCGAGGGGATCCGGTGATCTATCCAAAATTCCAATATAATTGCTGTTTAAGTTTGCGTCACCTGTAAACAAACAAACAAACAAAATAAAACCCAAACTGCCTGGAATTTATTCCAACACAATGCTTACACGTGCATCAAGGTTAAACAAGGGGCACTTTTCTCATAATGCACAAGAATATTGAACATTCGAAAACAGAGATGGGTGTTTTCTTTGCTGGACAGTGTGCAATGTACAGCATTTGGTTCCCCTTAGAGGCATCAAACATCACAAGCAAGCACAAGTCACGTGCCGCATCAAATGCGGCGGCCCTCCACGTTCTCAGTCCCTCGCTTTGCGGGTGCCTCACACTCACCGGAGGGATAAAGTGCAACAAGACGGCGAACGAGGACCGGCGGCTTTTACGCGGCCAGAAAAAAAAAACAGCCAAATGTCAGAAGGGGCTACGACGACTACGTTGGGTCAAGCTGGTGTTGCATTTCCAAATATCAGATTTTGAGGATGTACATCAACCTGTTTGTGGGGGCCTAAGAATCGTAACGATGACGCAATTTCAATAAGGCCTTCGCACCAGATGCTTAATCTTCAATATTCTTCATATAAGCGCCTGTTTTTTTGCTAGTTGACTATATAGAAACATATGACCCATGTGAAAGGACATTTTAAAATATCTTTTTGCAAATTTGGACAGATACAGACATAATTGATGCAGCATTTTTTACTTGGCAACAGTAAACAAGTGCTACACTTGGGCGTCCCACGATTGGTCCACTTCTAATTCCCTTTAGAACACGACGGTGACACACAGCACGGACTTGAAGTTATTTTTTAATTTTTTGTGAGGCGCGTCTGCCGTATGGTCAGCCATTTCTCCTTCTGACTCTCAAGGTTGACATCCTTTGTGCAAAATAAATAAATAAATTTAAAAAAAGACAGTTGTCCATATGGGAGGACGAGTGAGTCAGCGTGCATGGGCGAGAGAGACGGAGGGCCCGGCCAAAAATCCAATCGTAAATTTAAACTTAAAAAAAACCCTGGCAGTGATCCTGAACAGAATTTATTTAGGGATTTCATTAACACTAGAGGGAAGAGTCCGTTCTTGTCCGTTTAGTGAAAAGGCAACAATCTCTTCAGTCTTTACTGCAAACAAGAGGTGCAACGATTGATTGAGCACTAATTATCAAAAAGTTTTTTCGGGGGCGATAATGGATTACAAACCTTATTTCACTTAAAATTGTCGAAATCCTTGGAATTTCATCCTTTCAAGAGTAAAAATCAGATTTCTGCAGTCCTCTGTGAAAGCAGAAATATTTGCAAACACTGCTTTTACTTTGAAAAAACATGATGCAATTTTGTTGACAATTCGAAATGGAACCAGGTCGAAACGATTCGTCGGTGATCAAAATATTCATCCGTTTGATCACCGAATTGTCGAAATCCTTGGAATTTCATCCTTTCAAGACTAAAAATCAGATTTCTGTAGTCCTCCGTGAAAGCAGAAACATTTGCAAACACTGCTTTTACTTTGAAAAAACATGATCCAATTTTGTTGACAATTTGAAACGGAACCAGGTCGAAACGATTCGTCAGTGATCAAAATATTCATCCGTTTGATCACCATCAGTGGTCGATGAATCGTTGCATCTCTAAAAATCAATCGCCAAAGTTTCATTAAAAACGAAGCAACTATTAAAGTCGTCGTAAGTTGCGGCCCTCCTGCAAACGTTTCGACAATAAAAGTGTGGATATTTGCAAACACTGCTTTTACTTTGAAAAAACATGATCCAATTTTGTTGACAATTTGAAACGGAACCAGGTCGAAACGATTCGTCAGTGATCAAAATATTCATCCGTTTGATCACCATCAGTGGTCGATGAATCGTTGCATCTCTAAAAATCAATCGCCAAAGTTTCATTAAAAACGAAGCAACTATTAAAGTCGTTGTAAGTTGCGACCCTCCTGCAAACGTTTCGACAAGAAAAGTGTGGATGTTAAAACATACGCCTGAGCCGCGGTGTGCTGGAAAGCGTGGGTGTTAAACCCTTTCACTGACAAAAGTGTTGGTGCCGCGAGCGTAGACCCTCGAGACTCGTCGCGCTCTGGGGTTGGGGAGCACATGTGCGGGTATTCACGGCGTCGCTGTGCAAAAGGAGTGGGAAAAGCGCGGGTGTTCCCCTTCCCCCGTGTAAAACGAAGTGCCGAAACAACCGCGCTCCCGGTGGGATGCGATGAAAAGGACGTCGAAACCTTCCATCGGGGGAAGTGTGGGTCTTTGTTACTCTTTGTGCAATCACAGCGGGATAAGTGTGGCTGTGAAAAAGACTCACCATGAAAAGTGTGCATGTTGGAACCACCGCGTGCCCTGCGGGTGCGACAATAAGTTTGGATGTTGAAACCTTTCACTGTGTAAAGTGTGAGGGATGTCTCGGATAAGGACGGTGTCCGTTCGACACAGGGAAAAAGCTGTCCAGCAGATGGAGACAGTTGTAGTGTAACATTTTCAGAACTTTGGTCCTCAACAGTCATGTGCTTGGGCTCCCGTCCTCCTTTTCCACCACCCGCTCGCGTGGAAAGAGTTCCGCGCCGTTTCCGGATCCAAGGTTGTCCACTTGCGGCCCGCTTACCGTGTTGAGTGAAGAGTCAGAATCGCTGCTGAGGGGCAGCTGGTGCTCACCTGACGAAAGGGGAAACGTGTTTGAAATTTAGGACAGAAAGTAACAGTTGGGTGCAACCCTATTGTCTTTTTTTTTTTTTTTTGGTTGTTCTTGTTGTTGGAGAGGAATTGGCACAGACGTGGATGGGAGACCAAATCAATCTGTTTTCAGGGATGGTAAGTAACAGATTACGTGCAACGAGATTACATAATCTAATTACAAAATTGATGGAACTGGAATCCGTTACATCATCGGAGGGCTGAACAGGATATATAAAATTATGTCGTAGAATGTCTTTTTTTTTTTAAATCGCCAAGACGGCAGTTGGGACGGGAGGGGGAATTTTTGGTCATTAAGTCAGCTTTATTTTATATTTAAAAACAGATTTTATTTACTCAGTGATTGATTTACACAGTGTCGAGATCATGAAATAAAAAGTAAAATTCCCAAATCTTTTTAAGAAAAATAAAATAAAATGTTTTGAAAAATGAAAACAATCTGGATCTAAATCTTACATTTACAAAACCAACACTAATAACAATGAAAATGTAATTGGCTTTCATCTTGGTCAATTCAAATCATAGAGGGGCCTTTGGAGTTCATTTTAAATGTATTTTGAGATTGCTGTACAGCCAGCTGTACAGAAGAAAGAAATTTGAACAGTTGCTTGGGAATTATAATTTAACTTCCACATTACCCACCCCCCCAAAAAAAAAAAATAATAATAATAATAATCTTGCACTTGACAAATATGTGAAATAAACTATAACTAATACTAAAACCAATTAAAAAAAAACTGTGTTGGAAGTACTGTCAGCACTTCAGACAGACAAATGAAGAGTGGCCCCAAGCAGTTTTTCAAAATTAAATGGAAATGTATTGACTTTAAAAGTTAAATACAACTGAAATGAACTTGGGCACCATTCAAATTCAATGCAAAATACACACTCTTAGCGTAATAAAGATTTGGAAAAACTGCAAGAGATCAAAACATGTCAGACTTACTGCCGGAAATGATATAGTTCTCCTCTGCCTGCGGCGCCAAATCCATGTTGGGATCCGTCGGCCTCTCGACCAGCTCCAGCGCCACGGAGCTCTCGTTGACGGTGATTTCGCTGGCCCCGCTGATGACTGGGTCGGCGGACGGACCGCCCAGCGTCATCTCATAGTCCGGCGGCGACTCGTCGGAGCAGTCCGCATTGAGCTGGACAGACCGCATAGATCGATTGCGATGAAGTAGGGGCAGGCAGATTTGGCTTCACACAAAAAAAGGGTTTCATCACAAAAATCTAATTTTAATCTAGTTTTTTCCTCTTTGCTTTTGGAAAAATCAATCGACGTCATTGAATTAGCTAACATATTATTTACCCCGTATTTTCCGCACTATAAGGTGCACCTAAAAGCATTCAATTTTCTCAAAAGCCGACAGTGCGCCTTATAATCCGATGCGCCTTGTATATGGATCAATATTCTGATTTCTTAGACGTAGTATTTTTAAATGTTCTGGAAAGCGCTTTGTTACAGCTGCAGCGATTGTGAAAGCTCGATATAAATCAAGCTGTATTGTATTGTATTCCCTTTGGTGTTGCTCCATCTAGTGGATGCATAACACAAGCGCAGCCACGATTCTAGTTTCTATTCTATGCGCCTTAAAGTGCGGAAAATAAGGTAATGTAATTGTTTGGTTTTTCTCCCCACTCAATATGGCGATCGTTTTGATTCGGGAGCAAATGTCACTTTTTGGAAAAATAGTCACCAAAGGAGTCGGAAAAGGTGTATAGCAGCCAAATGGCTGATTTGTTAACAATGATCTTTTTTGGCATAAACTAGCTCCTTTGTGTTTGTCGTTAGTGTAAGCAGTGCATTATGACTGACATTGGGCCAAGAACTCATATCGCCAAATTTGGTCAGTTAAACTTTATTTATTTTTTTTTTTGCCACAAATCCCTAAAGTGTCACTTTCAAGTATTGAAAATGGGTTGCGCTCTTCGATGATGCAACGTTAATGGCAAAAGCTGTTTTCCTGAAAAGTGACGGCTTTGCAAACATGAGGATGACCCAAAAGCGAGAGCATAATTGCAGGTTGAGACGAACTCACTGAAATTCCCAAGGCCTTGAGTATGTTCATTTTACACATGGGACACGTCTGGTGATCATGCAGCCAGGGGTCCACGCAGTGCTTATGGAAAACATGTCTGCAAAAACATAGGGTGTACAAAAACCTTACGGGGGAAGACCAAACAGACCACAGCTTGTCGTCACGTTTGTCAAGAAAGCCTTACCTGCAAGGTAACACCCTGACAACATCATTAGGCTTGTAGGGCTCGATGCACACGGCACAGCTGTCAAAGTCGCGCTCGGTTTCCTGGAAGCAAAATGCCATCACATCGATTTAATGAGGCTCAAATAAATCATGTCACCTTACGGCAGCATACCTTGTCTCCTTTTTTAATGGTCCGGACTGGAAGCTTCGTGATGGCTTTTTTGGCAGCGTCCCCCAAGCGTCTCTGCGAGCCGTAACAGAACACACTCCTAAGTGTGACACTGGGACACGTCAATGTCTAATATACTCGGGGAACAACATCACTTTAAAAGAGGTTCATCGACACCGCTCGCTTGCTCTTCGTTAGGATTTACATTTCACTAAAACTCTCAACAATAAAGTAAAGCAGGTATGCAGTCCCGCTATTTCACATACGTTTTTTTTTTTTGGGCGGGGGGGTTTGGTACATAACACAGTTAACCTCTGGAGGGCGGCAGACACTGTAAATTTGATGAACGAAGTCATATTTTAGCTCATCCAAGCGTTTGTCAAAATTACTGAACGTCAATCCCCTTCAATCCTGCTTTTAACGCCTACAAAAAGTGACGGCTTTATCATGTACATCTTTGGGCATGACCGTTGATTTACATTGTGAGATGATAAGTTAGTTTGGAAAAAAAGATTTGTTTCCTGTAAAAACAGAGGAATCTGTACACGATTGTATATTTTTGTGTTATCCGTTGTTCTTGCTCTCTCTCTCTCTCTCTCTCTCTGTGGGTTATGCGTTTGTATTATTTCAAGACTGTTTGAAAACCTTAAAAAAACATCTTTGGAACAAAAATGCTATAGAAACATGTCTATGATGGATTTTAAAGTATTTCTAGGTCACAAATCTCACTTATTGAGAGTGTGGTCTGGGGCGTAATTTTATTGTATCAAACCAAATGAATGATTTCATTAAAATATATGTAAAATCATCATCATAACTGATCGACAGTCTGCAGCAACAAGAGTTCGCCTCACTGTTCCAATACTTTGAGGGGCTTGTCACTTCTTTCCTCATTTCCTGTTTTTGTTATTTAGGAGCTTCATTGAATATTGCAGCTATGAAATGAGTCATTATTTCTGACCAATTTGTTTGACGGGAACAAAATGAGAAGACAAACTAATACAATCAAATTCTCTCATTTCTCCTCCCAGGGTAAATACAAATTTGAAATGAGGCAGCAGGGAATATGAGTAAATGGTTGGAAAAAAAAAAAAGGTGGCGTTATACTGGACATGCTGCAGTCGCCGCTTGTTTATACTTTTGTTAAAAAGCAAACAATGGCTGCTGCCCCTGCAGATGCTACAATAACAGACGCGGCAATGATGTAACAACGAGCCGCTATTTGCTCCCGTTGATGGTTCACCGGTTTTACGGGGGCCAGCTGTCAGGCTAATTCGGGCCTCTCCCTGGCAGCCCGCACCAGATGGAAACATGGAAACGCCGTTGACGAGACTTTATAGCGCAGCGACCGACCCTCAAACAGATATTGGCGTTGCATAACAATGAAAAAAAAAAAAAAAAAAAGAGCTCTAGCCATACCTGGTTGCGGTCTCGGGCATTAGCATAGCGGAATCTCTGGATATAGTAGAAGACAAGCCAGGCGAGGGAGATTATCATGAGAATGATGAAGGAGATGGAGACAAAGACTACCGACGTTCTGCTCACATACTTCTGCAGGTTGCGTGTCCCTACAGTGATGTGCAAGGTGACGGCGATGTTCTGCTCCAGCAGCGCCATGATCTCCCGACCTTTGTGCTCTGGGATCATGATGGCCACTATGTCGCCTGTACCTGCGCACACGCGGGAAACGGCAGCGGGTCAGATGGGATGCGCTTCATTAAATCAATTAATCTTCATGCACACTGGACGGTTTGCGACGTGTAGAACCTCGACAGTTCCCTCGCCAGACGAGAATAACGCGTGTTCATCAGGAGCGAGGCGGCACGTCCTACTCCCTGCGCAACCACACTGAAGACATGGCTACTCGCAGGGGTGACTTTTGAACCGTTCAGACAACAAACATGCCTCCCGCTGTCATACAAGCGTGACCCGGTGCACATCTGGTGACGTTCCCACCACTTGTTGCACCACCCAATGGCGTAAAACAAAGTCCTGTTGTAACTCATAAAAGTCAGCCAACCGTGATCTCTGACTCAAACCCAATCAATTAAAGGCAGACTTTCTGCTGCTGTGATTTAAAACACAAGAGTAATAAGCCGGGGGCCCCCCCGCCGCCCTCCTGCTGCAGTGACACCGCCACCAGATAATCCTCACACACACACACACACATTTATAGTGTTCACCTTACATTGGTGAAAGACAATACGAGCGAGCTGTTTGGACAGGGAGATAATGCTCGCCATGTTCACGCCGACACGGTACGCTCAGGCAACTGGCTGCCAACACTGAGATGACAATGACGGATGGTTTATGCTGCCATGTAGCCAAATAAGCAGATCCACAGATATAGAGCTCTGACAGCATCCGCGTGCGTGTATTAACTTGTCCAACAGATTTATGATTTGGTGTAGCAGAGTGAAATTTACACAGCTAATGACTGAATTGGAGATGACAAAGTATTGACCCCAACTTCAAGTAGTATCAATGTTGTCTATGTACAGGGGAGCTAGCTAGTGATTGCTCTTTTTTTTTTTTTTTAAAAACAGCCCAGCTGCGTTGGCTCGGCACACAGAAAGCGTTCCGGTCTTTATTTGGCAGCCTCTCGAAACACTGGTCGCCCCGCTCTACATCGCCTTTCTCATCTGTCTGCCAGTGGTGACATCAAAATTCGACCCCATCCCACCCCACCTCTATGATTCAAGGAAGCAGGGGTCTGGGCAAAAAAAAAAAAGCTTGAAACTATTACGGGGTTTGGTGCAAGTGGAGCTTGATGGGCTGGTGCCACGTTGCCATGCTTCGGGATTTACTGCCATGGGATGACAAAATACTCCTTGGAGGCCATCATTCCTTAAACCACCCCCCGGGACTGAACTGGCAAAAATGATGGACGGTCCATGATAAATCTCATAGAGAGTTTTCTGACAAATTGCCACAAAGGAGGCACTCAGAAAACTCTCCATGAGATTTATCAAGTGGATCCATTCGTCAAATAAGGCTGATTTTATTCTGGTAGCAGGCAACCACTCTTGATGAAAACTGGCAACAGACTGGGAGAATATATACAGCTGGAAAACTTGGTGGAGGTGTAATAAAATGGTTGGTAAATGAAATGTGAAAGTGCTGCGTGTCATATTTGGAAAAATAATTGAATTGAGACGTTCAGACTAATAAAAAAAATCATCTACAGGTCAAAAATGGGCAGTGCAAACACAGAAACTTGATTTTTTTCAGTGAATAGCGGAGGTTTGGTTCCAAATAGAAGCATGCGAATTTGCGACTGTTGAACCGTGACTACTGTATTTGGGGGTTCACTTTACAGGCAAACGTCAACTACCCAGGCCAAATTGAGCTCCTCTCCGACATATAAAGCCTCTCGGTTGAGATGCATCAATTCAACATGCTGCTTTAGCGCCAATTCTTTTAGACTTTATGACGTTTCAGAAATAGCGCAAAAACGTGAACGCGTGATTTAATCAGCGAATTGCGAGGCTTGTGTTCCACTGAGAGGGGAAAAAAATTACAGTGAAATATAAAAAATGCGAGGGATTACTGTATTTGTACTGAAACCTGTAGCAGGATGCAAAGTGCATGAACAAAAATGCCTGCGTGTCAAACGTGTGCTCGTCTCACCAGAGTGGGGCATGGTGATGGTGTCATTGGTACCACTGGAGCCCACATTGTACACGACCACCGCCGAGGCGTTGTGGCTGGCCGCGTTCCGGATCTTTTCGCGGTAAGTACAGTTCCCTGCGGCCACCAGCGCCACCCAGGCGGCGGCGGAGCGCGACGCCGGCGGGAAGCGGGCGGCCGGCTCGCACATCTGTCGGTCCTGCGGTAGCGACGGAGCCAACACAAGCCCCCTGGCTTCCCGCTTGGGCGAGTGCTCGCCGTAGCGGCCGCACTCGCTCTTGTCGCTTCGCGGCCTGGCGGTGAGCGGGTCCAGGTAGGTGATGTTAACGAAGGCCGTGTACCACTCCTCTTTCTCGGCCACGGTGAAGTCCAAGCACAACAGGTGTACGGAGCACAGGGACGAGACGAGCCACGTCGAGAGAGCCACACTGCGGCACAGTCGAGTGATTGACGGCGCCATGGTACTACAAGCAAATAGACGAGTTTTTTAAATTAAAAATAAACACGGGTCTGGGAGTCGACAACCCGTTCGTTGCTAATCCACTTATGGGAATTCTACTCCAGATCACCACCTGAGAGGGGCGGAGAAAAGGGGACGGAGCAGTTATCACTCACAGTGCCAGACGCTCTCTAATTGGCCGGGCGCTAGACGCCCACGTGACATGGGTGCGGCCAATGTGGCTTTGAAGCACAGGGGCACGTGGATCTGCCTGACTAAAAATAAAAGCCTTTGACTGATACGTGCCAGGAAAAAAAAGATTGCGAGTGCAACGGAACCTACAAGGATACCTCATTGATCAATATAAATAAAGATGTATTGTATCCTGTGAGGGAAATTAAAATGTTTGCCTCGTAACTAATAATATAGTAACACAATAAAAACATCGACCAAGACCAGGATTGAGAAGAAATTTAACATACATTTAAAATGAACGGTCATACATGATAAAGATGTTGGGTGTTGGTATGTTGTGGCATGTCATGAATATAGTGTAATTATGATCTGGAAAAAAAAAAAAATATATATATATATATAGTGATGATACGATGACCAATTACAAACAATACACCCAATATGTACAGCATAATAAACTGTTGATACTGCACGTTGATTATTTGGATTGGATTTGTTGTTATTAAATTAAGAAATATGAAGACCAATGCTTCGATATTTTCTTTCCCCCCCAATATAAATTTATTCATGCTTCCTGGGAAGATTTGGACGACTGGTTATTCCCTAAATCGCCCAATCTCTCTATTCTGAAAAAAGAAAATGTTTTGTATGGTAATTATATAAAAGAGTCGTCCCATGACCTAGTCATTATCACATTCATCATTCTTGCTAATTTTTACACAAATATAACAATAGAACAAATTCAAACCTAATTTATGTGTCATAAAGAAGTATGTGATTACTTTTCACCCTTGAAATGTACACAGTTGAAATGACTGACGATACAGCATATTAAAAAAAAATCTTCGGTCCCGATCACATTTATACATGGGCCGGGTAACGTCATGATTTTTTTTTTTAAATAAAATGTATTCTGTGTGTACATATATATTGTCTGTAATTTTGTTTGTGCATTTTTCGACGGACTAGTTGAATCGCTTATTCTTATTAACGGTTAAAAAAATAAAGTCTGGCTTCCGCGTCGAACGCGGAATTAATGACGCTCGGGTACTATTTCCTGCCCGATTGCATTTTCGGGACGTAACAGTGGACCCGCTCATCCTTTTCGGTAAAGTAAAACAAAAGGTTCTGGTCTTTTAATTTACGTTGACATCTGCGTTTAACCGCCTCAACCATAAAAATAACTTCTTGACAACGTTGTCGTGACTCTAAAACCGAAAGTCAGTCGTAAATTAACCACTTTTATGGATGTAATTTCTCGTCACGTTCGTAGCTAGCGATGTCGTTCTTCTTGACCACTTCAAACTTCTGACATTTTCCCGACGAGCTCGATAAATTCATTCATTCATTTTCCGAACCGCTTGATCCTCACTAGGGTCGCGGGGGTGCTGGAGCCTATGCTCGATAAATTATTTGATATTTTTTGACAATTATTGATAATAGAAGACTTATTTTGATCCCTACTGTTGAGTGAGTAGGTCGTGCTAGCTCCAAGTTAATGCCTTGTGTGCGTTCGTGTCAAGGTTTGTTGTCATTTGGGTGCCAAAATGCCCAAAAAGAAGACCGGTGCTCGGAAAAAGGCGGAGAATCGAAAGGAACGAGAGAAGCAGAGCCGAGCCAACCGGGACTTGGTGGACTTGGCAAAGCATCCTTGCAACGTCAATATGGTGAGATGTCACCGTGGCTCACTTTCCCATTTAAAGTGTCACAACCACTGATGCCTTCTTTCTCCCTGCTATTTAGGATTGTGATAAATGTCAGAGGTGAGCATTTCAAACAGCAATGCAGCTCGAATCGACAAAGTGCTAAACCGTCTTTTCTCTTCCTAGAAAACAGAAGAACAGAGCATTCTGTTACTTTTGCAATGCCGTGCAGAAACTTCCCACGTGCGCACAATGCGGTGAGTGAAGTTGGGTGAAAATATTTCATTTTAGCTCTTTCGACGCAATCGAAGGGATGTGTTTGTTTTGTTACAAGGGAAAACCAAGTGTATGAAGACTTCAGACTGTGTCATCAAACACCCTGGCATCAACAGCACTGGGATGGGAATGGTGGTAAGTTGCAGTCAAATTTTGCAACACTCGCACTAAAATGGATTCATTGGTCATTATTTTACATACAAACATCCAAAGTCTTTTGTAAGAAAATAGTTGCCACTAGATGAGAAATTTACGCAAGAAAAAAATAATCATGTGACGAGAATTGTCATAATTTTACAAGAAAAGGTGAGAATAGAATAGAGCAATTAAACACACAAAAAAGGAAGAAAGTCGTAATTTTGTGAGAAGAAAGTTGAGATTCACCACAAGGAACCGTAATTTTAAAAATGTGTTAGTTACCAGATTAAGCTTTTGTGAAAAAAATGGGCATACATATTTCTAGTAATATTTAACATGAACAAGACAATGTTAATTGTCCGACCCTATTGGAAACGGTTCATATTGTCAAATGAATACGTTGTACTGCCGGCTTGTTTTTGTGCCGCTAATAACATTTTGTGGCCGCTAGGGGGCAGTGTGCGACTTCTGTGAAGCTTGGGTGTGCCACAGCAGGAAATGCCTGAGCACTCACGCCTGCGTGTGTCCGCTGACTGAAGCCGACTGCATCGAGTGTGAACGCGGTGTGTGGGACCACGGTGAGGACGCCACCCCCTCCCCTGATACCCCCC